CCGAACGTTAGGTGTCGAGATCTCCCGAGTGCTACCACGAACATACGGAGGCGTAGGCAAACTAACCTAACCTAACCTAATATTATTCATCTAATTCTGTGTTGCCATCGCCTCTGCCGTCCAAATCTGAACAAACCCGAAATGTGCTGTACCACATGATTATACAGCTGTTTTTATTTTAGTGTCGAACTATAGATACTTTTTATTCAAGACGTTTTTCACGTAAACAAATTAATATTGATTTACGTCACACGTATAATTGTATTGTATGATTTTTAATGATGTGGTATATAAATGTATACTACTAAATTAAATATTAAAATACCGCAGTAAGGTAAATTATTACATGTTCCTATTTTACGATTACGATTGTCGATATCACTATATAACATAAATAAATAATATATAATTCGATATACAATCCCCCGTCAACCCGCGATGAATATTTACACGACCTATATTTGTTATAAATTACAATGTGTAAGTCATACTTACATACCTAAATTATTATGATTGAATATTAAATATGATTTGCCATATTTGTCATATTTGACGTACGCCATCATTATTATACCACGCAAACTACAAGAAAAATTATTACAGCGGGTTTTTTTTTTTTTAATATTAGTTTAATTGTGATTTATTATTATTTTTTTATTGTTACAATAATGGTGAAAATTATTTTTAAAAAACATTGATAATCAGACATAATTAAAAAGCAACAAAATGAATTTAAGCGTAAAAAGTTGAACGGCAAACATATAAAACCATTTGACATTAACTTTTACTTTACCGTCATCATAGCACTATAAAATATATTTAAAAAACAAACAATTGGTAGATAGGGTGAAATCAGATCTTGACGAAATCTCCCATTAATTAAGAATTGAAGACATTTAAGACTAAGATAGGTGGGAAGGGATGATGGAGGCAGTGAAAGTTATGGGATTGGACTGTAAAATATAGTAGAAGAGCACAATTTTCAGCGAAGCGAGAATTCGTTATATTATAATAATATGTGCTTTTTTTCTATATGTGGACAAGTTTTTGACCGTCAAACAAATATTAGACAGGCAAAATAAAACTGGCTATTTTAATGTTGATTTTGTTCTGTTTTATGGTAATTATTCTGAAAAAAATAACCGTATGGACTTGAAAATGTTTATACTTGGTATAATTTTCTAAATGTTTTGGTTTATTTAGTTAACTATTACTTTAGTTTTACTATGACGTTACTTTTTATATTTTTTATTTCGGTAAACCACTTCTCTACCAGAAATTTCGTTTCGAAAAAAAAAAATATATATATCTATCTTTTTATAACATTTTTGATCTCTTTGGTACATTTAGGAAGTTATTTTTCGGTTTTTCAAATGGTTTTCATTTTTTTTTGGAAAAACCGGTGTAAGAAACGTGTAGGAAAAATATTTACAAATATTTACGGCACTGATAGTTTCATTAATTTAAATTGTTTGACTTTTGTTTTCTACCAGAAATCTTTCTCAATGTGTAAAAAGTAACATCTTTTATGAAATAAAATATTATCTAGTTTTTGATTAAAAACGTAATTTTATAAATTTTCTTTGTAGTATTCTTAACAATTAAAAAAAATAAACTTAGGATAAACGAGAATGTTTACAATATTAACGGTTTATTATTTCCGATTTTGATTATTTGTAGTAAATAAGTTAAAAATAATTTTAGAGACCAGAAATTTTTACAGAATAGTTATCAGAGTTTTCTAGAAGAAGTTAAATTTTCAAAATATTTTGAAAATTTTTAATCTAATTATAGACATTTAACATTTTTAAGTTTTTTTAAATTTTTTATTTGGTTTAATGTGCAGACATTTTGTTTAACCAAACAAAAATGTTTGAAAAATCAATACGAGGTTCATTTTAAGTTTAACTTGGGCGTAAAAAAAATTTTTAAGTAGAGTAATATTTTTTTTTTAAGCGTTTTAAGTTCACATTGAAAAAATCACGCCATTTCAAAACATGTTTAACTAATTTCACTCAAAATCGTCTTTCGCCTGCAATGGTTAATCGTGGTATAAAGACGTACTAAATAATTTTAGGTAACTAATTGCATGCTTACCTTTCAAACTTCCTACCTATAATAGTAATACACTCATTAGCAGTATCAGTATTTTGGTTTAAGTTTTGCCCCTATGCTAATAAACTGCAAATCATTCTTTGGGGGGAGTAGTTTACTTTTAAGTATTTTTATTATTTTTTGTTTTGTATACACAATTTTTGTTAAATGTAATAAAGGTACGAGTTTGATAGACGTGAGGTGGTTATAAAAACACATTAGTTCATAAGGTTGTCTATGTTTTTTTGCAGACGAACCCTGTTATATATATAGTGAACATTAAAACTTTCGATTCTTGTCGTATAAAAGTTTTACTGATCATCATGTCCATATCGGCGTTCATAAGCCCCTCTCCTCTCCGAAACCACGACCTTCCAACGTTTTTAAGAATCTATGATCCGTATATAATGACTTCATTTTTAAAGTAAACCTATAATAGGGTTACTATTTTTTTAACACTCGTCACTCCCGGGACCATGCGGCTTTGGACGTCTCGATTTCGACGGGTGAAGTATTGTTGCCAGGATTATATAAGTACCTATCACAACACTATATTTGTAGTAATACAAGAACCTCTGAATTTCCAGAGTATTTTCACTTTTTCAAGGTTCTATATTGTCACGTAATATCATTTATATAATACCGACGGTAGGTGGATCGATCATCTTCTGGGATTTTTATAATTTATATGGATCCTAAATATGGATGTTTTAAATTTCTAGCTTCCCGCTGACAATGATAATATATCCATCAGCAATATCAGTTCATTATTTTTTTTTACCACTATAAATAAAACTTATGATGAAAATTATATAAAATGTCAAACATTTCTGCCTACCAAAACAACTTAATCCGCATAAAAAAAAATAATAAATACCTATAAATAACTCGAAAATCTCTAAAAAGTTTTAAAAACTTGTACACACTTGTAAACACTGTACTGTGTTTAGAAAAAGCCGATACAAGTCTTTTTTGAAAATTTAAAATCTCTGTAATTATATTTAACTGTATTAAAACAAAAAACAGATTTGAAACCACTAAACTTTCCAGTTTTTCCGACGTTTTTTGTTTCTATTTATTTAAAAATTACAAAAAAAAAAAAAAAAATCAAAAAAAATGAACTATAGTAATAGTTTGCTAGCAAACGACGTAAAATTATTACGGACAAATAAATGGTGTTAATATTTCGTTATTTTAAATTTTTACGAACTAACTATCAGAAATCTTGCTTCAATCAAAAAACCACAAGATTTCTTTTTTATTGAATGTTTAATTTTGTTGATGAATATATGCAGGGACGTCATTTTGTATTTTTTCATGGTATACAAAACGAATATTGAAAATTCAATAGTAATGCCATTCGTTTCGATCGCGTGCCACATAAAGGACAAAATTAATACATTTCCATATAAAATTCTATTTTTCAATTATAACATATTAATGTTGATTATTAGTAATATTTAAAATATTCAAAAACCTATTTCAGTATATCTTAGTATAGGTATTTTAATTAAACATAAATGAATCGGATATGAATAAATTGATCTGTACTAAATAATACTGTTAATATAAATTGCACAAACTACACTCAACAATGTTTGAGTATAGAATATTAGTTTTTTAAATAATAATAAAACAAAAACATTCACTGTTATTCTATTATACTATTTTTGTTGTGTTTATGTCTTCTGATACTGATCAAATTATATTTGATAAAAAAAAAAATAATGAGCTATCTGTAGAGATATTAAACATCAGTTTCATATCTATCTATGTGAATTTATTATTATCGCCAAATTATTGTTATAAAACCACAGAAATCATTTTTATAAAACTGATTACAAAATAATTGTATTTTCTAAAAATTCTATTAAATTATCTGCACCTACATATGAGACGAATTTACATACCCTTAGATCCCGCAAATGACGCCACTGTAAGTTGCCACATGCAAGTCATTTTTTTAATTTTCCAAACAGTTAACTTAATAATTGGGAAAAACTGGAAAAATTATTTTTAAGAATTATGTTTTCTATCAGAAATACTTTTCCGATTAAAAAACGACATGAGAATTTTTGATTTTCCGTAAAGTTTTCTTAATAGTTGAGCAAAATTGTAAATAATTGGGCCAAAGTAGAAATAATAGAAATAATTATTTTTAATTTTGTTTTTTTTTTTTTTGAGAAGGTAATTTAAAGAGGTCGTTTTTTGATTTTCTCCGGAGTTTTTTCAGCAAATATAACAAACTGGGAACAACATAGGGTAACCGGAAAAACGTAGAAAAACCGGGGAAATCGGTACGGCATTAAACTAATATTATTAAAGAAAACATGTAATGCCTATTCAATTACTTCGCCGTAATATGACATATATATTGTTGACAAAGCATCACTATCAACTGTATTCTGCTGAGAATCGTTTTTTGTTAGCAATGATTCATCGTTGCTTACAGATATACACTAAATTGCATGCACCGGTGGCTGCACCCGTACCCATTTCCCTAGGGCAGCTTTTTTTTTATAATCCGTTTTAAGATCATATTTCGACGAAAATCGTAAATATTACTACGGGCGTTCCAACAGCGTAGGTGCGTAATAAACGGACTTCGTTCGGAATCGTTTTTCGTCAACCTAATCTGACGATTTATCGCCGCTTACAGATGCGAACTGATCGTATCCCGCAGCCTTCCGGACTTTCCGCTCATGCTACAGCGGCCGTCATATAGCGGTATCAGCTTTTTATTATTTTTTTTTTTTCAACTCTCCCCATCCCCCCCCCTCTGGCCCTATAGAGAAATCCCTGTGCGCTCCGGACGGGCGGGACTTGTTGCGCACGCTGAAAAGAGTTTCGGGATGATAATATAGGTATATATAGTCTCGGCGTAACCTCTCGCGGACCAATCCGCCCGCGCGTACGGATGCGAAGGAGTATTATAGCGTTCGCCGTCGCGTACCATAATACAATACCGCGTACGGACTGAACGGTCACAAGCATTCCGCAGCGCGCCGCGTCTCCGTCCGTGTCCGTGTGCCGAACTGGTGTGGTGGTCGCTTTGATTTTTCGTTCCGTCCGCAGGTGAGTGACAAAACGATATTATAACAATAATACAGTGTCGTTTATCAAAAAAAAAAAAATAATAATAATAATAAATAAATAATAATTTTAGGTATATTTTTTGTTTTTTTTTTTTTTTTTTTTTTTTTTTTTATCAACCCGAGGTCGGTTTACAACGCCGATTCTACAATATTCTGACACCGATCGCTCGCCTTTTCAATGAGTTCTTTAAAAGTGTACAGACTCTCGCGCGGCATTTAATTTTTCCACTATAATATGAGTGTTTCGACGATTGTCTCCCCTTCTATCATATTACATACCCACTAATATTATATTACCTATGCCACACTTCTGGGTGTCTCAGCTATGATATGTCAGACCGTTTTCCAGCGTAACCTTAATCGTATCTATGCGTGTCCGTTTTTTTCTCCTACGGTATACGGCCGCGAAATAATTATAATAACATATTGATATCGCACCGTCCGAACGTAGTTATTTACCGATTAGTTGTTGACGGCGATTTTATTCACAGACGGTACTGTTTTAAAACAATAGTGTTAGGAGAGTTCTTGTCTTGGTTTTGGGAAAAATAAACTTCAGGCGACCCAAAAATCATCAAACTGTTTTGAATTTCTAGTTTTGCAATATAGGGAGACGAAGGAAGAGGTATATAATATCTGCACCATTTTGATGATTTGATACGGTTTACATTTAAATGTATCGTACGCTACCCGAATATTTTTTTTTTCAAAATTAATTAAAACAAATCATCAGAATTATTATTATGTAATATAACGTACTACCCGTAGTTTAGTCCTTATATTTTTTTAATTAATTTTTTTTTTTTGTATCTACGTCGAGTTGGTTTTGAGACACGCGGGAGCTCAAAATAATATTGGGAAAAAAATGACGGAATTTTGTTATATTTTTATATTTTATAAAATTTATAATAGCTAGTCAATATATTATACGAGTATACGTGTGTCGAAACAAATTAAACACTATACACTTTTTAATCATATTAAAATTATTTATGTAAACAATAACTGTGTTTTTATAAATTGTATTTATATATAGGTACTTAATGATATTTATGCTAGAAATTCACTTGTAAACACTTCCAGTGTCGGGATTCACAAAGACAAATAAATAGGGGCTATTATTTTCTTTCCCCAGCAGAAGTGTACGAATATTTATTCTATTGAACGACGACGTTATTTAAATTGTTTTGATACGCGAAAAATCACACCCCGATTTCTTAATAGGTACGCCACGGTTATAGTTCCGAGTCGACGGGGAATATATTATTTTATGTACTTTTTTTTTTTTTTAATATTTTCTTTGTAATTTCTATAACAATATTTTCGTCTTCTTCGATAGTTCAAACTTTGTGAATGTCGTTTAATCAATAATATTTTGAAATATGTTTCCAAACTTCACGGTCTTCTGTGCTTAAAACGTTTACATTATCACGGTATACAATAGCATAAATTCGTCAAATATTTCAACTGTATGTATAACAGAAAAGCTGCTCCCCCTTAAAAAAAACCCTTAATTTATTATTATAATCTCAAATGCGGACAAAAAATTTAGTTAAATCGAAATTAATTGTACACATTTCTTTTCTGAAGAACCTATACACATATGTTTATTATATAAACGCACTGCAATATTTTCACACCCCATTACATTTTTGACTTTTAATTAATTTGTTCGGTACCCTGTATTTAAAGAGCGTTTACTCCATCACTTTCTTTATACAGTATAATAATAATATTGTTATAATAGCATTTATACCACGTTATTATTCTTCAATATTCTGGAGTAATTTGTTTTCCATATAATATGTCTACAACAAAATATTAAAGTATTTATTATACGATTACAGTAAACAATATGCGAATGTAATTCCATACGCGTAATTAAGTTTTAAAATTGTTTTAGTAGATTAAAATACCTATGTAGACAATACTACCTATATAGTGTTTTGTGTGCGTAAAATTAAATTATCGTATATATAATACCTACTTATTATTATTATAAAGGCAAATATGCGCAAAATACATCAAATTCGTAATGTGTATTTCATACACAAAATACATCAAATACGGCAAAATACATTATGATTTTAAATTAGCTTAGGGACTTTCGGGGTTTAAAAAAAAATAACCGACACTGAGGACGGGTGTGACACTGTTGTAAGTGAGAAGATGGATAGGTAAGATACATAAATTTATTTAATTTATAGGTATGAATAAACAACGATAGACCATTGCTTATGAAAAACGATTCTGAACGAAGTTTAATTATACATGTTTTGAAATACCGTAATTTCTATTACGAATTTTGTCATTTTGTTTATAAAACTCTTATTAAAAAAAACTACCACATTATACTAAACTTTTTTTTCGTATCACTAAGAACAACTTTACTCATAATAAACCTCTTGTTAAGTTATCAATTGTATCTATTCGGTCAAACAATTTTATCCACATAGTACGAACCAAATAAAAACTAAAAAAAATGCAAATAAATATCGCATGGTTGCCAAAAATTCTTTCAACATTTTATCACACCTAGAAATGACTAAAATAAGTATTTTGCGGGAATTTCATCTCTTTACGATAATGTTTATCGACTTACAACAACAAATTAAAATCGAAAATATGTTTTAACACCCCCTAAGCCATCTCCCTTGATCCACTCTTGATACTCGGTACTAGATACATATTGCAATATAACTAACACAGTATACAATTGAATCGATGATGCATATACCGAATATACTGCCCTGCCCCGCTACAAGATTTTAGTACCCGAATTTTAAAATTAATTTATTGTGAATATTTTAATACGGTGTAATTAATATCTATTAAAAAGAAAATATACAGTATTAAATTTTAAAAGTGGATTCATAAACGATAAATTTGGTATTATCATTATGTATTTAAAATTTGTTAGAAAAATATTATTTTTCGAATCTGTGTTAAAAAGAGGGGAGGGGTACCATTTGAAAATCCAAAGTTTACACTCATTCAAAATATAAAAGTTTTAAGTTAAAAAAATGTTTTAATAAAGCCTAAATAATTCTGTAAATCATTGACAAAAAAAAAAAAAAACAAAAGATAAGTTTACCTAAAATTCTCTGAATTGTGATTAATGATGAATCATTTATATTCTCGCAATAATTATTCCATTTTATTTTGTTTCGCTATTAGGTTATGCGTATAGGTTTTGTAGAATATTTATTCGAGCCATTATTATTATTTTAGATTCGTTTAATATAGTATTGCAGTAAGATAATAATATTTTAAGTTTATTTGCATATGACTCTGCTAAAGCCTACACACGGTAAAAAAGAAAAAATCGTACTTACAGGTAAACGCTAAAGTTGTTTACTGAAAAAATATTAGGTATGATGTGAACGTGTTTTTTATTTTACGTTTCTCCCGTTTTATAAATCAAATGTAAAAAAAAACCGATTAGTTTTCTGATTAACATGAAATACACAATGTACACATGGATATAATTTAAAGATTATTTTTCTAAAGGAAAAAACCTATACGGGGGATAGAGTAGCGAAAAGGGGACATTTTGAACAACCGATAAATGTTTTGTATTTGTCCATTTGGCCACGTAAAAAAAAAAATACTAATGATGCAAAATATAATAATGCAAACGAAAAGAGGACGAGTGAAGTTTTTAATATTTCCGTAAACGAAATACATTCGAGTTCGAGCATTTATTTTTTTTTGTTTGATAAGTGATACTTTAACGATTTTTTAAGTACAATATATTATATAGCTACCTAATATTTCTTGAAAAACGCGTCTCGGAGTAAACAATATAGCTGCAGCATAAAATGTTTTATACACGGTATACCTTTGCCACGCAATAATCTCCTTTTTAACTTTAAATATTTAACATATTACAAGTTGGGTTTCCTATTTAAAAGGTAGCTATACGTACCTACTCGTATAGTGCATGTATCGATAGACACCAGTTCCCCTTTGAGACAAAAATACTCCTTTGTAATTATTTACGTTTATTTTTTTTTTTAAACTTGTCGCAAATTTTATCTTTTTTATTTAACTTTATTACCGCTGCAGTGACTTCTTAATAGGATATAATAACATAAATAGGTTATGATAGGAAGTATTAAACATTCCGGAAATCGACGGCTTTGGGCGGTATAGGTATAATAAAGATTTTTTTAAATTTAATTTTTTATTCAACGACTCGGCCGATTATTATAGTTATATGGGTACAGTAGTAGTAATAATATTATTTTATAAGTGCTTTGACTTTTTCATTCTACACAAAAGCACATTTGGATAGCAAAAAAAAAACGCATTGATTCTGACTGAAGCTTGCAGGAATATTGGTTTTACTGTGATGTGTGTGTGTGTATGTGTTTGTTTGGGTTTGTAAACAATTTTTCTATCAGAAAACTTACTCCAATCAAAACTTTACAGTTAGCAAGAACTTTCTTATAACATTTTTGACCTGGTTGAGGTAATTTTTTCAATTTTCCTAGCAGTTTTCTTAATAAATGGGAACAATTCCTAATTTTCTGACTAATTTTTATCGACTTGTTATTGCTCTGACGACAGAAGAAAACTACGATTATTAACACTCTTTTCAGAATCGTTTTTCATTAGAAGCATTTTATCGATGACTATTACCCTAGATTTCACTGCCCTCTTTAAACAATAACGCACCCATCAGAAATTTCAGAATTATTTTTATTAATTTTATTGATGTTTTATTGTTTGTTTTTTCTGTTTATATTATAGCGGTTTCGATTATTATATTTTTTTGAAACATGCATTGCATTCAGTATGAAAATTCAGTCATAATAAATCGGTTGGTCGAAAACTATATATTTTTTTTTTTCGATCGGGCGCCAATATAATAATATAGTACGATGTTAAATAAATATTGACCAAACGAGTGACTGAAAATACGTGATTTTTAAGATGCTATTCAATAGTTATTTTTTTCGAAAATTAATCTTCGCGGATTAATATAACACAAGTAGGTATATTAACTGACCTTTTTCCTTATCTTATTTTAAAAAAAAAATAATAACAATAATAAATATACAATTTTTCACAAACCTTTCTGTAAGAAATTACCTACTCGTATATTATTATTAATTCATATGTGAAAAAAAAACAACACAATTTTGGCTACTCAGAATATCGTTTAACTTGGAAAGAAATGCCTCGTTCTCGGCGCATTATGACAAAATTATTTTTTAAATTTATAATAAAAAATAAAACAAACTTGTTTTTAAGAAAATAAAAATTATTTTTATTTGAATACTCTTGGTTTTTTTTTTCTAAATACATGGGTGTTACAGAGTTTTACTTTGTTTTGTTTTGTTTTTTTTTTATTAAAAATCTCATAAATTATTATTTAAATTCGTGAGCTCAGATCTGCAAATATTCGGTCAAATCGTATATTAATATTTTAATTTATTTTTTATAGATATTAGAAATATGTATACTTATATCAGTTTTATTGCGATTTTTAAATATAATTAGTGGAATTTAAGGACGTGTTAAAAATGCGTATGTTTAGGTTTACTTAATTGAAGAAGTTATCTATTTTGCAATTACTTAAGAGGAATAAAATGATGCTTTTTGTAAAATTACTTTTTTTTTTTTTTTTTTTTTTTTTTTGATCCAATGAATGTTTTTAAGTTTTCGTGTATCTACGTGCAGATAACACTATTTTATGGGCTTAATCAGAACTCCTCGGCTAAGTAGAAAAAGGATAGTTTTTGTTTTTTTAATGGCAGATCTAACTCAAAAGATTCGTTTCACAATAAATATTATAAAAAATATTAAAAATTAAAATGTGTACTGCGAATAGAATGTTTATTAAAAATGAATTCGAGCGCCAAATTACTATAATTTTGTTATAATAAGTTTATAAATTTTGTTTATTGTGTAACCTGGTAATTATAAATCCGGTCACGTGGTAAACGGATAACATTGTTTTTTTTCCCCGTTGGTAAATTCTAGTTGCGAGTGCCCCATATTTATATACTGATCATTAATATAGCTTTACCCACGGACTAATATATAACGGACGGACCTGGAGGTGGCTTGAAATAGGTAGGTATACAAAGGGGGGGAGAGTCCACCCCTCCCCACCAGAAATTTCATGAAAATTATGATGAAAGTAGATGTTTAATAGAGTCTCAAAATTGGTTTCTGTCAATGTGGAAGATAAATACAATTTTGGTTTTATTTTTATTTTATTACTAGAAAATAGTAGGTAGGATATTATTGTTATTATCATTTGTTGTGATTTTCCTGATTTTAGAAAACTATAACTGATACGGCGAAATCGCATAGTCCGTGTTATCATCACAATAATATGAATTACGTTATCATTTAGGCTGCATTCACTAAAAAACATATTAAAAGTAAAATTTAGTAATATGTAGGTACCTAAAAGATTAAAAATGAATGTTACACAAAATATTGACATTTTTAATGAAAAATAAATAGTCCTACAATTGAAAGTAGGTAACTATGTAAACTTTTTTGTTATGTGAGTATGAAAATGTACAACCTTAAATCATCCCCCCCTCCCGAAATATTTTTTTGTAAAACGCACATGGCTTGAGATAATTTACTTGGTGGTTCAATCTTTAAAGTAGTGTAAAATAATAATACCCGCACGTTTTTTAAAAAAACTTTTTCAAAAATAATTTCACAAATTATCTTTAAATAAACTATAATTATTATGTATTTATTGCTGGTAATGAGCCCATATGAATAGTGTTTCGCGCAAAATGTTAAAATAAAAAGGAAAGGTAAGATAATAGGGACGGGTGCAGCCACTGATGTAAGTGGGAAGTTGTGAAGGTAGGATATAGATGGGAATTTAAGCAATGATAAACCATTGTTTACGAAAAAGTGATTCTGAGTGGAGTACAGTTAAAGTGATGTTTTGTCAACAATATATATGTCATTTGATGACAAAAAAAAAATTGGCTTTATATATTTTTTTTAATAAAATTTGTTTAATGTTGTATCGATTTTTTCAATTTTTCTACATATTCCCCATGTTTTATCCTTTTAGAAAAGGTGTTACACCTAGAAATCCGAGCAAGTTTTCTGGTAGAATAGTTGCGCACAGATAAAAAAAAACAATTCACATCTTTGTAAAACCATAAGGTTCTTCGTTCCAAACAGAATCTAAGAAAAACATTTTTTTTTTCCGAGAACCGACTTATTATCATATTATTTAAGGTAAATGTTATTGCTGTAAAAAACGACGCCCTGCAGGAAACTACGTTTATAATACATAAGCTGATTAATCAGTTTACGTATCTAATCGTTTGTGTAGACGTCGTTTAGATAATATATTGGAGTACAAATCAAGTTATTTTTCTAAATTAATTACTCGGTACTATTGACAATAGTTTTCCGTGATAACTACCGGTGATGTAACAATGATAAATTAACTTTTTATGTTTCATTTAAAAATCGGCATCTTTAAATGCATACCGTATACGGTATGATATAGGACGTGAAATAGTCGAAGAATTTCCACTAACCAAAACTCTGTATTCCAATAAAGAGAAGGGAAGCGCGTCTCGGTAAAACAAATAGCCGCTCGCTATACGAATACAACCGGAATCTAAAACAAAATATCGGCAAATAATTTTTACGTTAATGTTACTACCCATATTATGCTCGCGCAGATTAGTTACCGGCTACACACCTCTGAGTACTTAGTACTTAAATACTGTAATTTAAGGGTGAGCAGATAGTGTAATATATCAGTCGGAATTGTTTTGTAATGCTTTCCCGTGTGCGCATATACTTACATACGTATTGTTTATCCCCCATTACCGCAGTTTAACAAATCCATGTGCTCGGTCATCATTAATAATATTATAAAACTCAATCGTCGTTTAATTTGGATTGCGCGTAGGTACATTGTTATAAATATATATACATATGTAACTATTTTATTAGACGTTTCGTGTTAAGGCGGAGTTATACCCACGATTATGGTAATGCGATAATTATTTAAATGTATACAAAAGTGAATTATTTGTTCCGACTACGAGTTCGGTAAATAATAATAAAAAAAAAAAAAAAAAACCAAATAGAATACCTATTCTTATGTGGTGAAGCTTGAATTGAAAACCGCATCAATTTTGACGGAAAGGTACTCGGTTTTCTCGTGTCTTGTTGAAATTGTATCTTCGAACGCTTGATAATGGCGATGCCTATAATTTACATGAAAGTGAATGCGAGTTGATAGATTTTTATTCTTTTTTTTTTATTTTCTGAAATGTACACGTTTTAGATTTCGAGCGTAGATAGGAGGTATTGGTTTTACTAAAACGTTTATTTTTTTTTTTTCTTTTTAACTTTTTTACTTTGTTCTAGTATGTAGACACGTTTTTTTTTAGTAAACATGCTCCAATTTTTACGTGTAGCAACTTTATTGAAAGCTCAAGTTGTCTAGTTAATATTTTAATAAGGTGATTTTGTGATTTTCGACTCCATTTCTTAAATAAAAGCACGTAAGTGAGAAAAATGTAGGAATGTGTACAATTTCACAATTTCATTATTTTATAAAAACACGAATAATGTTTTTTACCAGGAAAAATGATTTAATCGAAAAATCACAAGATATATTTTTTGTTTCCTTTTTGATTTACTTTCTAACGGTATTGTTGCCGAAACTTTTGAGCTTTTAAAGAATTTTAATTTTTGGGAGTTTTTGTTGTAATTCGTTTAAAAATATACGTATAGACTTGAAACTTGGTTATAATATTTATATTAGATTTACCTAGACGTAGTAAAATTTTCAAAATCATCAAACGACTTTTTTTTTACAATGGAACATTAATTTTTTATTACACCACTTTTATCCTAGAAAATTTGCTTCGATGTATAGCACCTTTTCTGAAAATAAATTGTATTTATTTGGTAAATACATAGGTCATTTTTTGATTTTCAAAACGGTACTTGAAATAAAAAAACAAACCGGGAAAAAAATACGATTTTTTCACGATTTCGGTATTTTAAATAAGTATCTACCACGTTTTCTAGCACAAATATGGCTCTAATAGAAAAAAGGCAAGAGACCTTTTTTGTTGAATTATTAGTCTTGTTTTTAATGATGTAGTTCGTTTTTTTTATTTTCAAATTAGTTTTCATAATAATCGGGAAAAAACGTAGGAAGGATAGGTTAGGTTTATCGTTGCTTACAGATATAAATGAAAAAACTACCCATCTACAACAGTGGCAGTACTCATCCCCAGTATCAGCTCTTTTTTTCCGAGTGAATCCATAAATATTAAAATGCGAAAGAGGGGCTTTTCTCTGCCTAGCTATTGGAAAACATATTAATACGTTAAATATTGAAAGCAATTGTTAAAAAAAGGGAGATTCGTCATTGTACATATTATGTAAGAAAAAATACCTATAAAAAACTACAAAAGCTTCTTAGTCATCATAGCTTCTTCGATCCTTTTCGATTTTTCTTACAGTTTTCTAAATAGTTGGGCAAAACCGGGAAAAACGGGAAAGTTTACGAAAATACTAATTTCATTGTTTTTAATTTTGGTTTTTTAATGTAAAATATATATGGGTAAAAATAACAATCATAGAGAACTTACATTTTCACAGAATTCTTATAAAAGCCTTTTTTTAGACGTAATTAAATTTTCTAAACATTTCGACGAAATTTGAACTATTTATAAGCATTTGACCTTTTCGAGATTTTTTGGTTTTATTCAAATACAAATTAAATAACTTTATGTATTTTACCTAACCACCAATTCACCTACAACAGTGGCAAACCAGTTCCCACTTTTTAAAGTTTTAGTATCATACTTTTGAGCTTTTTTTATGAGCCAAAAAAATGTAATTTGAATCTTAGATGGAACAAATGTTAAATTAAACGAGAATTAATAATTTTAAAAGTTGTTTTTTATTTTGTTTTTTTATATTACTAAGATGTGATTTTTTTTTTTATTTAAATAGCTGTCCTACCAGAAATGTTATTTTGATAAAAAAAAACACTTTATGGGAACCTTATTGTAACATTTTTGATCTATTTGATGTCTTTTTTCGATTTTCTCATTAGTTTTCCTAATAAACGAAAAAAAAACTGACTATTTTTAGTTTTATTTTTTTTTATTTTAGTGCTACATCTGGAACAAGAGAAAAATACGACTAATAATAATCTACTCAGAATAGTTTTTCATTAGCAATGGTTTATTGTGGCACATGGATATAAAATAAAATAATCTGTATTAGGTTTATTCTCCTTTCCAAATTACCTTCTAAAACAGTGACATATCCATCAGCAGTATAGTTATCTGCCTTTTTGCATTTACTTTATTATGTACGATTTTAATTGGTCGTCTATTTATTTATAAACGATACGGTCTCCGCAGCCTGCCGTCGTCGATAATACACATTGTGAATTCGATAATAATTAATTTTAATAGTAATTAATTTTATTGTTGTTTACACATACCGTGGCTATATATTATTCCGATCGATTTTGTTTCCAAGGACTAAATGAAAAGTGATGTTTTTATGAAAACCATCAGGTATAAACTCAAATAAATAATTTCGTTATGGTTTATCGATATTATTGTCAACACAATTAATGTTCGAATAATACACACGAGAAGCGCGAGTATTTTGTGTGCACGAACAACAGTCGTGAATATAGGTATTTTAATTTATACTTTTAATATACGTTTTAAAATGTTCGAATTTCCGCAATAATTTAACCACCAAGTTAGCAATTATATATCAGCATCATCACTGATAATGATATATTATTTAAGAATTTTATACTGACCTGGGGTAGCTAAATAATCGTATAAGGTACACATTTATAAAAGTACAATTTTCACCTCGAGTACTGATAAAAACATCGCGCTAGATGCAGTTTTTTTATTTCAGATCCGGAGCCTAGCGAGAAATGTATTTGGTTTTACAATGATGTTTATTTATTTCTTTATTTATAAACAACTTTTCTACCAGAAATCTTTCTCCGATTTTCAAGTGTAGTACCTTTTTGGAAAGGAAATTTTAACTGGGTGGTACTTTTTAAACGAGTAAGGCTTTTTGATTTTCCAAGCGGTTTTCATAATAATTTAGAAAAACGTAGGGAAAACGGGAAAACTTACATATATGTATAAAAGAAATTTCGAGCTGAATCGTTTTCCGTTAGCAAAGGTTTTTTTACAGAAATAAATTAAATTCTTCTCTATATTTTACCTTCCCAACTTCTCACCTACAACAGTGGCCCACTCATCGTGCGAAGTATGTCCGTCTTTCTTCATATTAAAATAAATATGATTTTTTTTTATCATAAAATATAGTGTATTGTTGAGGTGACCAATTCGATTACGAGTTTTTTCATCGCATGTAATAATTGTTTTTATAATCTTTTATAAGTTATTTACAGTTTTCACTATTCTCTATTATCTTCGTACAGTTCAATAATTTTGTTTGTTTATGATATTTTAATTATTTTAAAAAATTAAGCTTATTTTGGCTAGTTTAGAGAAGTACACTTCTACCTTCTACAGAAGTGGTCTAAAAATATTTATATATATATATATATATATTTGTTTAATGATTATTATTTATATTATTATAATAAGTTTTATTTTTTTCAAACTGAATCCTGTTGTTCTTTAAAACGTTTAAAGACGAAAAATTAAACACCTTTTCAACCGAATATAACGATATCTAATGGCAATACTAAAGAATACTTAACGCTGCCTTAATGCATATAAGTACAGAACTTATATGAACGTTTCGGTCTGCATAAAATAATGTACGAGCTGTTTTTGTTAAAATTAAAAATACTTCCTCTTTATTATTTTCGTCCGATTTTCCAAAATAATTAAACCATTTTTATGAAAAGCATTCTTTCACAACGACGACGACGACGACGACGATGACGATGTTAGCCCACCCACCAGATCATGGCTGCACGGGTAGTGAATCGGTTGAAAAAAAAAATGTGATTTTGAAAACGTATAACAGCGGCTCGTTCACCTACGTCATTTCGATCATTTTAATGTGGTAATCCTTTCCCTTCGTGGAACACCCGGTATACGAGAGTACACTTACAGATTTATTACGTCGCGTCGTGGCCGCGGAAACATCGTTCCTGCACAAAAAAAAATCATTCAACAATTTATAATATGTTTAATAAATATCGTCTGTTATTTCACTCCCTATACTTTACTTAGATAGGTATAATATATTTGATGACATTTTTTGTATCCCGTATATATACTGCAGTAGCTGCAGTTTAATATGGTTACATGACGTCATCGTTATTTTCTTTCGGTCGTGTTCTTTATTGTAAATCATCTCGTATATAATTTGACGATTTTTTTTTTTCCAAGGGAATTATAATCGTTGAGAAATGTGGTATTTAGATCGAAAAACTATTTTTAAAAACTTATTAATCAATCAAAATCTTTATTCAAAATTTAAATCCGCCAAACTCAATCTTTTTTCAATCGTATTTGGGTTTTCGGTTTAAAACGTCATAGTCGTTCGCGAAAATCGACTCTAGCGCCCTATAATTTTACGTTCTGTTTTAGCCTTCTGATATTGTTGAAATCATTAAACAGTTTAAGAAACTTGCGATTTTTAGTGTTGTACGCGAAAACTTTGAGTTTATTCGATTATTATAATATATTTGTCCTAAGTGTATAAAATTAACTGGTTTTTTTTTTTTTACTCCCAAACAATTTATATATTATAAAATCACAACGTAGTATCACCATCATTCGTTCATTACACGTAGTTTTACTTTCGCGTAAAATAACCGATACTACTAAAATATGTTATCGTGACGAGTATTTTCATATCAGCCATATCATGACGCATACGCGTGTAATTGATTTATTTTCGTTTATAATATAATACGCGTATATTGACAATATGTTTTTGTTTAAATTTATATTTATTCGTGTCTTACGTCGTCAAAGTTAAAAAGTTTAATTATATGCAAACTTCCGCAGTATATTATGCATCAAAAACTATTATTGTAGATTAATATAGTATTATTGTGTTAGTCGTTTTATTGAATTTCTACTAAAAAAGAACAGCAATATGCAATGATGCATTTAATTTAATTTTGTTATTATTATTTCGTATTATAATATCATATTCAATGAATAAATAACATTATTCATATACCAAAAACAGCGAGATTTTTAGTACCGTTTTATTCCCCAAAAATAAATATTTAGTTAAAAAGTTGTTGCTTTTTGTTATTCATATGCACGTATTAGGAATCTACAGAAAAAAATCACGTGCTCTAATTTTTTGTTTGGGTACATAATTATATAAATATATATTAGTATCTAATATTAAAAAGCTTCACTTTTATTTTATTTCGTTATCTGTAGGTACGAAGCCGAATTATTTTTAATTTAAGTCACAGAACCCTTCGACGCAATATGGGCGGTTTAATTTGGACCGTTAATTTATAGGTAGGCTAACGTATTCTATTTGGACTTTGTATGTTGTTGGAAAATAAGCGACCACTCTTTAATCGTTTAAATAGCCCACTCGTTATATTAGCACTTTAAACGCATACTGCAAAAAATAGTAAATAAAAAAAGCGAGAAATCGATTTATATGAATTATAATATGTTCCAACAGTTCTCATGCAGTTTCTAATTGTTTCCGAAAAGCAAAACATTTTTTTTTCACCATTTTTAAATTATTATAGGTACATTGTTGACTGCGTAACACTAACCCGTTCTTTTTAACGCCGTTTCATTTATTTTTCGCACAGCTCATATCGATACATGATCGAGAATCATTCAAGACGAATGCTATACTCGCAACTGGGCTATGTATTATTACAGCTATGTATTTACAGACTATCTGAGAGTTCAGCTCAAGTGACATGTAAATTAGATTAAAAAAACATTTTTTATTATTATTAATTTGTTTTTTTTAAAGTCAATACTTTGCAAAATAATGAATGTTTCAAGTTCAATGAATCACCTCGTATACTTACTTATATATATAAACCTAAACGCGGCTGATCAATTTCAGAGTGAATTCTACAAGTATTAAATCGTATAACTAATATAATATTATAATATACCCGTATAGTATAGACACGATTAATCACAAATAGGTACACCTGACCGAAACGCGTTTTGCAGGAAATTTATACCGAAATCGTATCGCAGACAGCTGATATATTAACACATAAGATAAATTAACGAGTCGACAACATAATATTATACGTTAGAACCATAGTCAGCTGTTTTACTATTATAATATTGTATTGACTGATTGGACTTAGGACAGGTACTTATATCTGAATATCGACGACAGCTGGTAGGGAATTAATCCGCGTAGATGATTTGCACCCCTGTCGATAAGCATAGGCGGAAATGCATTTTTTTTTTTTTGAAGGTTGAGTGGCTAGAATTATTCCTATAAATTATCTTAAATAAGGCTTGTTGTATAAAACGTATTTGAGGAAGGTATCGATTAATTGAGCTTTGGCTAACTTGGGAAGAGGGCTAAGCCCCAGACCCCAGCACTGACCGACCTCCACTTGTGCTCTGCAGGGTTAAATTTCCAGCAACCGGACACGCCCACGCTAGTGTAAAAGTGCCTAATTAAATATAATAGCATTTTGCATTGTGTTCTTCGTTGTATAATAATAATAACGTAGGCACTTATAGCAATAAATGGTCACCAATAACACTTTCAAGACTGCAGAAATTTTGCGTAACTTTTATATTTATTATTTTATAATGTAAAGTACAGTAGTTTGATAAAAACTAATGCTGTTAAGGGTTTAATAGTAAATATTGCGTGTGGACGTGAGAATAAGATTCCACGCTTGCGAAGCGAATAGGAAAGAAGGGACATCGCGAGCAATATGTTATCCGAACTCGGTAAACGATGCGATTGTGTTTTTTCTTTCGAAAAATAAAAGTACGCGTGTGGTTAGAGGAAACAATACTTTTAGTAATAATTGTTTTAATTGTAAGTTTAACGCTGCACATTGCTCGAGATGCGTCGTGTAACGAAATTGGGTCATCGGCAAGTGGGAGGGGGTGGGGGTCCCGTAAGACATTTCACATTTTTACGGTGATGTGATGTTATTATTTATTATAATAATAATACAAAGCGAGCCTTTGATTAATGATTTCTAAAAAAAAAGATGGAAAAAACGCGGCCGCGCATAATATTTTCAAATTAAATGTTTTAAATTAATAATGATAGATTAGGTAACTTTACGTAAGTATATATAACATTATCGGAAGTTTTTTTTTTTTTTACCTAACTACCAACGTGCTTAGTATTATGATAATGTACCACAACAAAGGCAAATAATTCGTTTCGGATGTGTAAAGAAACTTACAAATATATTATTAATATCGCCGAATAGTTGTATGGTATTATTATTCTTCACCTTCGCCTTCGTCCAAACTATTTGGGGGTCGAGCATCATCATCCAAAATTTCCTCTAGACCTGATCTCTCACTACACATATAGTTTCAGATTCCTCTTTCCCCGTAACACGCCCAAACCGTCTCAGTCTATTTTCTTTCATTTTGTCTACTATCGAAGTCACGCCTAAGCCACCTCTAAGTATATTATTAATATTGCCAAATAATCGTTTAGTATTATTATTATTACAATACAATTTATCCTAGGTACGTGAAAAATATAATATTTTTGAAAATGATTTTTAAAGACATTTTAATGGTGGTAATTTTTTAGAGTTATGCTATTATATGCGGTAGGTGCAATAGCCAGGGGTACTGGGGTACGTCCCCTCCAAAAAATTGTTCGTTTTATTGATTATTTGAATCATGCTAAAAAAATATAACATAAAGTAATACAAACTATTTTTATTATTTATTATTGTTCCAACGAGTGTGTTCGTGAATTTTACTGAGTATAAAATAATAACATTGTCATTTTCGAAATCGAGAGAAATTGTGCTGCGAAGATACTTATATTATAATAATCGATCGTATTGTTGATTCTGAAGTATACGAATTGGCCGTCCGGATGTTTGTTCACGGGAACGAGGATTTAATTCTAAACCAATATAAGAATATAAGACAAATAGAAAAAAACGGTTTTTCATCGTCAACTGTCAAGATTTACTATTTAAGAGCTGCGAAATTACTCACCTTATAATACGATACCACTTTAAACAATTAAATCCAAAGTTTTTTTAAAACGATTACTATTATTACGCATTTTAAGCTGGGCATATTTTACGCTACAGGGAGGGGGACAGTGTCGTTTTCACCTTGTAACTATAGGGCATTGTGCAAAAACTTTTTTAATCCACGACCCCCCCAAATTTATTTATTTTGATGACGTGACCCCTATCAATAGGCTTAATTTTAAGGGACGTATAATAGGCAGCTGCCCCCCTCATCAGTGAGATTACTCGTTATAGAAGACTCGTACGTAACTATTTCATAATGAAATATTTCCTCTAATAAGTACTGTCAAACCTAGAGATTAAACAAAATTACTGGTAAAATTCGTTTGACAATAACCTATATAACGTGTGATATGTTAAGTCAAAATTCCAATCCATTTCATAATTATTGTATCACAAATTCAATAGAAATAAAACTTGTTATCGCAAAAAAATATGACACAACCGTTGTCTGCGTCGCATGTTATAGCATTACACCGATGGTACAAAATAATTCTACGATAAATATTCGTAGTCTATAACTTTTTTAATTTGATGCTAAGTTGTTGGCGATATTCTGTTAAACTGTCAATGCTTCCGAGTGAGGCCCACGTATTAAAATTGAAATTTAACAATCCGGCTTCACTTTCGATCTTATTCTGTGAAAGATTTCCGAACTTAGGGTGCCATAGATTTTGTTTAAAACCGTCATAATTTCATTGTCAGTTTTCTCCTAGTATTCTAAAAAAAAAAATTACTAAGTTCCGCATGCCTCGACAGTATTAAAAATATTTTATACCATAGAAATCTCCCCGATCGATGGTTTCCGATAAAAACGATAACAATTACAATAGCAGTCATCGAAACTTGTGGTAATTAGTATTTTTATAAGAGTATAAATATAATATAATATGTGACCGATTCGAAAACGGACGACTGTTATTTGTAACGTGCGCCCAGTGTTCATTTTTGGTATTCAAAGTGGTCGCTGTGGTTCAAAATTTGTATTCGACAGTTGTCGTGCTCGAGATAGATAGGTAGGTACCCGATTGCATGTTTCGGTATGCCTAAAGCCCCAGAAATCCGAACGCGGGCTCGGGAGCGTCCGATTCTCTTATTTGTCTAAAACACAGCGAAACTCGTCTATGAATAATATTGTGCGTTTTATAAGTGTTTAACGACGACGTTTTGGGACGATTTAAAGTACCTATATGAAAATGTATCATGACAGTGGCTGAATAAATTATGTGTCTCAAATACTTATCTATCTACTAAATAATTATCTATCGATAAATGAAACCTACAATCAACAAATAACATACTTAAACATAAAAGCATCTATCGTCATTTTTCCATATGCTATTAACACTCCCTTCCCCAAATAATATTTTAGTCCTTTATGCATTAATTTACCTTAACCTAACTTTGTATACAATTGTTTGAAATTCTTATAATTATCAAAAACCAGCAGATTTTTTTTTCAAACGTTACAAAAAAATTCAATCCGTCACTAGCGTACCGAAATGTAAGAAATCACATAAGTAGTTACACGAATATCCAGGACTGTATTTGGACACTTTACGTCCCGGGGTAACATGTTTTAGAAACAAAATGAAGGTTAGTGTCTATGTTCAATTTTTTATTTTCCAAAAATAGTCTTTTAAGGTATTGAATCTTAAAGTGTCTGAACGAATTGTGTTTTTTTATACTTTGAAAGTTAAAAAAAAAAATCTGTTGAAAACGTGATAAAATTACATTATTTAAAATTCAAAAACAGATTAAATTTTAGCGGGTTCAATTGAATCGCTAAATGTAAAAAAGGAACATTTTCAAATTCTAAGCGTTTTACAAACAATAAAACTTCTTAAGAACCTCAAGTTTTATTATATTTCATAAAATAACCGTAGACGCTTGTGAATGATAACCAACTTTATATAATTAATTATTAACATGAAATTTATGTTATTACACATTTTTTTTCAGAGATTTAGTATTTTTGTCTTTTCAAAAAATTTAAAAAATGTTAACATATACAATGTATATGTTTAAATACATGTACTATTTTCTTTTTCCATTTTGCAATTCAATTATAAAACTGATTTTTCGTAATAACAATGCTTTTATATACATTTTCCGCTTTACGTGTACTTACCTCTCCTACCCCTGAATATGGGCCTGGAAAAATCAAGTCGAAAAATATGAGAATAACCATAAAAAGATGATAATTCATATTGTAAACGAGATGTTTTATCGTGTCGGTTGATACGTAGGTACCTATATTATAATATTAATATTTTAATATTTATTCCGTCGAGCATTCCATTGCATTAATCTCGGGCCTTTGAAACCGTGAAAAACTTTTCACAAAACGGTATAAAGTTCATCGTTACTGTAAGAATATGGCTACGGGCAGTATTTAATTTTGAGATTCCGTAGTTCCAGCGCTGACGTAAAAATTCAATAATATTCTGGTATACACTATATACGGCAAACAGCGTTGTTCTCCGCGATAAAATAAACGAAACTTTAATATTTAAAATAATAATAATAATAATACGATCGACATTTTTCCACCATTAAGAACACGATGAACCTCGTGCTAAATTTTCGAACATTTTAAACAACAACTAAAAAAAGCAGATATTACTAATGTCACACCGGTGTTGTAAACGTAGGACATATAAAGTTAATTAATTTATATCCGTAAGCCACGAGAAATTATTGCTAACGAAATAATAAACGGAAATTGTAAAACGAACTCGCTACATTCAAAATTTAAAAATATCGATGTTCCAAATATCTATAAATAGTTTGAAAATCCCTTAGCGAAATTTTTTCTTTAAATTCATTTCTTTATATATTTTGAATACCGCAAATAGTTAATACGAGGTTCCCATTAAAATATTGTTTTTATAATAAATTGTCTGTAGGCATTTTATTTGTTTTTTTGTGTTAACGTGGTTTTTTTTCTACCATTGAAAATCATTGATGATTTCCTACTATTGTGGCAATACAAAAACGTGTCGATTATTTTATACCATAAAAAATATTGTTCATGTTTCATACGTTAAAACTTAAAAATATACTCTTGGATATATTGTGTCGTGTAACCATATACGCAGTAACCATAACACGATTATAGCAGTCTTCAGTTGTATATTATAGGTAGTGACTTATTTCTACCAAACTTATATACGGTTTTTTGAAAAGAATTCTTTGTTTATTGTTCGTACGATTTCTCACTTACTACGGTAAGTACCTTTAAAACCACGATAACTGTCATATATCGCAGCGCCTATTATCTACCTACAATAAATAATACTATCCGTGACGAAAATTGTTTTTGAAAATAATACTGGTGTTGTCTATGTAAGACTAAGAGTAAGAAACTCTTCAAATTGTCAATTAAATAATAGTGAAATGATAGATAGAACAACTTATTTTATTTATATTTAATTTGTCATCCTCGTGTATTTTGTTTTACAAAGGTAATAATTTTAATAGGTACAGGTACGTTTGTTAGGTAATATTTTACTGTAGAGTAATACTTTAAAATATAATCTAATTTTAATACCTATAAGTAGGCTTAAGTACTTATAGCTCTAAAAAATATACAAATGTACATGAAAATACGGTTTTAAAATCATTAAAATATGAATTTAAAAAATAATAATAAATGACAATAAACATCTTAACTAATTTTATTTTCAATTATAAAAAAGTAATAACTATTTAATAATAATTATTAATTAAAAATACAACTTTTATTATTCAACTTCATTTGAAAAAAAAATTGTCCTTTTCATTGTCCTTAAAATATTGAACAGCTAAACAAGTACAATTTAAATTATAAAGTCTAAAAAAATAATTAATAATTAATAATTATAAAAAAAATTACAATATTTATAAATGCCTTTGTCACTCTAACTAAATAACTGTGTTTAGAAAAATAAATATGTTTTCTTAAAATGTTCGTAAAAATTGCATTATTGAATCTGAGTCATCCACTTCTTGAATAAATTACGCTATACAATCAGATATTTTTTTTTATATTTTTAAATGTAAATCTTCGATGATTACTAATTAACAGTACATTTTTGTAAATTGAAATATTTACAAGAATACTTTTGAACTAAAAAGAATATTTAAAAGTAGAGCTTTGCATACATTTTTGTTGAAAGAACTCTATTTACTTAAATTTGAGTTTGAAAGTAATTGTTACGTTAGTTTATTTTTTTTTTATTTTCATTCCATTCTACTTGCTCTATAATACTTATCATTTTTTAGATGATGGACAATTTTGAAATGTTTGTCACTTTCCATTTTTTTTTCAAATAGTACACAAAATAAAACATGTCCATCGGACGTCAATGTAACTTTAAACTCCGAAACATAACTTTGTAGCCGGGTACTCGTAGAAGGTTGTACTTTAAGCATTTCAGAATTATTTTACGTTATTATAATTTTATAAGCTAAAATACATATAATGGTTAAAAAGGAAAACGGATAGCGATTGTGGACGACTAAAAAGTAAAATAATACAACTGTTGAACAACTTAATAATTACGTCGATGAACACGGGGAAAATCAAAAAACAGCCACTCAGTTTATTTTCATAAGTAGAGATCGGATTTATATTCTCTTATAATCCACAAAAAGCGCTTTAAAACATCAAAAAAATCTCTGAAAAAAGCACTTACAAATATTTTAAAAAAAAGCAAAAATGATAAAGGAGTTCGAAATTCTCTTCAATTATGTCCACTAAATAATAACGAAAAAGCCAAATCAATTTTAACCATTGTTGCATAAATATTTCCGGTTTTCCGATTATTGAAAAAATTTAGTACAAAGAATATCAAAAAATGACTTTACTACTAGATTTGCTACTAGAAATCACTTTTAAGTCGAAGAAAATTACAAAACTTTTGGCAGAAAAGTTGTTCATAGATTGATTTTTTTTCTACACAGATATTTAATTAGTGGGAAATATTGGACTATTCAAAAACAAATATGTTTAATTATTATCAACACGAGACCGTTTCGACCGGTATCGTATTCATAAATTATTACGATATCATACTTCCCTACTTGACGAAAAATAATTACCGAAATACGACCCCTCTACGTCATTCTCATCGCGAAAATCAAAATGCCCTAACCAAAAACCGAGATATCCTGTCGAAATATTAGTAGCTATCTATCTAATTAATATTCAAAAACGGTTGCGGTGGCCGAACGTATAATGAGAAATTTACAACATGGTATATTGTAGGATGGTGTAAGGTTTTATCGTATCGTTACCCTCGTATATTAAATACACTAACAAATCGTTGGGTATTCGTGAGTCATAATCTTTCGAACACGTCTAAAAATGTGGAATATACTTTCAAAATTGAAAATACTTCAAACTTAAGAACCTCTCTGCCAGACCTTATTGTAAGAAATTTATATGTTTGTGTATGACTAACGCTATAGGATTCTAAAAGGTCAAAAACTTACATCTTTTGAACTGATTTATGAAAAATAAAACAAATTCAATACACAAATAATATTTTTAAATTTAAAATTCTAATAACAAATATAGCAAGCATCTACTTAAGATACTTAAGATACTAAGACTATAAGAGTTAGATTACTTGTAGGTTTTGTAAAATTTTTAACAATAAATTTAATATATCTAAAAATAATAATGGTCTAACAAATAGAACATCAGTTTTAATTTTAAACTCTGAGCGTAACATGAAATTTATTGATTTTACTGTATAACATGTATTTTCTTCTGTCTATGAACCACCGTATTAAAATATTTTAGTGCTACGCGAAATCTGTCCAAATAAGCTTCGAGTGCTCTCCCGTGAGAAAATCCTGGTTACGCGTTTGAACTTGCTGATGGTATAAATACATAGCGGTGGTCATTGTAATACTGTAATTGAACGGATTGATTGCGTAGTCTTATGTATAATTAAAATGGAAGGCTCTCTAAATAATGTCGATTCGTATATACGTGAATCAATTATTACCGCCTACTGTGATTAATGTACCTATACGAATATTATAATATGTGCCGTACATCAAAATCCGTATCGTTCAATGTTGTATAAAATTAAGTTTTAAAATATATAGGTAAAGATAAGAGATAATTGATAATTGACTAGTTAATTAGATGGAGATAAAAAAAATACGTGCAAATGTAATTATCTAGATAATGATAAATAATCAGAAACTTCTTTTCTAGATAATAAAAAAAATCTGGTTCATGGTCGTATAAAATGACCAAGTGTTAAAAAGTGTATCAGATTTGTTTCACATCTTCTAGATATCGAAAAGATTGCGTGGTTGATGTAACTCAGTAGTATCTATTTATTTAACTATAGGTAATATTATATGTATTAATAAACAATACAAATTATTTCTATATATATATATATGAAAATAGACCGAAATATACTCATCTGAAAATAATTTATCCAGATCAAATACAACACGGCTCGCGTCATAATAAAATTGTTATTATTATTTATTAATTTCGGAACAATCGATTTCATGAATTAGGATTTTATATTATTAGATGATATTTCCAAACGAATCAATTATTCTATCCGATAAATTATACGAGTGAACTTGCTTTTGAATTTTTTAAAAGGATATTTTAGGTATATTTTGACGCGATATTATGTTGATGAGATCGGAGGAAATTTTATTATTTTGGTGCTATAATAGTTTTTTGATAAAATTCACCATAGATTTAACATAGACATTTCGGGTTTTAGATCGGATTTCGTAAACGTCGACATTTTCGTCATGACACGAATCGATGAGTATAATGTTATTCTATAATATAGGCCATGTGCAAAATGTAATTTTAATCACTCCTAAAATCTCATGGTTCGTCAAACAGTGGATAGTAATTTGAGCGTATAACTGCGGTGCAACACTTGCAAACAATTGTACGATAATAATATAAATAAAATATAACTGCCTATAATAACGGTAAATTATGATTCGTGTCATATAGAATTTAAAAACTTACCTAATTGTTTTATAAACCAAATGGCGAGAAATCAAATTTCAAAAATTCAAACGCGATAAAGTATTAATTATACTAATCTATCTACGGATTTATGACATGTACGAATATATTAGAATAAAATTGTAATTTACTTAAGAACGTCTTTACAGTCTCAGACTTACAAACGCACGATATAACGATATCACGTTCAGTAGGACAAATGTTGTGCCATTAGTTATAACGTTACAGTGAATTGACCTATTGCCAGACTGTTAAAGATAAGAACATTACCTAGTTATATGCGCTCCTATGTTGGTTTGTCCAATAGTTTAGTTTTTAAACGAGATATGAATGCGTGCAGAAATATCAAAATTTTAAAATGCTTATTAAAAACAATTTTTAAGCGTCTTGAGAGCAACACAGATAATATTTTTTTGGCTAAAGATTAATTCACTATAAACTGGGTCCACACCAAACGCGTAACTGCGCACCAACGTTGCTGCAACATTTGATCACTTGCGACATTCTCGCGAGCACGGGTATCCATACTGCGTGCAAAGATGTATGTTATAACCAGTGGCGTAGCCAGAATTGTATACTGAAGGGGGATGGCACTTAAAAAGTTTCTACTTTAATAGGTACTTAAGGAGGGTATAGGTCACATGTGTTTGAGGGAGTTCAACTTCAACAAAAATATTAAAAAATGAGGTTTCATCAATCATATTTACTAATTGACTATTATTATAATGAGTAATTTATGGTACATTTTTCTTGTTTGAACTTTAACAAATTATTAAACATCTCGAATTTAATGAAAATAAAAATTGAAGGTCAACATTTTCAAAAGAATTAGCTCTATAAAATTGTTTGAAAATAATAAAATACAATTTTTTTTTTTTTTTTACCAAATAATAAAAATTTTTAATTTAAATATTTAAAGTCCTTATCCCTGTGAGAAATATAAAAAAAAAGCAGTATTTTAATATTTAGATTACATCCAGAGATTTTTCAAATGATACCTATATCTTCGTAGGACACCTTGTATAATATTATTTCCCGAAATCTCTTGTGGTAATTTTGCTACACTCCTCTAACAGCTGCATACTTCTAGGATAATTATGAGCGAAGGCAGTAATTAAATAATTTTCATTTGTGTCTTTTTTATATATATATATACTCGTATATATATTAACCACGGCTAGACCCATTAAGTTTATTCGCTAACATATAGTACCTACTCCTTAAATAATACGATTTTATACGATTCAGTGTAGAAAAGGTTCTTCGAAGAGTGGAAAAAAGAACGGTAAAGGTAGTTAACACGTTAATCGTAAAATGGTTTGCCTACATAAACACGGCCTATGAGAGGCCTATGAGGGTACTATAGCCTTGTTACGACACTGCACTGGTTACAATATAGACAAGCGTTTTCTAATTTATGTTTATTGTCATAGCAACAATACGGTATTGATGAATATATGGTACAAACCAATTGAACAAAATGCATCAAAGTATTTTGAACAAAGCTCCATGACTAGTATACTCATGTTTGTCGTGAGTGGATTTAGTCTGTACCAAACGTGTCAAACGTTACAGTAACGTTGCAGAATGTTTTGCGTTTTTGTGTTGGAGGATCAACTATTAAAAAAATTACACGGAAAATCAAAAACGATATTTATTAATGAACACGGACTAAACGACAGAGGATATTTTTCGAACACATTATATTGTAATAAGCGAGATTTGCGACACGTGCTGCGCGGATTAAAAGTTTTTTTTTACATCGTTGGTTGATGGATACATCTCGAATAGTTTGTATTCAGAAGACACGAGGTGATTTACTAAGAAACAGTACACAGATAGGTACTCAAAATATTCGTTGCGTGCATCCGGAAAAATTCGTCCAAATAGAAGTATCGTAACGGAAATCTCCGAAACACGACAATTACGAGGGGCAATTGATATTAGCGGATTTCGGTAAATAATTTACAAACAAAAAGCGTACAGGGCAAGAAAAACCTCGAAAACTTTCGATTTTCTATGAGTATAATAAAGTATAATTGCATTGGATCGCTAAAAACATCACGTTCTTAACCGGATTCAAGCAAGGGCGTAATAACGTCATTATCGAATCGAAATGGCCACGAGAAGACGCGTTTTGTTGATTTGCTATATTAAACGTAAAACGAAAAAAAACATCCTGCGGTGGTGATTCGGACTTTATAACGTTTTTTAAAAAAAATAATAAATATTTCAAAATATTATTACAGTATAATTACAATCGTATATTCTACGTGCGTTGAGGAAGTTTAATTTATTTTTTTTATTTTTCAAGTAATAACAATCAGCTTAAATCTTAATGATTTTCACCGTCTGACTCGTTAGTTTTTTTTTATTTCGCTGTATAAATGATACTTTTCCCCAATTTGATCTCAGAGAAGAATCAGATGTTTGAGTAGGTATTCGTTTATACTTATATTGCGTGTAGGTAATAAATATTGAAATCTGTGGGAAAAATATGTTTTCTCATAAAATTCTCAGGACGGTGGTGTACAATAGGATAGAATGAAATCTAGCTCGGCAAAAATTAGTTGTCGATAAATTCCAAAAAAAAATGTAAATATCGATAATTATTTATCTACTTGTAGGGATTAAAGGTTTATTTGGTTTTTAAAATGTATTTTTAAAACTATCATAAATCATACATACCTATATAACAACATTTTATTCTTATTTTTAATCGAAATTTAAACTGTATTTCTGAAAAAAATGTCCAAAACGCAACAAATGTTTGAAATAATGAACTCATAGAAAAAATGTTCATATTTTGAACTTGCCATACAATTAATATAACGATTAATTATAATAGGTTTCTTCAGCACTAGAAAAAGTGATAACCAAATTTTACGTAAACGGATCTGAAATGTTGAAAAATAAATTTTTAAATTTCTTAACCAAGGTAAATCCTACACATTTTAACAAAAACAGGTTTAATATAAACGAGAGTAAGACAACAATGATTCAACTGATTTAAGTGACTATGAAATTAAATCAGAAACAGAACAAAAATAATTTGCATCAGAATAATTTGAATTACAACATTACACACATTAAAATATGTAAAGTATACCTAGCTATACCTATTACAAAATTTTAAAAGTTGTAATTGCATGTACAAAATTAGTGAATTACTTTAGGCAAGCTCTAAATTCTTTTAATACTGTATCATAATTCTTATACATACTTTACATTCCTAACTACCCACATGTAACAGTTTCCAGCCTATCACAGGTGTGAAGTATGTCCGGTACTATATTGTTCAATACGTTTTATACATTTCAAGTATTCATTTTAACTACTTAAATCTTCAAGCTTTTCTCATTTTATCCGAAATATTCCAGACGATCCGTGAGTTCAATCGACTTTATATATTACACCGTATTGAAAGTCTTATGGGTAGATTACATATAATATTAGTTTGGTTTTACTGTTGAATATATAATACACTTCGACATTAATCCTTCTCTGTCGCAAGAAGATTTACATAAGTACCTAACAACCTAAAAAGGAATTAATTTATTTACATACTAAAAAAAAAATATATTCATATAAAAACCATCAAAACATAACCAACTTATTTGAACACAATTAAAAATATTAATATGTATACTTTTGCAAAGTTATAATAACATTTTTTCGAGGTGATAAACAAGATACAAAAATGTTTCACCCGGCAACTTTAGTAGACAAATACTACATCGATATTCGATACGACAATTATCAGTATTTTTTAATTTTTAATGGGTAAATAAAGTAAAACCAATATTTTCTTCTTGATAAACTATCTGTAAATAAAGTTTAAAAATTCACGTGTTCAGTCGTATCTGTATATTTAAAACAAATTAGAAAGTTAAGCTTTGTTATACATTTTTATATTTTCACCCTGGTCAAATCGTATATCTGAAACAAGGCTGTTAAAAGATTTAATCGTCCGATATGTTTCGAGACATGTTCGAGAAAATAATGTTCCCACTTTAATATTTTGTTATTTCTTTAATCCCTGAGAGCTGAACACAAATATTATTTTTTGTTAATCGAGCGAAACGATAACACCATATTTCTTTACGTCTTATACATATTATTATTGTACTGTACGAACGCTAAAGAAATTATAATTTTTTTTTTTCTTTGTGAAAACGTCGAACGAAAAATATTTATTTTGAAATACACTTTTGAGTAGCGACTTACCGAGAGTATTTATTCAATGTTTACAGTATATATAGGTACTTCCTGTATCGGGATGAGCCATATCATACGACGAAATCGTGAAATCCCGACGAACATTATTGTCGATAATAACAATGGAATAACTACAGAGTTGTGTAATAATAATAAATAATCAAATCTGTGTTATACTTAAGGAATCTGTCGTAAAAAAAAAATACCTAATTTATCACGGTAAGAGGATGTTGTACCTGTATAAATCGTTTCGCGTGGAACCACTTTTCTCGCACCATATTATATACAGGTATTTTTTACTGGTATAGAATTATCAAATTTTTACAACACATAAAAACTGACTTTCAGTGTGTGTTGAGACCAAACCTAACCTAACCTTCTGAATTTATTGAGTACCTATCAAAATAATAAGCACATTATAGATACGACATAATGAAAGTACTTTCTTATGTATTCTGAATTTTTTGTAACTCTATGTTATACTATATCTTTGGTTCCATAGAAGAAGGTCAAGTTTGTATAGTTTGCAATGCAATTGTCAAATTAAATTTTTAAAATACATACGCCTAAGCAATTTATACCAACAAATAAAGGAGAAAAAAATTACAATAGACAAAATCATAAAAAATGTCGAAAATTAAGCCATTTTCCTTTTAAATGAAAGACATAATAAATACGGAAAAAAAATAATAACTCTGCGCAAAACGGAATTTCCGCTTACATTTCAGTTTATTCTATTGTTGCACATTATCACAAGTATATTGTAATATACTTGTGATAATGTGAAACAAGTTTAATGTTACAAATTTATCTCAAAGTAAATTTGAGTTGATACATTTTCATTTTTTAAAAATATTTTATTGATATTGCTTAAACGCACACCCCTTTAATCATAAACGCTAACTACATGTAATTGAAAAACAGCAAGCTGAAGCCCCCCTTCTCATCAATGTTTTTGTTGGTGCTCGTGTTGAATTATCGACGTGAAAAAATAAATGTCCGGATAAGAGTGGTAAAATTAAACGGTGACAGGCTGTGCTGCGATCACAAACATTGTGAATCTTATAAACGGAATTAAGACTCCTTATTATGGTATTCATAATATCCAATCGATCGCACCGATTTTTGACCAATACTGCAATATTTAAAAAAAAAAAATTATGAAAACAGTGCTATTCTCAATGGTTTTTTTTATTAAATGTCATAATCCGCATTTTCAACAGAATATATGTTTTTAACGCAGAGCTAAAATAGGTGTCACTATCAGTTCTCAAGGAATACAACATAAAAAACATAATATTATCTAGACTCTATTCAAGAATATCGAAATTCCAGTTTATAAAATATTTGCAATGAAATAGATTTAAAATCGAATGAACTTTATTAAAAAAAAAAAAACATCTGCTTTGTCACTTTGACGAATTTTCCCCTAGCCAACTTGTCACCACCACAGTATTTTATTTTATTGTATAATAGTGTTTAATCAATAACTAAAGTTTTAGTATATTTTAGTCTGTAGAGGTATTTCAATCCTGATATTTATTGTGAAAACTTAAAATTTGAGCATAAAAATAGTTGGGGAGAAGGTTGAAAGTTGAAATTCCCAAAAAGCAAATTCTTGATACTTACACCAGGTCCGAAAAAAATTACAACCATCCGACTTAATTTTTGGGGGTCTATAAGGTATACAAAACTAAAAAAACCACCCTCCTCTCTCAATAACGTGGAAATAATAATGGGGAAATTCGTATTAAAATTCAACCAAAATATTGTATCACATCAATCCGTTTATAAAACAATTCTAGTTCCCGAATTGAGTTCTTCCCTCTAGGGAGAGCTGATTAAAGTGTCCAAAAGTAGCAGGATAAAGACTATATAGTTATAGTACGCAAAAAAAAATGAATACCGAAAACACTCGAACGCCCACCGTTATTAAAACACGATACCTCGTTACCTACATAGGTTATTTGACCACGCAATAAATTTGATGAAATTAAATTTGCCACGTAATACTTACACCTCGCGTATAAAGGAAAATCAGGACATCGTATACCCGCTATACCTATGATTTCTAAAGTGGACAAGACGCGATTTTATTACTCATCGTTGTCGGTAAAACAATATGGAGAGACCGAGTTACGGAATATGCGCAGCTGCTGATCCACAGCTGTCGTTTAAAATTGAATATAGTGGGTACTCGATTCCAGTAAGATTTTCAAGAGATATTATTATAATTTATAATTTATAGCGTTGATATTATTATCGTTTCGCGGCCGCCCATCAGCCACTTCACTGCAAAATAATTACCCCCGTGAATAGATTGCTGCTGATGATATTGCGTGTAACCTCTTTGTCCTTTGAACGTTATGAAAAAAGTAATAATAATAAGTCTAACAAAACATTATCCTCTTAGTGGTAAGAATAATACATTTATTTAATTATTATATATTTAAGTTTTTTTCTACGAGACGCTTAATAAGATAAGAACATAGATATAATGTAAGATAAAAACAAACGTTCACTCGAAACAGAATTCATTGGAATATAGAGAAAAATGCTATAAATGTGTATTTCCTAATATAATATATTGCCAAATGAGCCAAGTAAGTCTTTTTCCAAATAAAACTTTGAATGGGTTTCAAAATATTCAGGAATACTATTTGATGAACACATATTTTTTTTCAAATAGTTTTGATCCTACCTTTAAATCATTGGGTTCAATATTGTAGGTAGTAAAATGTATACCATCCTTCGAGAATGTGACGTTACTACGTAAACTACGTGTGATATGTGAAATTTATTATGAGTCGATTATGAATCATCATGTTGAAAAAAAAAAAAAATTTGAAAATACAAAAATAACCGCAGTTACAAAAAAAAAATGTATTTTTGAACTTATTTTCTTAATTTTTTCCCCAGATGTACAAATTCTTAAATCCGGCTCTGCCTTTGACATACCTACTCCGTTAGACATTGACGATACTCCCTCCCCCTAGAATAAAGGTCTAAAATAAACACTGATTGTAATGATTGTCTACTGATTGTAGGTGTTACAAACTTCTAAAATATCTCCAACCTGTTGTTTCTGATACTTAAACAATTTTGAAGAACGTTAAATATTTTCAAGTTTTTTCTTTAAACTTTGTTTGGATATCATTTATAATAACACTGGAAAATAAACATTAATTTTGAAATAAGACACTACGTTTCTAACATTAAAATGTTTCACCACCACCTAATCTTCAAAGAATCTCAACCCTTCATTAAAATCATGTGTAAACGAACTTAGCTCAGAATCATTTTTCGTTAGTTATAGTTTATTGTTGCTTACAGGTACAAATTAAAGAACTTTATACATACTACCTTCCAGCTTCTCATCTACAACAGTGGACCATCCATCAGCAGTATCAGTTTTTTTTTTAATTTTCCAGTCATTTTTCTTGGTATTTTCACGAAATCATTTTTCTTTTTCGCTGCAACATCAAAATGTTCTATTTTATCGGTGTATGGTTTTGACTACTGCTGCCATGTCATCATTCTTTGATTTTGGACCGATGAAAAGAAGTAAATCGAGCGGATTGATTAAATCACTTTAAATTTATTAAAGTCGTAAAGTCGTCGATATATACAAGCGATTAGTTTATGTCGAGTTACGTAATTTTATAACATTATAATATATAACGAAAACCTGCACGCACCTATATGTAAACATTATTACATTATATTATATTATATTTGTGTTCCTTCGGAGTTTGTTTTACGTTCTCGGTAGCTTTCCCTTGAGGGACCGCCACATTTCGTCTAAACGAAATCATTTCGATTAGGCACCTACGACCTACCTATACCTGATATTATGACTGTCTTTCGACGTGTTTAAAATGTATATATTTATATTTTTTCATTAAGAAATGCCGTTTCAACATTATTATACGCCGGGCTTAATACTATATTATTTTTTATTTACAATGAACTCTTAATTAACCGCTTATTTTCGGGGTTTTCGATTCGTGTATGGCGTTTCACTTTATATTCGTAAATCGTATTACGCACTAACGCACCTACTTACTCGTATAATCGAGGAAATCCCATTATGAGACACGCATAAGAAATCTATAGGCAATCTGCCTAACTTAGCTATCGCGTTCCACTCTACCGTAGTTCGGTAATCCACTAACGATTACCATCTATAGTTCCTACTACCGAACCGGTGCAGTGTAGATTGCCTACAACCGATTATAGTCACTCTTACTAACTTGAGGTTTATCAAAAAACAGAACAACCTCTATTGCCGCAACCACATATCATCCATTATTGTACATATATTAATACTGGAACTTAAGAAATAAATTTACGCGGTAATCAAAATCAACTGAATTCACGTCATTTTAGAAGCGGTGACGAGTTCAAAGAGCAAAAATCGTTTCATGGTTTATTTATCTATTCAAGCCAAAGTTTTTCGGTTATCAATATTCAATAATGTGTTGCTAAATAAGAAAAACAATTTTTTTTTTTTTTTACTAAGTTTATTAAAAAGTTATTAGATTTTCGAAACCATATTTTCAATTGTAAATTATACACATTTATTATCAACGGCAGTCAGAAACGTCATATCAACATTTTTAATTAGTTTTTTATGTCAAATCTCGAAATTGAATAAGTGATAATAGTTACGTCGTTAATTTTATAATTTTTATAATATACATTAAATTTGAAAAATATAACATGTACTTTTAATGAGATATTCCAATTTTAAATGATGATAAATATTATTTAAATTGATATCCTTGTCACGGGACTAAAAGGGTTTGAAAGAGATGAAGGGATACTACGTTTATATGCAGTCACTAATACGCAGAAGTAAGACTGGAAATAAATGTTGATAAAACTAAATACCTATACGATATTATAGAGAAGAGTAATACCGAACCACATACATACAAATTTAAAGGTAGGCGTTTGTAGGTTCATGAGAATGAGAGTTTAGGGGGTCGGTAAAAAACGAAGAAGCCACCCAAATAAAGGCAAAACTACAAGCTGGGAACGAATGTTCCTATAAAATACCTAACCAAAACAAAATTAATTGTGTGTATTTTTGAAAAAAAAAACAACTGAAATTCCAGATGGTTTATATTTCGCGCGGTGTTTTTTAATGAACGAATGTTTAAAAATTCTATACGCACCGCAGAAATTCGGATAGTTCGGAATTCGTTTTTTTATTTTACTGGTTTGACTTAAAATAATAAATGTACTTTAGAGTTGGACTTTGTATTATGGGTTTTTGTTTAGAGACGGGCAGATCCGTTGTATAATTATTAAACGAGTAAGTTTGTAAGTTTGTATAGGTACCAAATATCGTGTTTCGGTACCCTAAAAAAAACTCCCCGGTCGAAATAAAATCAAATGAGCGTTTATAAAGAATTCTGCGCTTTTGCAATGCGATACTTGCACTATCTCGGTAGAAAAAAATATGTTCATGTCAACACGGTGACGGCACGACGAATAATATCTTTCAAACACCCTTCACACTGTGAACTAAAAACATTAAAAATAAAAACATCAAACGCGGTGTCATTATAATGTTCTTTGCCCTTGAAAAAGAAAGCATTTTGTAAGCAAATCATTAATTTAATTGACTATTAATATTTAATACACTTAGACCGTTAAAAAATGCGTAAAAAACAAACGTGATGTTTTTTATTCAAATAGTGTGTCTACATTTTTACTGTATACCATCAATAATTGACGTGAGTTGGAACCAAGCCAGGTGCATGCAGACAATTAAATAAAATACTATCGCACTTTTTGAAATCATTATTAAAGAATAATATAATTGACTATCATACAATTGTGATAAAGACAGTGAATTAAAAAAAAATATACCCGAAATTTCGCTATTTATTTTTAAAGGAGTTTTCTGTGTCTAAATCCATATAGTTAAGTCTATTGAACACCTTATATAGTAACATATTGCTTATTATGTGTTCACTAGAAAATAAAACTGAAAATAATTGAATCAGTAAATTGTGTGGCAAAATATTGTATTTATGTACATCAAATACTCTCAGTGGCGAAGAAAGATAACTGAAGAACGTTACAATAGGGATGGGTAATTGCCAATTTGGACGACATATAGGATACAGAGTAATTACGTTAACAAGTAATCAAGTATAAATCATTACAATATTGAGAAAAAGATTCAGAGTTTAGCTAGATAAACTGGTAAATTAATAGTATTTGTATTTATAAGTGATAGTATTTATATAGTATTATTTATGATTTTTTTTCTTTGTTGTAGCCAAGATAACTTGGAAATCAACAAAATTGAGACCGACGACTTGTCGTCTTTTGTTTTCAATATTTTTTCACGCGTCTTAAATATTTTTCGTTTTTCCTAAACGGTTCATCCCGATTATTATGAATACCGTTCAGAAAATCAAAAAAATGGCTTCCTCGTGTACCAATACTAGATTCAATATAGAACAAAAATAATCTTCTGCTTATAATTTACTTCCAGAATACAAATTTAAGAAATAGTAAAACCAATAAAATTTTCTCGGTTCACTTAGAATCTAAAAAAAAAACTTTTGAGTACGAACGCGTAAATATTTTAGTATTTTTTTCCTGGGTTTATTAAGAACCGTATAAACCGTAAAACCGTTTTAGAATATTATGTACAGTGACAATATTGATAACATTAAAAATAAAAATAATAAAAATAGGTAGGTAGGTACACGCAAAATAGGTTTTGTTTTTACATATCTCCCTACTCAGATATAATATACAAACACACCATACAGAGTGCATGCGCATTATAATATAAACGTACATATATATATATATTTATTTTTTTTTTTTTTAATAAAACAAATAAAAATTCAATTCTCAGAATAAACATCGAATGTATTCCATTAGCCGGCAGGGAATTTTGTGCTCTATACGTCGGATTGTTACGCTTACTCCCACCACTAGCAACTTGCTCAGTATTTTGCCATTTTTATATGTATCAAATGGTATTCTCGAGTTAATAATATACATACTAATAAATATAGTAAAATTATCGCCATTGTGGTATATTTTTCTATGGCTATACGATTCATTTGTGAAAAAAAAAAACAAAACGATTTCACAAATCTATATGGTGGACGAAGGTGAAAAAATATATCTTTGTCCATTACGTCGTGTTTAGGGTTTATGAACCCTACAATGTACTTAACTTGTCAATAACGCCACGTAGGATTTCTAGGCCTTAGGGCCAGGTAACCACAGGCTTATGACGCCACCTAAGGTCTCTAAAACCTTTGAAAGAAAATTAATAAGAAAAGAATAAGATTGGGCATGGCCTGTAGAACAAGTGTCTAAAATGGTTTATACGATTTCGTTATCGATTTATTTTACGGCGAGAAAATATTCTTATATGGTGACAGACGGATATCCGACAACATTTCGAAATTGTCTTTTTAACTTCCATAATTGTTCACACTTGAATTTTTAACCGAATTTCAGTGAGAAACTACAAAATTATTTTTGTTATAAAGATGTAATTTTAAATTTCACATCTGAGAAAATTTAACCACTTATTTGTTTGTCTCACTCCTGACTGCAACTACTAATAAGACGTTATTTAGTAAACATTTTTAAAGACGGTTTAAATTTCTCGTAAAAAAAAAAAAATAATAATAATAATAATAATAATAAATAATGAATATAATGACGGACAGGCGGATGTAGAGGCTGCGTGTTCGACATTCCGTTTCTGGCTCGGGGAGCGTTGACGCTTTTCAAAAAATCGATTTCCGCCGCTGGACCCGTAATGATATAACATTTAAGCAGTACTGAATCCATACATCAGCAGAACTTATTTAAAATATATATAAATATACATATTAAAGTATATAATATTTTTTTCTTATCGAAAAGCGCAAGCTGGAAACGAATGTGCAGTAAATTTCATAAATCGATATTTTTTTTCACAAATAATCGGTTAATAGTTTGTAAAACGCAGTTTTCGAAAATTCCAACAGAAAAATAATAGTTAGTAAGTAGTTTGATTTGCTGCAATACAAATATTTTGTCCGAAATGACTCTGACATTATAAACTCAACCGTTTTCCGTTAGTTAACCTAACCAAAACTTTTAAGTACCTCGGGGGAGATGGGAGTATTCATCCTCTTCCGTGATCCGTATAATGTGTGTGCATTGTTATAAAACTTGTTATTAGTGTCTAAAATTACTCATTTTTTGAATTTAAATATTATATTTTACATTAAATATAAATTAAAACACTCGCATAATAACTGTACCCGATTGTCATATCTATTAATATTAATGTTGTGGTTATTGCATGCATTTTTTAAAGAATTTTTAAAATACATTTCTCTCCTACCCCCTTTCTCCATCCACCATAAGACGCGTCTAAGTATGCCACTGACTTAGGTCCCTATCGGACGATGTAATAAACGACTTTATGAACTTTAAAGCGTTACGACACGCAGTTTCTATACTTTCGGTAAATAGCCATTAATAATACAGTTGTAAAGGTATTTCTATAAAAACACTCGGTGTTTTTTTCTTCCCGTGAACAAGTTTTCAACCAGAAAACGTACTCCAATCAAACAACTTCTTTAGATAAACATTCTTGCACTTTCCCGGAGTAATGAAGGAACACTGAAAAAAACCCTCTGAAAAACGAGAATAAGTATTTACGTAATGCCAGCTATTTTTACGTCGATTTTTTTTTTTTTTGGAAATTCGGTAAGAAACAAACGAGCACATTTGTAGTTTTCACCAAATACTTATGCTGCCTTAACGTGGTATAATTTCAAAAGTATTACGGCTTTTATTTTAAAATAATTATAGTTTAAATCTTATATGTTCGATGTTTTTTCGTGTTATGATTCGTTTTATGTAAATAGTTTGTTTTTCTTGGTAAAAAAGCTCTATAATTTGATTTTTATCAGGCTAAAAAGGAATAAAAAGTTAAGTGTATCTAATGTTACAATTTATTTCCACTGAGTGTTTGAAATCAAATTTTGACTAGTAGAAATCGTGGAAAATTATTTTGTAGCTGAAAATTAATACAATTTTCAATTTAAATTTAGCGAAACTTTTTAACCGAGCTTCACTCATAATCGTATTTCATTTGAAATGATTTATCATGAATGGAGAAAAGAGGAGTAATTATAAATAAATTTATAGTATACTCGTATTTGTTTTTAGATCGACGCTAATTACAAGTTATAATTTTTATTTTTATTTTGTAAGGTTAGGTTATAGTTTTTACGGCGAATCAGTACAAAATGCGTTACATTATATTTTTAATTTGTACACGGCTAAAAAACATAGGTACCTTTGTTATAAAAAACACGTGCAACTCAATGTATGTAAAGTTTATCATTATGAAGTTTGCCTTTTCACGGCTATTAGACTTTATGTACAATGTATATAATAATTTTTTCTTTTCATTTTTCCACTCGTCCTGTTTTGATATAGGTTGTAGGTATACAAAAACAATTCAAACGAATTTTCAGTGCCTTTTTAATAGTACTATTATACCTTGGAAAAAAAAAACATGAAAAAATGAGTTAAGTGTAAAAGTGTTGCGAGGCTTAATCGGGTCAAATTATTACATTACTTTATTAATTTATGCATATGACAATTCGGTATTTTTAATGGATAACAGATAAAAGTATTAAAATAATTATAATAATAAACAAACAAAATAGATAAATCTATAAATATATATTTATTAGTTACAATAGGGACGACATTTATTGTTGTAACTTCTTTTATACAAATAATAATCTTCAATCTTCTTTTGTAGAAAAAAAACCACATTACGTTGTAACTAATGCATTCTTCGCTATTTTAGCATTTTAAACCTGGCTCACCCATATTCAAATTATTTAAAAATAAAATAAATCATTTTTTTTAGTACTTACGAACACAGAAGTTACGATTCTATGAAATATAATAATAATAAATATGAACTTTTCACTTATATTTATAAGGTAAGTTGTGCCGTTTTAGTTGAAATTTGAGTTCACGTACAAATAACAAAATATAAATAGAAGAATATTTTAGATGGCTGACCTTAACTTTTTTTCTACAAAATTGTACGAAATTTAACGAAAAAGTAACAGTTATATTAGTTTTTGCATTTTTTAAATAGCATTAATTCTTTAAATTTTGTAATTAATGATTATTGATTAAATTCCAATTTTAATCTAAACGCTAACATTATACGTTATGTTCTCAGTTACTTAATTTTTTCATGTCATGAGCTATAAGACGGAGACAGTGCATATGGTTATTGTAATAACTACTGACTGAAATTTCACTTTATGTCATAGTGCACTCAGTTGCATCCTAAATTGTGAGAACCTATTAAAATGATGGGTTGTTGCAGCTATCTTTTATCGGGTGTGTGCGATTGTCGTACAATACATTTGATAGTCAGTGGACACGACACCAACAAGTACGACACTAATTAACAGTGAACGACTGAATGACAGTTTCAAACCATTTAATATCGATATCATTTTGTATTAATAAGATACCTGCCTTTTATCTGACCATCCATTATAAATGGATTTTCGGCTGTTTATATACTGGTTATAGATGGGTAAACGTTGATTACAAATAATTGGGGTCGCATCATTTCGACACGGTAATTTCGACGTGTGTCAAATGAACACGGTCATTTTGACGCGAGACAATCGGGCGCATGACACATTTCGACGCACGTCATTTTGACGCTTTTTTTTTTTAACTATTTTTGATTTATTTTTCAAAATAAATGTATATATAAAATAAAAACAAAATAAATTATTAATAAATATAAAATATACAATTTTTATAAATATCTGAAATATTATTGCATATATACATTTATTTTGAAAAATAAATCAATAATAATAATTAAACAAAAAAAAAAAAAAAAAAATGCGTCGAAATGTGCTATACGGCCAATTGTCTCGCGTCAAAATGTTAAAAATCAACTCATATTGGTAATAATAAATAATAATAAATTTATGAATATGAAATATAACCCAAAAATAATAATATTTAACACATAACGTCCTAATATTACTGTAGAAATATTATTACAATTACATAAGCAGTTTACATTTCAAATTTTAAATATTTTTAGTAGGATAAAACAAAATGATTAACTTATTAATAAATAGTACATATAATTTTAAAAACAAAATTGTATTGTTTTTACCCCTTAGAAAATCTCGTTTTACTCTTAGGGGGTAAATTACCTTTATTTTCCTATATGTGCCATTCCTATCTCCGCGTTTGCACATTAATTACATCATATAAAAAGCCTATAGGTTATTAGATTTTATAAAAAGAATTTCGAGTGAGTTTAAGTTTGCCAACTCACTTATAACCTTATACTGCGCTCTCGTAAGACCTATTCTTAAAAACGGCTCTGTTGTTTCGGATCCCCATTATACTGATTCTTGTCGTCAACCTGAAAGCCTCCAAAGAAAGTTCGTCAATTATGTTAGTTAATCTTTAAAAATTCCTTGCCCTATTCATAATTATGCGCCCACCTTAGCTAAATTTAAGTTATCTTAATCGTCATTACTCTCATAAGATTTCTCAAATCTCAAATACAAACTCGATATCAGTATGCTCAACTGTGGGAGATTTATAAGGTACGTTTAACCCAACTCTGAGTAAAAAATGATCAGCTCCCAAAGAAAAACCTTGGCTATGCCACTGGTGAATGGAATACGATGGAATGACCTTGAGGGATATAAAAGTAAACGGGTGAAAGAATACAAGGCGAATAAAAACTAAAAATTCAGACGGTGGTGGCTGAAATTGTTACTGCGAAGTTATGAGACCACATATAATGATAATATTGAAAAAATTTGCAAAATTTATCGAAATATTAGGTGCCTATTTATACCTATTACAGATCGTTGGGAATTTGAATTTTTCACCGTATCCTCATGTTGTATAAACGTAAATTAAATGATTAAATGCTATAAATGAAACGATATTTCGAATAATAAGAAATTTATAATATCGTACGTCGTGATATTTGGTCGGGGATAAAATCATAATACACCTATCATCATTCTTTTTAGCAGTAAACGAAATTGGCAGTAAACTTTAAACGTGCGTAGGGCGCCGGACAGTGAGATAGATAACAAGCCCGCGTGCGTCAACTAATTATAAACTGTCATAATATTGACCTTTGAAACAGATAACTACAGCAGCCCGAAAACAGATTACTATAATAGCGATTAACCGACAAAATATGTCATTTTTCACTTTTCAGATAGCACGTGTATGTGTATACATGCGTGTCCTAACTGCATGTCCGAAAAACGCTATATATTTGTACTATAAAACTGTGAAAAATCAATAATATAATAGGCGATCCAGATACTAACGAAACGGTCGCGCAAATTTTTAAATTTTTATTTTTTTTTTACATTTTATAGACTGATGAGCGAAGGAAGTTTTGATATTGTTATATGATGAACGCTTTAAAAAAAAAAAAAAAACTATTATTCTTATTGTGAACAAAAAGTTTCGACAAGAAACTTTCTTGTAGCGTTTTTGATAATTTGTTTGAAAGTCTTTTTTACATATCCTATTAAAACACGTTAAAATTGATTTTGTTTTTTATTTATATTAAAATATATGAATTTCAACGCTTTAAAAATTATTTTGTGGGAAAACCACCTTTACTTTTTGAATTATGACGCTTTTATATTTCAAAATGTGATAATAATATTTATACCTATATATAGCCAATTGTATGATACAATTTTAGGAAATCAACAATGCTTCTGAATTCGTTACGAACTAATCAAGTGCAAATTATTCAATTCCATAAAGTTTATAATCAAAAAAATTGAAACCTATATTATTTTAAAAACGCAAAAAAAAAATTTAAATTCACATGGGCGTTAAAGTAGATTTATTTTTTTATTTTACATTTTAGAACGAGGTTTGATTTTTATGATTTTATCAGTTAGCTTGTTATCGGTAAATTTCTTCCGGTAGTCTGTCGTTAAATTTCAGACATTCGTAACTATATCAGATTTGTGTCGAAATTGAAAAGGTTTCCGACATTTTAAACTATCGAAAACGAGTATTTGAAAGGAGATCACTGCACAGATGTAGCATAACAATCGTTTTGCGATTTAATAAGACAACTTACTTCGGATACCAGATTCTAGAAATTTCATTTAAAATATGAACTAATTCATAATTATAAAACTGAATTAAGATTATAAACTACCTGGTTTATTTTTTTCTTTATACACTTACTTGTTTAGTTCAAATTCATTGGTAAGTTCATTAAAAGTTCATTTCATTATAGATTTTGTTTAATTTTTTTCCTAGTTTTGGTGATTTTATTATGTATGAAGTATATACCTTCTCTTTAAATAATCTCAAGAAGAGGTCTCGGTAAAATTTGCCACCATCTCAATCTTTCTATACAACAATATAACAATAAACCTAAATAATAGATATAAATTTGAATTTCGATGGTATTTTTTAAGTTATTTTCTTGGATTATTCTCAATTTAGTATTTAGAATCTGAATTAAAATAGTTTATTTGAATAAAATATTAATTGAATTTACGTTTTTCTCGTAGATATTGAACTTTAAACGAATGAACGAGTTTATTCCGAGGTATGCAACAGACGACCTAACCTAAAATAAGGAGTAGCCAGTGGTGGATTTAACGGTCGTTTAGTTGACAAATGCCGACGAGGTCTCCTTCCCTAAATTGTGTACTGAGGCACACCTAAATTAGGTATATAGTTGATCTTTTAAAATCATGTCCAAAAAAAAAAAAACAATTATATTGCAAAATATAAAATAATATGCCTACCATTGTTTTAACAATTAAATAATTTAAATATACAGGAATACTTTAAAAGTAGAAAATGTTATAATTAAACAAACAAGAAAAGTTCGAACAAATAACTTGTATACGTAAATCTAAGGTATCCTACCTTCTATACCCACTACCATTGATTACAAATAATATTATTTGTAATTATAATAGATGCTACTGCAATACTGCGTACTAATCTCTATGCACAAATGTATGAGTTCATAATCAATTTATTGTATAGCATTTCACCGCATCGGTTTTCACACACAATACAAATTAAAATACACCAATAATAATAGAATATATACTAAGTTATTCTACATTCATCATTAAACATTCATTGTCCCATGAGTTGACCCAAATTGGAAACTCATTTAAAACATTTTTAACATTATCCATTGGAAGTGTGAGTGCTAAAAAAGCTATGAGTGTACTGAGAAAATTAAAAAATTATCTTAGTTCAACTAAAGTTCAAAACCGAACAAATAATTTAGCCTTACTTTATGGAATATAAAGTAGTACAACTTTTTGATATGAAGGATCTTATTAACAATTTTCCACAGCTATAGCTTGCAGAGATTCTCAACTATAGTTTTGTAATTTTATTTTATATACTAACTATTAATTTTGTTTTATTTGTAAAAATATTGTAATATTTTTTTTGTAATAAGAAGATTTTGTTACTGTAAAACTGTTTTGCAAATTTAGGGTAAGTATGTCATTGATACATTTTGTACGAAGCCCCTTTTATGGATTTTCCGAATTTATTTGAACCTTCAAATCTACCACTGGGAGTAGCCCTTGGTCCTTATTCTTCATTTTCCAATATGCCCTTATGTGTCACCTTTTATGCGACGTCCCTATAATTTTATCGTACCTTATGACCATAGTAACAGTGGCGTGGTGAGCATATTTCAGACCCTAAACAAAGCATTTATACAATGACCCTCACCTACTTCTTCTTACCTCATAATATATAGATAACTATATACATAGATATTATTCGGATAGTGTATATTAAATTATTTACATACCTACTCAATAAATATCACACAATAATATCCGTACATCGTTCATGTAAAATTTCGTAAAGGTACCCACCCATTTCTAGAGTTAAGCAATCGCATAAAGGAAACGTCGTTCATCACGCCACTGCGTGGTAGTAAATACACGAACGATTAATACTATTTTATAACAACACGTTTTACTATTCGTCAAGGACTGGCGAAGTTTTTCTTTTTCCCTATCTCGTCGTTATATTGAATGGATTATTTTCTTCCGGGTCTTATATATTGTAAAATTAAAATAAAAACGAAACGTGTACGATTTATATCCTCATTCCGCGAGAGACCTACGACGACACTCCGGTTAAACCTAAAAATACGGGTTTCGAAAAAAAAAATAACCAGATTAATTTTTTATCACCCACGTACACGTGCGTATATATAGGCAACCTACTGTCGGCGTCTGATGAATTTTAAGTATATTATATACACGCCACTATAAATGTACCGAAAAAGTTTTATATACGTCAGCAAAGTTGTACGGTTTGGCACGACTTCGACTACATCGCATAATCCCGAAATCCCGATGCGTATATAAGTATTATAATACTATTATATGTGTACACGCATAACACAATATTATATCCGCACGTTTTTGCACCATAATAATTATATGCATTACATAAACACAAAAAAATATCCCTTCCGTAAACTTTTTCATATTGCAACGTTACTACGTGATTAATATTCAAAATGTTCATAAAGAGAGGAACAACGCTGCGACGACAGTAGGTAAGTATGTACAACTCGTGTCTTTAATAAATAATAATATCATAAACGAACGAATAATAAATAATAAAGTTGTTTTTTTTTTTCGAAAATGCTGTGATAATTTTCCGTACGAATTTGCACAACAATCAAAGTATTTGAAAAAAATAAGTAAAACGCCATTTGTTTTTTTTTTTTTTTACTCACAACATGATTTACAGAAAAAAAACTCATACAAGCTGATTCTTTTTCGATAATTCCCTCAGGATGCGTTGTACATCAATTGTATACTCTGAGTGGAGCAAAAAGCTTAAGGTTTTACAAAGATGTTTATTTATTTTTTTTTTTTTTATCAGTGTGCAACTTTTCTACAAGAAAACTCGGATTTCTACGTATAGCGCCTTTTCTGAAAAGAAATCTACATGAGGAGATACTTATAGGAGGTCATTTTTCGATTTTCTCAAGTGTTTTCTCATCAAATGCGAAAAACCGAAAAAACGGGAAAATTTACAAAATATGATAAATACAATTTACGATTTTTTTTTTTTTTAGTGGACAACTTTTCTACCAGCAATTTTGCTCCAATTTTTAATAACAGTAATGTTTCTAAAAGAAAATTTCACCAGCAAGGTACTTTAAACAGGTTATTTTTCGATTTTATGCATCTGCGCAATGAAACCGACTTGCATTTTTGTGTACGTAGGTACAAACAATGGCTGCAGGTTTTTAATTAAAATAAATCACTCTCTTTAATATATATAAATGAATATAAATTTAAATCCGAATTTATAACGTATCGTCCGTACGATACACGCGACAAGTATATTATACTGTGAACCGACGTGAATTGAGCCGACTAAACTATGCGCGCTTATATATCTAATATTGGCCGACCCCAAATAATTTGGATGAAGGAGAAGATGATATATGTAAATGTTTGTTCTACAAAAGTGTCCAACGATCATTTTATAATATACACATAAATTATGACACAATCGGCGTTTTACATTCGTGGCCCAAGGAAACGAGCCCCTCCCCGTGGTCTCTGTCTTAACCCGGTCTTGAAAAGTGTCTGCATATCGGACATGTCAGTACATATCGGTATGCACATAATATCGGTATGAAAACCATTTTTAAAATTAATTTCAAGGTGGCATATTGTTGTGAAAAACGAATTATTTGGTTTAATTCGCAATACTTACTTAATAGTATTATCCCTAGTGTTGCGAACAGTATTAAATTAAAATTCCTGACGGAACTGCAGTGTACTTATGAATGAATACATTTTGAAAGAGGTGCTATATTATAGATATTTAAATGCGTCAATTTCTATATTATATAATAATATTGTGTAATTACAATAAATTACATAGAATTATAAATGCATGCGTGTATTCATGATATTTATACTGTACATAAATATTCGTATATTGTACAGATATGCTTTTATTGGCTTTGGTAAACGGACAAATTGGGATTTTCATACAGTCGATGTATACGATTTATTAATTCGTCGAGTATTACATTTTAACGATTTCGTAAGGTGTTTTCAAATATTTTATATACTAAGTGGAGCGTAGAATTTATTAGTTTTACTATGATGTGTGTTTTAAATTCTGACCGAAGTGAGGAATGTATTGGTTTTACAATGATGTTTATTTTTTTTTTTATCTAAAAACAACTTGTCTTCTTGCACCGATGTATCGAATGTAGTAGCGTTTTTGAAAGCAGTTTTTATCTGAGTGGTACATTAAGAATGCCATTTTATGATTTTCCAAGCAGTTTTCGAAATAATTAGGAAAACCGAAAAAAACAAAGGAAAAAAGGGACAAAGTTACAGCGTTAACGATTTCTCGTCAAAGCCACAGTTCTTTTTTACAAAAGATTTTAAGTACTTAAAACTCTCAACCTCACCTATTACGTCACCGCTTGTTGTCATTACTTGTCTTGTCTCATCGACCTCTTGCCTTCTTCCTCCAAACACATCTATACTATAATATTATTATAAATGCGAAAGTAACTCTATTACCTTTTCAGTTTTCACGTCTAAACCGCTGAACCAATTTTCGAAAATAATTTTTTTCACAGATTTCTTATGTTACTGCGAAGGTTACTGGCTAATGAGTTTTTCTTTCTTTTTTTTACATTTCAAAACGCGGAAAATCATCGAAAATCGCTGCTTTATCAAAATTTAAAACTTTTGAAAATTTTTGTTTCGCATTGTATGTAGGTACGATGGCACGGTGTAACTAGAACTGGAAAAAATGATCAGATTTTGGAATGAGCAAATCATGACGGATCAGGGTAGTTAGTATTTTAGTAGTTAGTTAATACGAAAACTGGATTAGGATACCGGTTCTTTAGAACGACCATTAACGAAGTCCGTTCCGCGCTTGAACTCACAACAAAGATTCAATTTTTATAATGTTTAAAGCTCATAATTCAGAAAATTCAATACACGTTAAATTGAATTTCAATAACTGATTTCTGATTACACGGGAAGAAATGTATTTCTTTTTTTATATTTCTATACCCCTGGTATGAAGCTCTAAACTGCACCCTTTGTATGTGCCTGAAAAGTCATTTTTAGTTGTAAAAACTTTCCCCTTTATGGGTATTAAGCAGTAGGTTAGTATTAAAAATCTTATCTTTAGATGATTGGGTAAAATAATATAAATAGATAATTTTAAAATTTTACAAAATTTGGAAAATCAACTATGACAGTTTTAAAAATATTATTCCTCGTCCTGAAAATTCTATTGCATTTCCATATTATCATGATACATAATAATTTAAGTCTGGATATGCAAAAAGAACTCACAGTGTACTTCTTGATGTTTGCGTAGCGTAGCGACACTGTACCCGATGTATTGGAACGCCGCAGTGCTGCTGATGGCTTGGTCTTTGGCCACGGTCACTGCCATTTTGGATTCAACAAAGAGTCATCGATACTGGGAGGATGCCAAGACTGCTGTAGAAGCCGACGCTGCTCGTTATCAACACGACAATACGTTCAGGACCTACATGAACAGGGGAGGAAACAAACATTTCGTCACTTCCGTGTTCCCAGGTATTTTTTTATTACTATTTAATAGTAATTAAATTAATTTATTAATTTATTAAAACTAAGGAATAATTAGACACAAATTTGAAACGTTGAGTTTAAATATGTATGTATGTAAATATGTAATAATTTGAATAAAAAAAAATCATACATTTACAAAATAGTAATGTTGGGCTTTTCTAAACATAATAAAATGTTTATAATATTCTGGTGATTTTTAAGTTATTTTAGATATTTGATAAATTCGAGTTAAAGTTTTTATTTGGATTTATATTTACTAATATTTAAACAATTTAATTATAGGTGTTCCAATTTTGACGAAAATCTTATAAATCACTGCATTTTACAACATGTTTAACCAAACTATGCTGAGAATCATATTTCGTTAGAAGTGATTAATCAACGCGAAAAGATAAATATAAATTAAGTAGAAAAAGTGTTCACATAAAAATAAAATAAACATCATTGTAAAACTAATACATTCCTCGCTCAGCTCAGAATCTAAAAATTATGTATTTTTACGCACATAACATTATCAACATTAAAACAAAATGGAAATGCTGTCTGTATTATGTGAATATTGTAATAAATTAATTGGTAGGGAGGAAGAGTAGAGAATGATAAAACCCCGTTTACTACCAAGATCATTTATTACGTCCTATGACAATAAGAAATAAATGTAAAACGTGAAGTAATAATAACACCGAGGTCTTTTATAGTAAATCTACAAAAGTACAAAATACGTGTATGATTATAATTTAGAATGATTTTTTAAAAAATACATTTTAAAAGTTAACTTAAGTAATTATTATTTTTTTTTAATTTAAATCCTAACTTAGTTATGAGTTTAAAGTTTAAAATTAATATTAAGGTTAGGTTTTAAAATAAACTCACTCAGTTACTAAAATTAAATAACTCTATCACCGTAGCCTGTTTATTATGTACATTTTATACACTATGTTATATTTCCTTTTCACCCGGAGGATTTATGATTTTAAAAGGTCGGCGTATCACTTTCGTAAGAAAATATTCATCGTATAATACGAAAGGTACCTATATAATATTTCTGTAAGTATTATATTTTCGACGGAGATTTTTCACGCAAACAATGGAGCGCAGTAGGTGTAACCGAACACTTCGGTTGTTCACCGCGGTATATCTGTCATAAAAAAAAAAAATGAACCTACGAGTACTTATTTCTATAATTTCGGCTTAGTAGCCAATTCATAATCATCCAACTAGCAAAATACACATTTTTGTTCTCAGATGATAATAATATTGTTTAAAATTGAATTCGATAAATATCACTAAAAAATTATATCGAAATCATATTTTAAATTATTTATTTATTTTTTTTTAATATCCGTATCAATGCTCGATTTTTTTTTATAGAAATGGATGCCAGAGGATTTCATGAATACGTTTTTGATGGACTGCAACCAGATTTCCAGTGGCCGTCAATCAAGTTTAAAAGAAACTACTATCCGCAAGGGATTACGTCCCGGGGGTTCAGCGATGATATTTTTCACCAAAGCTTTGGAATGTTTGAGCCTTTAAAAAGGTAAGTTAACAAAAGTATATAGAAAAATAAAATATATCGTTTTAAATACTGAGCGAAACAAGGAATATATTGCCTTTATTTTGTCTGCTATTTTTGTATTTATTGTGACTGAGGGCAACTTTTTCAACAGAAATCTTGCTCTAATCAAAAAATTATTAGAATTTTTTTTGAAATTTGAATCTAAAAATAAATCTTGTCTATCTAGTATATAATAACGTTAGTTATTTATTTTCCAAGTGGTTTTCATATTGGTTTGGATAAACCGGAAATAATCGTGGAAAAAAATGAACAAACTGACGTTCAAGGTTTTATTTTTGTAATTTTTTAAAAATAATTATTTTGTTGAATTAATAATGACTTAATATGGCCTAAAAAATGCAAAAACATATGCAAAATAAAATTGTATTCAGCCGTTGAATTATGAAATACATTTTGGTATAAACTAATTCTTTGTTATTCAACTAACTAATAAAAATATACAATCGCATAAAAAAAAAAGTTTCAAAAATGCACACTTTTTTTTTAATACGGTGTAAAAGTTTCGGTGCATTTTCAGAGATCGAAGAAAAATTGTTTTCTGGGAAATACTATTTGGATAACCATATAATAACTTCCTCATTATTTCAAAAAGAATCTTAAAATATACATTCAAAAACGTAGTTGGCAAGATATACTAGATATTTAATGTATATCTGTACTCAACGATTAATCATTGCTAACGAAAAACCATTTTGAGTGAAGTTCGGTTACACGTGTTTTGGAAGACTGTAATATTTACAATTTTAAAATAATACATTTCATACATTTTCCCGTTTTTTTTTTTTCCATTTATTATGAAAACTCCTAGGAACATCAAAAAATAACGTTTTTAAAGTGCCACCCTAGTCAGATTTTCTTTCAGAAAAAGTGCTACAATTGAAAATAAGAGCAAGATTTCTGGTAAAAAAGTTGTTCACAGATAAAAAAAAATATATATATAAACATCATTGTAAGACCAATACATTCCTCGCACCCGCTCAATTTCCATTATATTTCGTATTCACTCGTACAGGTAATAAAATATTATCGATGTCTTTCGTCTACCGAGGTGTGATATAATATTAGAATATTTTTTATAGTATATAAGACTCGGTCAGTATTCAGAGTGAGAAATAAATTATAATTTTCCCCGAAATATGATAGCTGAACAGCGACCGCAATGTGAATATTGTGTTTATTACATTATTGCATTCACGATTGTAAATTCTAACAAACTGTATTATACATAGACTATTTACTATGTAGTAAAGTTATATCTTCCTATAAACCCGAGTAATTTTGTGATATTAATATATGGATATCAACGAGCCAAATAAAGTGGTTCTCTTACATTTTGTATCTTCAAATAGTGAAGAGGAGGAAATTATTGAATTCAATTTAAAAATCCTTAAGTCATTAAATCATTGCCCATTTCTAACACGGTTTTACATCTACATCTATAACCGCGTTATCTAATGAATATTACCTTTTAATGAAATGATAACCAAATTTTATGTTTTTTTGGGATCGTAACGTTGAGCCGACAACCAATAGGCCGACAGAATATCAAGCCGACATGGTATAAATTATAAATTATTTTATCTGGATTTTATTTATTAATATTAAAACATTTTAAGATTAAAAAAAGTATTATTAAATTACAAATTATTAATTTTTCTATTAATATAATCGTCTAAAATAAAAAAAAAATACCTGATAAAATCTATAGGGGTCCTACTGCATTTAGTATGAATAATATTATTTCTTACAAACTACTGTTTTATTTCATTAAATGTTGCAAATATTTCATTTGGTTCTAATAATGCGAATGCAGGAATACAGCGTAATTGTAAGCTAAATTAATGTTCGTCGGTGCCATACTGAGTAACTAATCCACACGATTGAATTTTCTTCCAAACATTTTGTACCAAATAAAATGAACATCCTTTTTGGGCGTATTCTGGAAATATATTATGCGTATTACATTAATTGCTGCTTTTTCGAAATCAGTAATTATACATAGATTAATAACCATAATTACTGCCGATCTCAATACCGAATACCTACTTAAAGAATACTTAAAAGTATATTACTAATATTACTTCTTGTAATATTTGTGAAAGTTTATCATGCTTCGAATGTGCTCGTTTTTTTTTTTTATGTATTTGTTTGAAAATCTATAATTGTTGATCAGTATGCGTCGGGTGTATAATGATGATCTGTGGACGTCTCATGTAGTTTATTTACTCCATCTACACAATTAACCATAGCTCTGGTGTTACGATTTTCAGTTGTTTTTAAAGTTTTTCTTTGAACTCTTTTTTCACACTCCCAGTTGTACCGATTTTCACGTACATATTTTAGTTTTTACCATAACATAGCCACTTATAAAAAGTTTGTTGTTTTTAAAAAAAAAAAAAAAAAAACACTCCATTATTATAAAATAAAATTCAACAAAACCTACAACGATAGCAGAAATACATCGCTGATTTAATATAAAATTATAACTGGTTAATAATAATACTGGTTCGATATATCATCTCAAATAATTGCATTGATAAATATCGATATTATTTAGAAATTAGAAATGCTAGATAAATAATAAAGGTACATAAATAGAATGTAGCATATCGTTTTCGTTACCTATCACAATAATAATACCCAACGTCGGCTCTTTGGTTGATCGGCCGTCGGCAATTCGGTTGTCGAGTTATCAACGAGTTTTTCTCTTTTCATTCAAATCCATTTTTATTGTATTATCAAACGCATCGTCACTAATTACACACTGTAGAATTACACAATACTAAACGAACTGTGTTTTTGATTATACACTTTAATAAAACAGAATAAATGCTGCATGCGATAACTATACGGAAATTTTGTACTTACAAATGTAAACAGTCGGTACGTGAACTTTTATCAGTACAAATTGAAGAATGCTGGAGTTCACAAAATTAAATACCTATTGATTATAGATAATATATAAGTAATGAGTAATGACAACTTCATGGTGCAGCACACGAAGCTGAATTTAAGATGAATACAAATTTATTTATTTTAATATATGAAGATTAGTTTACAAATGTTTTTGGTTTTTACGAGTTTTGTCACAAATTCGAAATTCTTGGCCAACAAATTGTGTTAATTACCTGGCCTTTATGTATCAGTATGTATAGGTACTTATTATACAAATAATTATACAGGACGATCAATATAGCGTTAGACACCCATTATCTAGAAAGTATTAATTTTTTCGGAATTTGTTTTTTAGATCATTAATAAACAAATAAGTAGCTCTAATATTTTATATTACTCTTGTTTTTGTCACCCTATTTTAGAGAGTTAAACTACTATATACTTTTCATTTTTAATAACAACCTATATTAATAACATAAATAAACAATCAGTTTTGGCGTTACAATTTTTAATTTCCATCAACCCATTGATGAGTTTTTCCACTTTTAAGATACGGTGGGAAAGGGGAGAATATTAGTACATCATTTATTTGGTGGAACGGCACGCGGCGTTGTAACAGTGTTCCACTCTTTTCTTATCTAAACTTAAAAACCTAATATTTCGTCAACGGATTGCCGGAAATCAATAATGGCAACGCCGAAATGTGACCAAACCAATATTCCATCATTGTATGGAGTTTTTAGTAAAGGTTGCCATTCGAAAATCAAAAGTGCTTTCACCCCTCTAAATAAGGATGATAAAAAATTACCTTAATGTAATATTTTATTTTGTTTTCTTAATATTCTAAAAACTAAGTTCGAAAAAGTTAATACTTTCCGAGATAATGAGTGCCTTACGTTATGTTAATCACTCTGTATATTTAATGACACATATTATATCTTTTTCCCTCAAATTTTAGACACTTTTAACCGCTCTTTCTGAACCAAATGAACAAATCCTTAAAAAAAATATATTCTTGCGCAATTTTTTCCTCGATTTTTCATTCCTGCGTATAGTAATTTTTATCCAAAAATTCATTCCAGAAATTTCCTTTCCTAATTTTTATTTTCCTGCAGAGAATAACATTATCTATTGAAAGTTGTTCCAGTGAAAAATCATATTATGAAATTATTTTCCTGTGTTTTACGTCCTGATTATCACACGTTTCTTAACATATGTGAAGGGATTCTAGTGACGAAGCTCTGTTGTTCGCGGGGTGTTTTATTTTTTCCATCGTAATTAAAAAAAAAAATTGATTAGAATTTCTCGTTCATCGTTCTCGTCCCGTTATATTATTATTATTGCATCGAACGTAAACAAAACCAAAGAATCAATAACAACAAAAAACGGAAAACTACATTGAGAGTCATATAAAAATATTTTTATTTTTTTACCTATATTATATTTTTGCCTCATTTTTTTTTTTATTTGATTAAATAATAACTACACGACGAACTATAGACTTTTTATTTGTACACGCATTCGTTTATTATAATTTCGATATAAAGATAAACTCATATTATATTATACCATTATCTAGTAATGCGTGGTTTACAATAAAAAAACAAAAATTATTCATCATCGTTTATCAGCTCGTAATGTAATAATAATATTATAGTAACGTGTATTATTTGTGCGCACCGACATTTGTTCAATTATCTATAACACCAAATATACAATACAATAATTATTATTATTTTATCTCGATAACGGACCTAATTATAATTATATAAAATAATAATACAGGGTGTTTTAGAATAGATGCAATAACTTTTATTTTAGAGATTTAATTTGTTTAATTTTTTTTGTTTTTCTTAAAAATAAACTAGAGCCTTGCGCTATGATTCTTCGTATGATACCGTATTTTTTTCAAACTAAAAATAAAACATTAACATTTAAATCGAAGATTTATACGTTTATTTTGAAACAAAATTTGGGTGTTACAAATAATGTTAACTAAACGACGAGGCGTCAATTTCCTAATTTTTTTTTAAGTTTGCGATGTTTCAATTGCTTTTATTGCTATTAATCAATGTACCAATTTTTCCGTTGCAAATAATTCTGTAAATGATTATTGTCAACTTGAAAATATTGTCAAAAATTAACAACTCGCAATTTAATTAACATATTTTATTTCACTGAAATTCGGTTTCAAAATAAATCTATAGAAAAGCCATCTCAAATTTTGTACGAACGATGTTTTAAACAATTGAAACGTTTCGATTAATCGAAGAGAACCGTTGCATTTGTACAAGATCTCCACGGGACACTGTATATTATTATTATAAAATGTATGTGTAATAAATGTAATCACAGCATCCGCGATTGTTGCAGATATTAAAAATATAAAAATAGACGCGAACCGTCATCGTGTTTATCATCGTAAATGTATTTTTAACGCGCATATAAATATTGTATTGTGTAAAATCAAATAATATTAAATATTATTATTGTTATTGCGACTCATTAAAATATTATGTAGGCGCGCATATCAATGTTTTGTTTGTATCGGCTTTTATTTCGCATATTTTCTACTTTGCATTTACGTAAGCCAGGGACGAAAACCCAAATTTGTTTCTCTTTTTAAATAATTTAGCCTTCGTATTCTGCTATTTGTTTTTGTTGTCTTATATCTATACTATTGTCGCTTAAATTATCACCGGCCAATAGGCAATACAAATCCGCAAATATACTTTTAAAAAGATTCAAGAATTCTATTATGAAATTCAAAAGTTTTTTTTTTTTTGTTTTAATGCTTTTCACTGTTTAAGATTTTGTGTCAAACAGTTACTGATTAAGTTACAATAAATTCATATATCTATTTTAAAATCTATTTTTGTTTAATTATTATTATTGTTATGATTTTATTTAATTCAAAATTGTCCGGTTCTCCTCAGTGGAACATTTCCACATTAAAATGTGGCTTCATAATCTATAAATACATGGTAAAATAGCAGTTATTTTAAAAAATATCAACCCCATCCCACAGTTTACACTTGCTCAGTAGTACTTCAAATAATCTGTTTTAGAGCCTAATATGTACAATAAAATATGTAAAATGCACTGCTCGAAATTCCAGTGCGTCGTAAAGAAGTTTGTTCTTATGAAAGAACAGTGCCACAAGGCGTTTAAAATGTGAATACGTCTGCAAATTGTTCGAATGAGCTTTTAAGAATAACTTGCCACTGTCAATCTATTATTTCCATTTAAATTTAAACAGGAATATCGTCAACATCAATATTTAATCGACCGGCGAACAATTGAAATATTTTGACCTTCGTTATTTATAAGCATGACTCTACCACGCTTATTAGTCACACTACTATTATTTAAAAAGTCGCGTGTATTAATTTTAACAACATTTTTGAAAAAAAATATAAAAATTTACTCACCCAAAAAAATTATCGAATTTACGATGAGTATTTATTGTGTACTAGTGAAATCTGTTCGAAATATCAAGTTCATGTAAAACAAAATAATTTAGGTATCTACTATTTACGCCTAAAAGTTATTTTTGAATTTTGAACCATATTCCAACGGTAAATCGAATTATTTTATACTCATTTCGAAATAAAACGGTTTTTCGACACAAAATATTGATATTCAGAAACGCTCACTCTGACATATTCTTAAATTGCAATCACGTTTGCAAAGTTTTATATACCTACAAGTACTCAAGTTCAGATTTATTCCCTGACAATATAATAAATTTACCTGTTTCGCTGTATCTGAAGGTTTTTTTACATTTCTTTTTGTTCACCTATTGTGGGAGTATAGAAAAATATTCTCAAATAAAGTACCATACTGTGAACGTTTTTTTTTCTAAAAAAAGTGTTTACCGAGTGTAAACGTCCGTCGTATGGAATTCAATTTCATCTCGAAATTAATAACATCCCTGAAATTCCCATTATTATATTCGAATAGACAAATGTATAATACCGATCGTAAGAAACTTAACTTTAGGTTAAATTATGTTTGTTTTCCGCTGGCAGCCCAGTAACTCAGAAATTAACAAAAATCGATAAACCTAAAAAAAACACCTATCTAGTAGATAATCGATAGATAAAAATATCGAGAAATGTTTCAAATAAAATACAACCGGCTGGAAATTCCACGTCTTAATGTGAGAAACCATCGGGGAATTTTACCCTCTTACCAACTCGAAATGGACCGTTACAAAATTCACTAAACTGTTTACTAGAAACAGTTACAGTGACCAACTCATAAAAACGTTATAAGTATTCAGTTTACTCACGGTTATAACGTCATAACGCACACTGTTACACTGATAACTAGGACCTAGATTTGTGTACGAAAAAAATCCATGCAATATATAAGTTCATATCATATGTATGTATAGGAAACACGAAAAAAAAATATCGATTACAAATTACTATATTGTCAAATATTAGACAATCTATAAGGTATAATTTCGTTCGGGATATACAAGCAACGTATTATATTATGTTCATTGTACACGAGGAGAATAATACAAATAAATATGTAAACCGAACGTAATAATACGGGTTTTTAATAATTATTATTTTGACCGATAAGTGATAATTATTATTGTTATTGTCGAAAATAACAATAATCGTATACAAAGGTAACAACACTGAAAATAAACTGAAAATAGTAGGTATGTATGGGCAATAATAATAATTATTTTAAATTTTGATTATTCCGCGTTTATTTGCACACACTAGTGTATAGGTTACCTATATTATAATATTTTGTGTTACACGTGGAGTTTAACGGTCTAATCATTTTCACTCGCATTTTTACATTATATATTACAATAATAGTACACATACGTAGTTACAATTATCTGTATAATAATAATAATTAGTAATTTTAAAAAAGAGCTGATACTGGGAGACGGGTGCGGCCATTGATGTAGGTGGATAGTTGGGAAGGCGAGATACATAAAGTTATTCAGTTTATACCGGTAACCAACGATAAACCGTTGATAACGAAAACCGATTCGAAGTATACAGCTTGATTTAAAAAGCCATAATATTTACGACTTTCGTCAAAATTTGATTTTAACTCTTATAAAAATTAAAAATACTTCACTACATTTACTACATTTTTTTTACCAATAAGTACTTACTATTTACAATGAACCTCCTGTCAAATTTCAAGCATTTCTGTATGGTCTAACAATTTTATCCACAAAGTAACTACAAAAAAAAATTACGTAAAAAAATAATTGTTTTCATATATTTTATAATTCGAACACTTTTGTATAAAGTTAGTTAAGGCTCCGGCCAATTTGCGTTCTGTAATACAAATTATATGCCGCTCATTTTACTAGCATAATGAATTTACCTCTTAAAAAATTTAAACGTAAATTTTTATTCTCTATGTAGTTTTTTTAATAATTGAGCAAATTCGGAAAAAACCGTTTATTTTCAATTTTATTTTTTTGTTATAATTCAGTTAAAAATATTTGCAGAGATTTGAAATTTTGATTTTGATTAAAATTTTAAAATATTTTAATGAGCTTTTTTGACATTTTTGAGCTATTAACGTATAAGTATTTTATGTTTTTACATAGTTTTTATTTAGTCGGTACTATGTGGTTATAATTGTTTGATCAAACAAAAATGCCTGAAAATTGAACGGAAGGTTTTTTACAATTTTTTTATATACATTTAAAGTTCCGATTTTAACGAAAATCGTACAAATCGTGACATTTCATAGCGTGTATAACCGAGCTTCGCTAAGAATCGTTTTCATTAGCAGTGGTTTACCGTTGCATACAAAGATAAAATATAGTAGATAACTTTATGCATTCTAACTTCCTAATTTTCCACCTACAACAGTGGGTTACCCATCAGCAGTATAAGCTCCTTTTATTTTTTATTTCTTGCTTGTGGTTTCTGAATATAAAATCGGGTAATGTACGCAATAATATTTATTGTTATTTTCGATTTTGTGTTTTTCGTTGTAATTTTATAAAAAATAATAATTATAAATATCTGAAATTTTCACCAAATACTTATATTAGTCCATTCTAGGTATGGTAATATTTTTAAAACCGTCTGTCGATTATGATTAAATTTTTAGATTGGTTTAATGTTAATTTGGGTTTATAATCAGAGATATATTGAGTAATATATAATATTGATGCGACCATTTTTCGCCATGTTTTAATAATTAAAACCTTATTGCATTTATAAAATATGTACATCATTATGATAATATCAATTATTCATAAATTATAGTATAGTGATAAGAGAAAGAGAGAGAGTGAGGGGTGATATGTGAAAGGGATAATGGGTTCTTAATTCTTATCACTATTATTGCTATAATTTCCACAAAAATAATGGACCCAGAGACATCTTAAATTCTTGTCATCAGTTATAACTAAGTACATAAAAATATATAATATAAATATATTACAAACAGGATGTACTTGTGATCCCAGTAATATTATTTCAGTTTACGATAGCAAACAATAATTAGACGTTCTCTATCTGTGTAAACATAACAATAATGTTCACTCTCTCTATGTACCACTTTTACGTTGTCCCATAAATCTAACCAACGACGACGACGACGGATCAAAGAATAAATAACGAACATTCATTTCTTTGCCAGATAACCTCCTTTGAGTAGGTACTTATATACCCGACTAGTAATTCCAAATCTCCTTAATTACATCATAGTTAACTTTTTCTCATTTTCGTAATAACAAAAACTAAACAAATCTGTTGTTTTATTAATATTGTCCTTTTAGACGACGACAACGGTTTTTTTTTTCGGTTTCACTTCTTTGTGTTCTTTTATACAGTTTTCGATTTTATCTAATCCTTTCCCGCTATTGCCACGGAGATAGTTTTAAGTAATTATTTGCTTTTTTATAATAGTAGGTATCTATGTAAGTACAGTCGTGTGTATAATATACATTTTTAAAAAAAACTATATATTTTTAAAACAAATAAACCTGGAACCACAAAACAAAAGAAGACGATACGATCATTTTGGAAATGTCCAGTTATGTTATACGGCATTTGTGTTTTTTACACGGGGTATTTCATTTCAAAAACTTGGTTATGTATGCAACTGGCGGTAATTCAAAAATTATATTATTTATGTTCTCTTGTACGTTCAAAATATTACCGGCATGAAAATGTTGTGAATTCATTATTTTTTTATTTGATATAATTTGTAAAAAGTTTTTTTTTTCAAAACTAAAAAAACAAAAGTGCTACCGTGAAATAAAAGTATGTATATTTAAAGATTGTATATCGATATTTTTTGTAAAATAGGTAAATTGATATTGTTTTTTTTCTTGTTATAACAAACCGAGAGATACGAATTTATTTACCTATACACGCAGCTGTTGTCGAAATATTTCCGCGATATTCAGGATTTTACGCACAATTTAAATTTAAACAAATATTACTAAATCTAATAAAACCTATTGTGTGTTTTGTCTAACAAGCAGGGTTGCCATCCGTATTATTTTTCAAAGTATTGTATTTTTCTTTCACTTTTGTACTTTAAACTTTAGTATCTTACAGTTCCAATAAATAACGCTAAAATATTTTATTTGTATAATAATAACACGTATTTGTGATAATAAGTGATTCTAAATCTAAACAATCCAAAAAAAAAGTATTTCCAAGAAAATTTCAAAAAAAAAATATTCATGAGCCCTGATTAAGATTTTTCAGCCGTTAAAAAAATGTTAAAAAGTAAAATAAATAATAACGTGGTCAAGAATCAGTCTGAAAAAAATATATAAAAAAAAAAGGTTCTCAAGTCACTTTATTTTTAAACGCAATCTTTAAAAATTCTTAAAAAATTCTGATACTGATTTTCGTTATGAGTGGGAGGGATGAGGACGATTTTTAAACATTTTTTTTATTATTTACATTATTTATTTTTAAATTAATAGGTAATACGTAATAATATATCATTCTTCTCATCTCCCCACCTCCGTTTGACCGACCTTGTCTGATAATTAATTTCTTCACGTATATTAACATATCTTTATAAATTTCAAAATATTCTATAGCTCACGAGCCGCCACTGTAAATCGTTCTACGAGGTGGCCATTTTTTTTTTCTAGTGAATATCCACCGCATGTCCTCTCTCGGGTCTTTTTTATAAATTGTTGCCGCGAATTAACTATGATAGTACTTGAAACGTAAAAAAATTCAATTTTATTCAAATGCACACGAATAATAAAATACACGTGTATTTTTGTTAAAAGGGTTTTAACCACGGTACATGTATAAAAACACGTGTACTTGTGTAGCTCATTAAACGTGTAATGGAGACTCCTAGGTTCAACTTTTAACTCATACCCCTACCATTTTTATGCAAGAAGTTAAAACTTTTTTTTTATGTATTGCTGTAATATCTATACTATTAATAGTAGTGTATCAATATGGTGTTATGTTATTATTAATTAGGTTATTGTTTTACAAAAAATATTTCAATAACGCAAAATAGATCATCGTTGTTTTTTTTTCCAATCTCATTTCATATGTTTGATATTATAATATTATTGTTGTTATTATTTATTATTGTGTTGGGTAATATAAAAGACGAAGTATTTTTAAACCCGATAACTAAAAAAAAAGACCACAATATTTCATTTGTTAGATAGATAAAGTTCGTAAATCGGAAATCAATAATCTGATCGAAGCATAAGTTGCAATTTTATTTGTATGATGGATGACTAATACCATAGCCCTAACGAACCGTTGTACAAATATTTTCAAAAAAGTGCTGACTTTCCACTAAAGTAGGTAGGAAGTTAGTGAGTTAGGGTACATAAAATTGTTTAGTTGATATCTGTATATTCAATTTTTGATTTTCCGAATTTTTAAGTGTAGTTAAAGCCGATATTTCCGAATACGTAGATTTTTTGTGAACATTTAAGGAGTATCCTGTGGCGATACCAATGTTAGATTTTCAAATAAAAACCCATATTAAAAATTCTATGAATAGACAAAGTATTACTTTAAATACATTTTTGTGTCAACATTTTTGATTTCCGTCAACCGGTTAACATTCCATAGCGGAGTATCATTTGTGTGACGGTACGGCGGGCAAAGTTTTATTAGTGTTCCATTACTCTTACCCTACCTAAACTGAAAGTAAAATATCTCGTCAACGGGTTAATCAAAACACTCCTCGCTCCACTCAAAATCTAAAATTTGGACCCAGGAATGAACGGCTGAAAACGTCAATAAATGTTTCAAATAAAGTACCACCGAGCAGGGACATTCTACGTCCTTTAAGGTACTGTCTGAAAAAATTAGAGCATTAGTCTTACCAAATAAGTGTAAAAAAAAACATTAAACAAATATTACCAATAATAGTATTTGAAATTTTAGATATAAATAACCATCAAAAGAAAAATTAAGGTATGACATGAAGAAAAAAAACTAAAGCATTCTTATTTACCTAAAGTCTTTTCCCAGAAAAACCAAAAAAAGAAACTTTTCAAAACTATTATAACTTATTATATAACTTCTTCGAGTTTTTCGGCATTATTTTTACTCAAAATCTGAAAACCCAAAATATATTTTACTTCGAGAGAACCGTAACGATAAATAAATAATACACTAGGCGATTATAAATGTTAAGCTATACATTCTGTTTTCATTCTCTGAGAGGGCCGTTTGTCGACGAATGAATATTAAAAACGAAAAAAAAAACGTCACCGAAGCGTGTCCCGCGAGGATTTAACACGTCGTGATTTACATTTATATAGATTAGGTTGGGTTTTTTGTAAATTAGCGAATTCTCCGAGGGCAACGCTACTCGTGTACGAGAATTTCGGGCACAATAGGTAAACGATTGTGTTTTGTGTGCTATCGAAGAAAACAATAAAACAATATTACGTAAACGAGAAAAAAAACTGCGACGAATAATTTCGAATCCACCGATATCAGTTTTTAAATTCTGTGCAATCGGTGAGATCAATGAAAATTGCCCCCCCCCCATAATAATTTAGCGGGGATAAAATTTCACTAGAAATATTGTAACCCTTTCTGTAAACAATCGTGGATGAAATATTAAAAAATTAAACCGGAGAGAAGGGACAATATTCCACTAGTGATCATTGACTCCCTAATATTTATATTTATTTAGGTCGTTCGATCGCTTGTTAATCCTCTTTTTGCCCAGCGTTTTTGTTTTATTGTTATTCGAATACGATTTTTCTATAAAACAAATATTCCCAACGCCTGTTTTTTCTAAACCGTATTTTGGTCGAACTAACGACGAAATTCTTCGTAAATTCTATCTGTAGGTAACATGACTTTTGCAGATAAAACGGAAATTTAATCGACTCCAAAAGCGAATGTCTTCTCGCAATACGTTTCGAACTTTTATCTATAAAATCGGAAACTCGCATAGTGACAAACTGAAATTTGCATCGCAGTCCCTCGAGTTCCGTTTTATAGACAGATTTAACCTGATCTAACCAAATGTACGTAACGTAACCATAGGCACAACTAGAAGGGCTTGGGGGCTAAGGGGCTAAGTCCTCCAGTTTTCCAAATAGTCCTCCCAGTTAAAATTAATTTAGTTAGGTACTTAGACATATTAATATTTTTTAATAACTATTTGTGTTTTTTTTTATGATTTCAATAATGTAATACAATATTATATTTACAAATTTAATCAAATAAATTAGTTTAATGCTACAGCTGCTCCCCCCCCAAGAACTTTTCACCTTATAGTTGCGCCTATATGAAAATAACCAACCGCCTCGGCGTTTTCTTTTGTCGCAGATCCGTGTCGAGGACGTCGCCGTCCGTGGCCAACTTGTTACGGCGCCTATCCGGACCGAATGGCACTGTCAGACAACGCCAGCTGCAGTGGACTACGGCCGCCAAGCGCCGCCCCGAAATGGACGCCAACGGGTTCCACAGCGATTCGTTCACCGGCGGCTTTGACCAGTTCGACACGATGAAGCGCCGACCGGAGATGGACGCCAATGGATTCGAGGGCGACTCATTCGCTAATTTCGGCGGTTTTGAGACCATGAAGAGGCGATTGGGTGACGGAGGCGGCGGTGACGACGATTTCGTCGATGACGTCGGCGGAAACAGTAGCAGCAAGAGCAAAATAATTTTATCATCCGCAGCCGCGGGCCGAGAATAGAGACGCGTCCGCCCCCACTCCCCCGCAGCACTACCCGTATCATTATTATTACCTATTTTTATTATCATTATTATTCGTTACTATTATTATCATTACTATTATTATTATTATTATTATTATTTATTTGTTTATATAACGAGTCAAATATAAAATATAAAATATATTTATATTACCTATTATATGTATGCGGCGATAATAATAATAATAATATAATATGGAATAGTGAGTAAGTATATTATACCATAGAACACACTCAGATACACAATACATAATATTATTATTATTTATACATAGAATATTATTATTTTTGATTCGAAAAAGTTTTTGACGAAAACTGTTGGCGATTTATTGTCCACTCGATGTACCAAAAAAGTGTACCGATTTTTGAATCGGTTTCGGTTTTGAAAGGTAAGTACATAAAGTTCTTTAATTTATATCTGCAAACAGCGATAAACTATTGCTAAAGGAACACGATTCTGAGCGACGTCCAGTCAACATTAAAATGTTGGTCAAAACGTCTTACATAAAAGAACTACTGCGTAATGATCGACATTTTTTTCGCCACTAAATACAACTTATAATAACCCTCGTGTTAGATTTTCCAATATTTCAATTGAAACAAACAATTTAGTTCACATAGTATAAAACCTACCAAATAAAAATTCAAAAATAAATTTTTCCAAGTTTTCCGGAATAAAATTTCTTACTCCGGAAAACTAGCAGAAAAGTTGTTTATAGACAAGCAAAAACAAAACACAGATCATAGTAAAACCAATATATTCATCGCTCCGCTCTGAATCTAAAATGCCCGAGATTTTTTTTTAACGGCATTCTGTCGACAGGGAGATTTCTTAATAATCATATTTGAAAAAAAAAAGTTTTTCTACCGAGTTTTTTTTATTATTTTTATTATTCTCACCACTTTGTTCTAAAACTTGTGAGACAGAGATTTATATTAATTTATTTTTATACGACACGACTAGGATAAAATAATTATACCTTCGTTATTGGAAATGAAAGTCACGACGACGTTATATATTAGAGCTTGTTAGTATTACTAGGATTTATTTTTCTCTTCTTTTTTTCAAAACCGTATTAGGTAAAACAAATTTATAACTATAAATTAATTATAATTTATAAATTTAAACTTTTAACCAAAATCATTTTGCGGTTTTCCGAAACTAACGCTCTACATCACGGTTTACGAAAAACCATACGACATCCCAACACCTTTTTTAATGAGATTTTCAGTTAAAACAAAGGGTTGGTCTATCTGCTCGTGGATTTTTTTTTAAAGAATAGGAGAATGAAGACATATAGAATATTCACCGAAAATACCCTGCGTTAAGATTGTTCTTTTTCAAAATACACATTAAAACCAAAACGTGTATTACAGACGAGTAATATTACTCTTTTCTTGGTGAAAAAAAAACCATAAAACATCGAACATGGGCATATAGAAATGACAATGAATTCTCTGATAAATATATATTATCGATGAAGGGAGTAGACGAAAATAAATGTCACAAAAGTCAAAAAATGCTAAAACATGGACGTTTCGTGGATGTATCCACGGCGAGTTAAAACGAAACGAAATATACGTATAAGTCAAACATGTCCTGCAAAAGTTCGTGGGCAAATTTTCAAATAAATATATACATTATATATGTGGTCAGTAGTGTAGCGAAGGAGGTGTTGTTTAGCTGTTCAGTTCAAACATCCTCTTCCCTTGGCAATAATTATGCCAAAAATTATGATTTTTACAGTATACAGTAATTATAGATAAGATTTCTAAATGAAATGTGTTAGGCATATATAATTAAGTGTATATTATTTGTGTAATATGCCATATTTGCACAATCAAGTTACAAAGTTACATCAAAACACAAAATAAAAACACCTCCCTAAAAAAATTAATCAACGAGAAAATTCGTATCAGTTTGCAATTTATATATGTAATATAGCCCAGATTTAAATGCCGTAAAAAATTATCGAAAAATGGTCTGAAAAAAAAACCTAAGTAATACCGTTTAATTTAAATAATAACACATTTACGCGGTAGTTTTATTCAAACTTTTTTTAACCTTCCTTAGGTATTAAAAACGTATCTATTTTAATTTTAATCGTAAACTTTTAGTACATCGAAATTACTGAATCTCATACATACTGAAATTATTACTTTATAATCACCTTATATATGTATATACTACAAACATTCACAATCGTGTATTCAAAAAACAAAAAAACTTAAATTTTAAATTTTCAACAAAATCGATCAATATTAATAGTTGACTCTTTTTTTTTTTTATCTCGCAGTATCTACGTATTATATTTAACTCCCTAAGGAGAAATAGTTGTACAGTAGTTGAAAGCGTGATGAAAATATTTTTTATAATATTAGTATTCTTCGTCTATATACGATGCGATGATGTGTCCGAGGTGAAATTTATTTTTACTATATACACATCAAAGCAAACTCCGCGCAGTACCGAAATATTTCACGTTACAATATATACTTGCATGAGAAAAGGACGGTTTTATTTTTAACATATAAATTACACTCAATTTCTGTGTTTTTGTTTCAAATAGTAAAGAAGTTTGGGCTGGTAAAAACGTTTATAGCAACCCTTATAGTTTATCGGAAACTTTTTTTTGTCGAATTTTTGCATAAAAATTAAAACGGTTGCATTTAATACAATCCTAAGTATCTACACTCTACAAACCTCCGAATCAAGCTTATAGAAGAATGCAATTTTCCATTACGAAATTGGAAGAGGGAGGGGTGGGAATTCGACTTTACCGACGGAACTCTGCTGCTCAAGAGTAATTGCTTAATTCGGAGGTTTGTAGAGTGTAGACACTGTAGATTGTATTGAATGCAATCATTTTAATTTTTTGCGAAAATTCGATAAAAAAAGTTTCCGACAAATGTGATTCGTGAAACCTTTGAACTATAGTGGAGTTATAAATTGGTGATTAAATAATATATAGGTAAACAAATAAAACAAAATGAGGGATAAAATATTGGTATACATTTCAATATTATCCATGAAAGGTTTGTAAGTGATCGCATAAGCGGCAAAAAAGAAATACGATGGGCATATAACTTTGAATATCAGAAGTCCTTCTGTACAATTATACCAGGTGATCCATTTAAATGGGTACACTCATTTTATCGAAAAGCGGGGGTGAATTTGAGGGTGAGGCAACGTATCAATCGTCCCCTTTTGGAATTTTTTTCTCACCTCCACCGGTGGTTTAGTATACATCAGGCGTATTCCAAATATTTGGAAGCCTGCAGTTGATTTGACGTTCATGAGATTAAGAAATTAATTTTAAATAAATATATAAATACAATATCCAATTATAATATATTATAATATTAATATATATATATTCAGTATATATCTGTGTATCTAATTGATTTTTATCATATTATCTTATCGTTTTAAATAATATTAGTAATATTATACTCCGCTCTATCTAAATGGCATATTTATCACGGTAAAAAAAACATTGGTAATTGTGCACATTGATAAAATTGATAACCACCCTATTAGAGGTATTTAATATTATCAAGGAAGTATACATATACGAAGAAAAAAATGAAAGTATCTGATAATGGAAATTTACACTACCCCCACTCTGATATTTTTAGTAAATGATCCCTTGAATCCTATATATGATATCAATTCGCCCGCCCCTTAAATGTTCTTCAGATCCGCCTGTGTCGGAAAGCATTACATTTTTCAGGAATTTGTTTTCTAGAACATTTAAGAAACAAGCTGCTTTACAGTTTTATACTTATGTTATTTTTTGTCACCTTTATTTTTGGGGGTTAAACCTCTACCTACTTTTTATTTTCAAATGACAAACTATATTTAAAATTAAATAAATAGATGCAGAATTATTCAAAATAAATTTCAGTGTTGACATTTTTAATTTCCGTCGATCCAGCAACGAGATATTCCACTTTTAAGTTTGGGTTGAAAGAGAATAGTGGAGTATCATTTGTATGGCGGTACGGTGCGCGCGACGTGTTAATAATGCACCACTACTCTCCTCCAACCTAAAATTAAAAGTGGAATATTTTGTCAATGGCTTGACAGTAGTCAAAGATTTCAACACTCAAATTTATTTTAACTAATACTCAATCTATTTATGGACTTTTTAATATAGGTTACTATTTGAAAATTAAAAATAGGTAGTAATTATATCCCCAAAAATAAGGTTGACAAAAAATAACATAAATATAAAATTGTAGAGCAGCTTGTCTTTTAAATATTTAGAAAAAAAATTCCGGAAAAAGTTAATACTTTCCGAGATAATGAGTGTACCCACTTAAATTAATCACCCAGTACGTGGTATTATGGGTATCTACGCACTTTCTGAGACTCGTGTAGTCGTGTGAGTATAGTTAAAAAAAAACCTCAAATTGTCCGAAAAAAACGTTATGAAATAAAACAAGTAAATTTTGCATAGTCCGACAACAGCGACAACACAAAACACTCGGAAAGTCGACGGGTTGGAGGGGGAGGAAGCAAGTGAAAACCGTCCGACGCATTTTCGATGATTGAATGGATTCGTTTCCGAGGCAGCCGATCGAACGATCCGTCGCGCTTGAAACTTTCAAAACGATAATATAATATATCTACGCGGGTATATAATTGTGCAGAGTGGTTATGAGTTTTTTTTCAGACATTCAGATCTTATTTAAAACACTTTACTTTAGAAGTTCAGCGGCATTTCGACTATTATTTCATTTAGAAATATAGTAACCAGCATATAATTTTAAAATGCCGCCGATTCGAAAAGAAAATCGTAACACGTTTGGGTACATAGCAGTATTTCTACCTATAAATATAACACGTTTAGCCCGTATTAACGCCTCACTGACACATACAAGTACTTGGGCATTGGAGCCGTATACTATTATAGGTACCTGCATATTATTACATCGACTTTTTTTCATCTCCTTCTCTGGCTTTATCTCAACTATTTGGGGTCGGCTATCCCCGTTCTAAACTTCCATTTGACCCAATCCTCCACCTCGCATTCGCCAACTGTCCTCATATCGTTCTTAATCGCATCCAGCCACTTCATTTTCAGTCCTCATCCTCTCCCCCTCTTCCTGCCTACGTTTATTTCCATTACAACTCTTACTACTTCAGATTTCTAAATTTTCATGTGATGTCCATCTCATTCTATTTTCTCTCATTTTGTCTAAGCCACGCCAAAACTACCTCTTCCAATAATAATAATCTTTTTTTTACGGAAATAAATTCCAATTTCATAATTATAAATTTACCTAAGATTATTTCATTTATATATCTGTAAGCAACGATAAACCACTGCTTGACGAAAAACGATTCCAAGCATAGTTCGGTAATACATAATTTGAAGTACCGTATTTTTTTTTTTTTTTTGTGGTGTTTGTTTAAATTTATTTTCAAAACGCTTATAAAAAAAAAAATTAGTTTGATGATTTTGAAAATTTGCCATATCTAGATCCAATATAAATATTGTTACCAAGTTTCAAGTCTCTACGTGTATTTATAACCGAATTACAGCAAAAAACTCCAAAAAATTAAAATTCCTCAATAGCTCAAAAGTGGCTCAAAAGTTTTGGCGATAATACCATAAGAAAGTAAAACAAAAAAAGTATTTTTTTGATTTTTCGATTAAATCAATTTTTCTGGTAGAAAACGTCGTCCGTGTTTTTATAAAATAATGAAATCGTGAAATTGTACGTTTTCCTACGTTTTTTCCCACTTAAATGCTTTTATTTAAAAAGTGACGTCGAACATCAAAAAATGCTTCAAAATACCAACTAGACAACTTGAGCTTTCGGAAAAGTTGCTACACGTAAAAATCGGAGCAAGTTTACTAGGAAAAACGTGTCCACAGACTAAAACAAAGCAAAAAGAAAGAAAGAAAGAAAGAAATAGCATTGTAAAACCAATAGCTCCCTTGCTACGCTCAAAATCTAAACTATTATGCCAATATAATATTAGAGTATTAACGTATTATTTTTGTATTATTTTATTTAAGTGTGTCCAAACTCCAAACATCGTATTAATTTATACCCAAACATATTATTTTTTTAAAATGTTGTACCTAAACAATGTTTTCATTTTCTACCCAAACGTATTATACTTAAGGTCTATGTACTAAACGTGCTGCGTCCGAAAAGAGCTAATATTTGTCTGAGTATACAAGGAAATTCATGATCTTTTCTCGAGTCTAAATAATTTAAGGCTATTTTCTATAATAGGTAATAAAATAAATACTTGTTTACGTGTCTGTCCGTATGAATTTCACAATTGAATTAGTCGTACACCAGAAGTCTAAAACTTTCCAGACAAAAACGGATGTGAATGGGTCCACAGGTATCTCGAAACCAGATTTTTAAAATTCAACCCCCAAACGGTGGGTCACGTAATATTTTGGCATGATAATATGAAAATTAATTAATTTTTTCCCCAGGATACCTTAATACCTTATTGATGACACGAATGAAATACAAAGAGAGACAAGACCCGTTAAATTAATTAATTTTTTTATTGGTTTTGATTTTTTAATGAATTGAAAAATTCTGCTTTTAAACGTTCAAAAAAAAAGCAGGCAACCAAATTAGCATAGGAAACACTGTAGGACCGGACAATTAGTAATTAATATAATACGAGTATACGATTCGTTTAATTGGTTAAAATACCTACATATATAGATAATCGTTGATTCGTGTAAACGTACACAATTATCCCGTGGAGCCGTACTAATAATAGTGGTCGTCTTTATCCGGATCCGAGATTTGGATTGGATAAAAGCGTGTAAGGAAGCGACTATCGGAAAATAATATCATATGTTGTGTGATAAAAAGAGGTGGATGTTTTATAAAAAAAAAAAAATATACTGTAATATGTAAAACCACCGCAGATGATGGTATGTATACAGCGTCCAAGTGCTGCGGTTGAATAAAAATGGCGATGTTAAGAACGGATAAGTGTTGGCGTTTAACCAGCTGCAGGTTTATAGGTAGGGTTCAGAATAAATATAAAAGAGGAGTAGTCTACAGATCTGTATAGCTTTGGTATATCAGAGAAACTAGACAGTAGAAATTTGATTGAGATATGGAGATAAGATGGTAACTAGAGATGTTTCAGGAAGATGTGTGTTGAGACGTGTGAAATAGACGAGGAAACTGTGATTGATATTGTATAAGAGATAAGTGAAGTGTTTAGAAGAAAAAGAGTAGGTACCTATTCGACTGACCTAGTTTGTGTGGGTTATGATTCATTGTTACGAGGGTAAAATTTCTTGATTCGTCATGATTTTTTCCCCAAAACATTCCAATAACAGTATAGTAACAACGATTGTCAAGCGAAATACGCAGGTTATCTTCTCGTCACCCCTTACAATGCGATGAGTTTCTTGTATGACGTATACTCCGACGAGAGTTTTTCTAAAGTAAAAATTCCTATGGATAATCGTAAACCCTGATTGTACATATATATATATATATATATATTAAATAAAATCATATGCAATTTTCCATACCACCTTATTATATATATATATACCTAGCTATCGACAACACTGACGATGCAAATAATATTATTTGTCGTTATTCAAAAAGCATAATATATAGGTATTAAGTATGAGGTATAACAGTTGGTTTTGTATTAAACATGGCATTGAATCCCAGTTTGTTAAAAACTCATTCGTCTCGTGAGTTGATACTGGAATTTAGAAATTCTGGGACCCAATGGCTACAACTTAACTATCCCCTATAAAAGGAATGCTCGAGCACCTTTTTAGATACATAATAGCCGCCACAGGGTTCTGTAATTAAACAAAAATTAATAATTATTTAATTGACATACATGATTAAACGAGACCGTTTTAATATGATTTAACAGAATCAAAGCCATTTCAGTAATTTCACCGTACACTATTATTTTATCGTCGAATTTTCGTATCCGTCGCCACTGATGGTGGTAAAATTCGCATCGCTCGAGCGTATAAAGCGCACATTAATGGTAGCGAGAACGTCAACGGGATAAAAATTCGCATTTATAAACACATTATAGAACCTACGCCTTATTTTGTATTACAAGTTGTCTTGGGGTCGTTGTACCTACCTACATATTGTTGAACCAGGCTGCGGAGACAAGACAAGAGACAATATAATATTATAACGACGATGACAATAATGATGATGATGCTGTGCACATTTTATGTAATATATTATTGTATATTATTATAATATTAAGCAATAATAGTCGGGATATTGGAATGTAGTGGTAGATGTAAGCGGAGCAGAAAAATTACCTAAAAAAAAAAAAAAAAAAAAAAAAAACATTAAGTTTACGCAGCGATCAATAGAGAAAAAACTCCATTTTAAGATCCACGATGAGTCTTATTTCGAGAGATTTATCACAAAAAAAATAATTCAACGATTTCGTCACTGTTAACCCATTTAGGCAGCTTTATATTAACCACATAAATGCATTTCTCCGTCTGCTTCACTCGTAAAACAAATATTGGCGATTACAGGTTAAACTGGGTAATTACCCGCATTCAACCACAATTTATGGAACCAATAACAATACGTACACTGAAAAAAGTTCTTTGTTGAATTTTATTGAAGTTTATTCAAAATTCAATAATATAGAGTTGACTCTCTCACACATCAAAAAAAACTAATTTTTTTAATGGGCAGGATAATTTGATTTCCCTGTAAATCAAATGTCTCTCGCCACGCATTTTTGCATTAGCCTAACTTAACCTGATTGAAATTAAATTAAAATGATTAATTTGTCGATACTGTTCCATTCAAACAGAGAGCAATAGACACAAATACCCCCCCCTCTCTCAGAAAAAAACAAAAAAACCAAAAAATACAAATTGACATTGTAAATTCACCAGAAATGTGTCCACGATCGAAAGTCTCAGATAAAATTACAAACATTGACTACTCGAGACAGATTTTTGTTGAATTTTCGTCGAAAATAAAGATTATTATAGATGGCCATATATTATATCCTTTATACATTTTATTCCCATTACTTTTATACACTTCTAGTAGCTCCATCTGAAAAAAAACTGTCCTAGGATAATGAAAACGGATGCAGCCACTGTTATAGGTGATAAGTTAGGAAGATAGTATAGGAGAAATTGAATGTATATCTGTATGTAACGATTAACCATTGCTAACGAAAAAACGATTCTGAGCGGAATTACTACTACTATTGTTATATGTACTATTTAGTAGTGTATAATATTCGTAGTATTATATTATTATAGTATTCGATTATTTATTGTTTTATTGATAATATATTTCTATATAATACATAATAAGTGGGCGGGAGGTGATTTGCAGTAGTACGGAGCTCTGCTGCTCACTAATGTTTTTTATCAATCGGTGCAAATAATACTTGAGCAAGACTTTCAGTTTTGGGATGGTGGGAAGATGAAAACCGTGACGTAATGTGAACTGATAATTTCTTATTGGATTTATTTTTTATCTTCGAAAGCTCACTGCCGATGACGTTGTGTACAGTTCAGAATGTGCTGACATATTGTTTAGTCACGAACGAAAAACAAGATGCTATTAAATGCTAATAATGCTATTACTACCCAGCTGTATGATACTATTATTGGACATAAATATATGACTTGGCGGGTGGTGAGTAATACTATTATAACGCGAGGGTGGACAGAAAGATAAGGTAAAAAAAAAGAAAAAAGAAAGCACGACTCCTGTGGTGGTAGTGGCGGTAGGTGGGGACCTCCGGCCAAAACTCTATATAGTCTCTTATCTAAATGTTGTCGTGCTGCCGGCAACAAGATAAGAAACTGACCATGGGTCCATAGGTCGATGAGTCTGTGAAATCGGCCGATTCCACCGGTTCGGCTGCAAAAGGCGACGGCCGCTAGTCGCACGATAACAACCGCCCGAACGCAACGCCGCGCCACCGTCGCCACGTAACGATCAACGTCGTACACCTACCGAACCTCCTAACCTAACCGTTTACACACATCAAAAGTCCCAAATACGGGTACAATTAATTTATCCGGTATAAACCACGTATACCCGTGTCGGGGTAACGCATAATACCCACACGTCCTGTCTACCAACCGTGGTTTGACTTCCGGTCGTGCATGTGACCGGTGACATGTGACCGTTGGAATCCGCACTCCCGTCGGCTGAACGAGACGAATTTTGTTGTTATCGACAACATAAAAACAAAAAAAAAAACATCCAAAATTACCGCAGGGCGCAGAGGGTGCCGAATACCTTTCCGGTCTCCCTGCCGCCACCGCGATGCACAACATATTGGAAACTATTGTCGCCATTGTAGCGGGTACGTATTATTATTACTTTTTGACGGTCTTTGAAACCGCTCCTTCCCACCCCACTAGTAAGTGTAAGTCGCAGTTTTTTCACTGGTGTGGACACGTAAAAACCGCGTTGCATTTTACTAGAAGTGGCGTAAACTTAAATAATATCATAAGTGAATCTGACGAAATGATAAAAGACTTCTACGTTCTCCCCCATATATATGTGTATTAGATATTAAATAAATCGTCTTTTGCAAAAACAGTTCAGATTAAGTCAACTAATTCTTCTATTCTAATACATAATTTTTATATTCAGTTATCCAACGCTCACCTAGCTGACCTATAGTGACTATAGCCACAAACCCATCTAGTTAAAAAAAACCTAAGTCTTCAGACTCGCCGAATTATCCTAGCGCTGCTACTGTATATTACTCTAGTCACCACCCAATACAAATACGAATCACCACACCCATTCTCAACGGACGTCCAAAATTGGTCACAAGTTGTTTCCCATGGCCGAGTATTCGAATTTTTCGCTTCCCAAAAACAATTATGTACTGCTACTCAAAATGAACATCGAGATCGGTTTTAAGGAACTCATGTATCTGTATATTAACATATTTACTATATAGATATTAAAATCTAACGGAAATTTCGGATTTTTTTTTTTATGAAGGGGCAAACTAATTCTGTTTGCGTAAAATCTACTATACCTACCAATCGAGAGCGATTAATACACAATAGGAAACGTTCTTTTTTTGGTTACGATAAAATTCAGGGTTCATTGATAAGTGATTCGTATATACCTACTATGTAAAAAAAAAATAGTATCTACCTAACAGCTTAATCTCGTGAAATGACTACCGAATAGGAATGCGTGATTCGATCACGGTGACGTTAAAACAGTATCAGCGTTTTTATTCTATGTTTCTGCGATGAATGTGAATTCGTTCTAATAATACATTATAACGTCATCGTTCCGGTCAGTTCAAAAGTCCGGTAATCGTGTATGTGACAATCGTACCGTGCATACGAGTTAACAATTATAATATACAAATATTATTAACGTCCTACATAATAATATTATATACTATCATTTTTATCACAGTCCGCGTTGTCCTTTAGACCGGGAGACCTTTAAACTACCTATAATAATAATATTATAACGCGATTGTTTATACGCACAGTATTACATTATTATGTTTTAGACCAATTTTAACGATAACGTTATAATATTATCTCGCATTAGGTAGGTACCCAACTATTTTGCTATTAACATCGACGTGAAAACTGTTAGGATTTGATAATAATATACGTTCGTATTGTCGCTATTATTTCCGCGGCAACGGAAACGTCGTCATCACCCGTTGACTTTTCCGATTGTTTTAACAACATTATGTTTTTTTACATAAATGTTTGATCGCTATAATGTGTCGTTTGTGGCGTACTACGCATAGATAATAGACGGTAAGCGCATGCGCATGCACTACTGAAACCTACTTGAACCTTTCTGAACGGCGCAGCGATCGTACATTAGTAATCACAAATACGTCATAATATGTTTTGTACATAACACAGTTATACAAATTGGTTTTACGTATTTAAACAATAAAACAAACGAACATCTTCGCACGATGGGTGGGCAATTGTTGCGGGTGAGCAGTTGGGAACTTAAATGCATAACTATACGCAACGATTAATGGTTGCTAACCAAAAACGATTCTGAGCGGAGTTCGGTTACACATGTTTTGAAAGCCGTAATATTTGCGATTTGATAATATTATACATATTTCGTACATTTTCCCTTTTTTTCTGGTTTTTCCCATTTATTTATTTATTTATTTATTAGCTTACATATAAGCTCCTGGAAAAATCAAAAAATGACCTAACCAACCAATACATTTCTCGCTTCGCTCTTAAATCTTAAATCATTGTTTTAATTATCTGATCTTTTTTTATCTTTTTAGGTTATCTAGATAATTGAAAATTATCTTAATTATTTTTTATCTTTATTTTATATAGTAACTTACTGTATATCTATATCGCTCAACTAAATAAAACAATTAGTTATCTGTGCTAACACTGCACACCTGGAACGAAATTCCACTTTTCGGCCGCAAGGCCATTGTAGTTATAATTGCTACTATTATTTATAATCAAATAATATTCTCGAATTTGTTTGGTCTTTATTTTACACACATTTTACCAGCCCTCCCCCCCCCTCCATTAAACAGTTTTAAATTTTGTTTACGGCAATCAGCATGAATTTACTTAAAAATTACGGCGATAGACGTGAATTCGTACTCACTACGTGCTAAATATTTGCATAAAAAATGTTCGAATAGGGGGAGGGAAAGCTGATGCAATGTCATTTTTTTGATAAGTTTTTTTGAAACTCAAATTTGAATGGCATAAAAAAACATATTTATTCGAACTTTGCTCAGAATCGTGTTTCGTCAGCAATGATTTATCATTACGTACAAATATAATTTAAAAAACATTGGCACAATACACATTTTTTTTCTACAAAAAATCTTGCTCTAATCATAAAATGAAAGACTTTTTTTGTTGCTCTTATGGATTTAGTTGATGCATTAGATCACATTTAGATTTTCCTTGTAGTATTTCTAATAATTCAGACCGGAAGAAAGCACAGGAAAAACGGAAAAATGTATGGTTTTATTTCTACTTCTGTCGCAATTCGATAGTAAATAATCTTTCCCGTGTAAACCGGACGAAATTTTTTCTGTCGTGTCGTACAAATGTGAATCGTGCTTTATTCTTTAAATTAAAAAGATGATCGTAATAATTAAAATAATTTATTGCGTATAATATTACCGCTTAAAATATATGCCACTTTTTAAACCACCCACCACCCACCACCACCACTTCTTTGAAACGCTGACGTAGCTGTGTCAAAATCGAGTCCTTCAGTACGCCACTGTTAAGAATGATGACCAACGAGACCGTCGTATTCGGTTGCGGCGCTGAAATGTCTAGTGATTCTTATACATCATACGGTACCAATACCTACGTTTTAAAATTATATTTTTCTATTATAATAATTTGTATATGTTTGCGATTCATACTGTTTTCGGTACCTAGCGTTTTCAAAACGAAAAACAATTAAACGGCTAATATACACAAATGGAATAGGATTTTTTTTTTTTCTTTGAAATAATTTTCTGACGAGTATAATATAGAGCGAATTAAGGTCAAATTGTTTTTTCCTCCCCAAACGCACGATTCACTCATTAAACATTTTAAAGCACCACTCGTGACCAATATGCAGTTTATTTATTTTAAACAGATAATTGCTGTCGGGTAGTCCGTACACGTGGTACCTATATGAAAAAAAAATACAACATACAGAGTGTCTTTAAATATGTGTTTTAAATTTTTTTCCGTAGGGATACTTCTACTGTGCGGCTACCTCGATCCTGCCTTCTTGAATCCTCTACGTTTTTCCATTTACTTATTGTAATAAACTGATTACGGGTCGTAAATATGTTCATGTTTTTATAATAATATAATAAAAAAGTTTTTCCGAACTGAACGATTTTAATTACACTACGAATTCTTGTCTCACAAACTACAGTGGTGCATTATTAGCAGAGGCCTAGGAATACCCCAAAAAAAAGCTCCCATCTCAGAAAAAATCTCTTTAAAAAAGTTAACTAACACCTACATCATGGACGAAAATAAATGTATAAAATATGTTTATGTGTTTTATTTCAATTCGATTTCTCATCGGAAAAATATTTCCTGTCGCACCGCTAATTACCAACGTATAAAAATATAGTTTCATTAATCTTGGCCTAAATAATGCACCAATTATCATTTTATAAACCGCAGTCGTATGCGTACGAGACGTTATAAGCTTATCAGCCCAACGTAACTATGACAAGGGAGCAACTGCTCCAGGGTACCAAAATCGTAATTGTGATTTGTTCGTCGTTAATGATAGGTACTTATGTCATACTTAAAACGAATCATATTATAATGTACCTGTAATAATAGTATGTATGTATTTTGAATTTGAAACGTGAATGGGAACAATTGTAATTGAATTTTGTAAGCTTTGGAGACGATGAGGTGATGATTGTTATTCAATGTTGAACATATTATTACCGTATTTCGTAAATTGTTATAACCGGTAATAACAGAAATTACAAATCGTACAAAAAATGTCGACGTACCTGCAGTGTGTATCGCAAACAAAGTCAGTAATAATCGAAGCGATATGAATAGGGGGGAGGGGGGGGGAACGGCAAAAGGACAATTACGTTTGAAAACGCTTACGGAATTCAACGGAACTCGTGCGATTCTTTCGGGTTACCGCGGACGCCCTGTATACACGTGAAAACCTATACGCATAGGTGCAGGTTTTAAACGCCGTTTATTTCATTGTCGTGTTCGTTGTAATACCGTTTGCCTTCGACGACGGGCGACGTGACCCGTTGATGTTTTTACACCCGATCAACCGTATTATTAAATTTAAAATTAATTAAATTCGGCCGTTCGAACGGCCGTGATGCGTGTCCTCTCGCGGCGGGCACGTTAATATTTATCAAGCATAATATTATACGAAACGACGTCCGTTTTTCTCCGGTTTTCGGTAGACGCGATATGATAATATTATTGTTACCATCGTACGAAAAATAACGCGATCATTTACATTACGGTCTACATCGATGTACATCTTATTGTACGCTCTCGTTATCTAATCGCCCGGCGATTTTTCGCTTTCGACCGCGCGTTCTCCGCGGACGATAGACCAATTTTATTAAGCGCCCGATTGTGTTATAATATATTATTTACCTAAATATTATTATTTATTTCACCGACGTACCGCGCAAATGTGCACGCGAGCATAGTACGTGTACATATCCGAGAACAATAATAATTGTTTAATCTGCGCTTATTGTCGGGCCGAATTCTGTAACATGTGCTCTGCACTACACAATAATACGGCGGCTCCAATATTATTTCCAATAATTACCAGGTCAAATTATTGGTATTAAAACGTTTTAAACGATTTTTTAAAAAGTTTTGTTTTTTTTTTTTTGGACTCTGCTTTTAATTTCCATTGTCGAGTCGGGTGTATGAAGAAGATTCCACGACTTATTTATGATTGATATTTGCTAAATCTCTTCCAATTAAAATTCCCACGGGGCACGCCAATGCAGATGAATGATTGGTCATTATTATACGTGTTAATAATAGTAATATTTTATTATTAAAATTCATTTAAAATTTTATTATCAAATTTGAACTACTAAATACCATTGATTAGTTTAGATGGTATTATTTAGCTAACAAAAAAAACTAGAAAAGGTATATTATAAAATTGAAATGGGTATATTTTTTTTATTTGAGCTACGTGTTCACCGTTTATATTATACATTTTTTTTCTTCAGCTACCGATAAAGTATTCTATATGGCAGTGAATGAGCTACAAAGACGTAATAAAAAAGTATGTAGCAGCTATAGGATATGGAATTAGAATTCCAATTCCAATTCGATCTTAAGATTTTGTCGGTGACTAGTTAAAACTAAAAAATTGGTTGTGACTTGTAAGACTTTTTTTTATAGTATATTCACAAATATACTCACTTGCAACTCTTGCAACCATTATAATAATAAATAATAATAATAATTTTATAAAAAGTCGAAAAATCGAATGATTTCAATAGACTTGGCACGCTCTTATACGACGTAACTCATCCGAGAATATGTCATATTCGTCGAGGCACTTGAGTCTTTTTTCATGATTACAGTCCATTAAAATAAAAAGAAGTATGTGATATTATGAAACTTTAAAAAGTACCGACGACCAGATTTTAATTCCATCCATTAGGTAATGCGTTAAAAATGTATTCTGGTTTTTCGCTACAATATTATAATATAAGATTGAAATTTAATATAGTATAAAGTTGTCGGAAATATTTATCGAATATAATACACCTGAAACCTGACGTGGTTGAAACGTTTTTTTGTTTAAGTGTTATAAATGCTGTATACTTTCGAAAAGATTAACTTTTAAAAATATGACATTATAATATGAACGAATTTTATAGCTAAAAAAATGATTTATTATGGAGCTGTCCTTATATTGTAGAACCCAACGATTTTTTTGAATGAAAATCGCTTGAGTTTACAAACTAAACTGCAAGTATAAGAAACAGCAGTAATTTTTCTTTAATAAGGGGATTTATACGTTATAAATAACACTTAAAATGGCGGTACAAACAAAAAAATATAGACAAATTTTAGAATTAACTCGAAGACAATTAAATTGCGCTGTTTATACTTCGTGCGTAATTGCAGCCACTTTTGTAAACGGAAAGTTGGGAAGATAGGATACAGACGGGAATTTAATGTATATCTGAAAGCAACGATAAACCATTGCTAACGAAAAAACTAGAATTCTGATCAGAGTTCAGTTGATAGTGTCGCTTTTTCAACTATAATATATTATATGTCATATTATGGTAAAATAATTACACATGCATTAAACATTTTCTCTTATAATATTAGTTTAATATTGTACCTATTTTCCCGTTCTCCCGTTTTTCCTCCGCTTTTTTAGGTTTTTCCGATATATTGAGAAAAATCCTAAGAAAATAAAAAATAACCTCCTTTAAGTACTTCCTCAGTTAAATATCCTTTCAGAAAAAGTGTCATCATTGTAAATCAAAACAATATTTCTGATAGACAGATTTTTTACGGATAAAAAAAATAAACATCATTGTAAAATCATAAGTTTCTTCGTTCTACTCAGAATCCAAAAGAAATTGTTAAATAATTCATTATTATAAGGTATAATAATAATCAGTGTATAAGCAAAACGATTAATAAAAATAGACGGACATACTTCGCACGATTGGTGGGCCACTGTTGTAGACGAGAAGTTAGGAAAGTAGGATACAAAGGAGAATTTAATGTATATTTGTACGCAACGATAAATCTTTGCTATCGGTTATACATATTTTGAAACACTGTTATTTTTACGATATTCGTCAAAATTTGGTTTTCATCCCTTATAAAAAATGCTAATACATTTCGCATATAACTATGCTTATCAAAAAAAAATAATAAAAATAATAATAATAATATAATAAAAAAATATCAGATCTGATCCGCTCAACGCTACGCTGCTAATAATTGCACCACGCTACCACCATTTATTAATTTTAATTTTCTTTGGTCCTTTCTTTTCAATTGTATAATATTACAAACAAATTTCTATCGTACTATATTATCGTATAATAGTATATTAAAATATGCACAAGTATACGGCTCGACGTTTAGCGGACTAAAACTGAATGACTTTTAATATTTTAATATGCGATTTCGTTATGTCTCATTTATACTTTCCTCCACTAATTATAAATTATTTACATTTCGGTATAGTACTGATAATAAACCATTTATTAACCCTCGAAAAATTCATTGTAATTTGTTTTTAAATTATTCGACCGGCGGCGCAACGCAGAAGAAATTAAATTGTTCAAATCGAATTTTACCCAGTCGTATCGTCGCTATTCAAGTAAAAAAATTAAATTCATACGTACTGCATTTTACAATATTTGATCCACGAACGTTTCGAATGTCGAACATGTATTTCGAAACTTTTATTATTTCATTAACCATGCTATCACTTATACTTACACTTGTATTTGTATAATGTATACTAATGTATTTCTTATACCGGTCTCATAAAACTATATATAATACATTTATCGAGATATTGTGGCGGTGCAGTTGTTACATAAATACTTCTTGTTTATTCATCGCGCGTTTTATCGAAAATATCGTTCCTGAAAACCTAAATTCAATTTTGTTCGTCTGATGCTGTATTATAGGTTATCTTGTGCGACTACGTCGGATCATCTATAGTAGATATAAATACACGGTTTTGCATAATTATACATATTTTTAAATAAACTATTGTAAGCGTCAGAATTATTCGATTAATTTTTCGCGTTCGTCAGACGGTTCAATATAATTATTCGACATTATTTAGGTAATTGGAACATGATATATTCACATGTATATCTGTTGTACAAATGTAAAATATTTACAAACATTTTCATTACCATATAACTGGAAAACTTACGGCTTTTTTCTCGGGTACAACTGTACAAATATAATGTACGTATTATAATAAGGATCCACGGCGTATCTGAAGACCAATCAAGAATTAAGAGACGTGGTTTAAAATTTGAATACACCTCAAAATATCACAAAGGATTCCCCTATTATAAAAAAGTGTAAAGTGTTGATAATTTGTATTATAATAATATTCTTCTCTGTTGAAATGAAAATAAAAAAATGAAAATAATTTATAAATATTGTAAAAAAAAAATATATGAAAATTATTATCAAATATAAAAATATATACAAAAAAAATATATGAAAATTATTATCAAATATAAAAATATATACAAAAAAAAAAAACATTTAGTTAGAACAATTTTTCAAAGTAATATAGACCTTTTATTTTTCACTTTCCAATCTATATTTGTGACTTTTGGTAGTCTACATTAATATTTATATGTATTTTTAATAAGGTCAATCCAGTTAATCTTAGTTCGTATTTTTTGGATCTTAACCAAGTCTTAAGTCTAACAAAACAAAGCGACATGCAGTCAAATAAAAACAAGATTAATAAAATATAATATCACGAACTTAATAAATATTACTAAATATACGTAGTTTTAATTGGAAATATTTATGCTATGACCGTGATGATTTCATCACCTTTAAACAATTTCCTACAGGCGCAATCCACCTCCGGAGAGCCCCATATACACCATTGGTTGGAGTACTATTGAGAAGTGACATTCTCAGGAGTTTCTATTGGAGGAGGGGGATACATACAAACTATTTACAAAGTGAGACGTGGGGGGTTGCGCCTACATACCCCTGCAATAACAATAGAGTATATAATAATGAGCATTACATTTCAATACATATTAGTATTACGCACTTCGTATTTAAACTATATTTATTTTAATTAATTGGTACATGTACAAAACAGCACCCGTTTTAATTTTGAACTGTAGCACTTTTTCTGAAAGGAAATTTGACTGGGGTAGTACTTTAAGCAGGTTATTATTTTAATTTTTCAAGCAGCTTTCATAATTATTAGAAAACACTAGAAAAAAACGTAGGAAAAACGGGATGAAAAATGTACGAAATTTTCATAATAAATGGCAAGGTTTAAAACGAGAAAATTTACGAAATGTATATTATTTTCAAATCATAAATATTATGACCTACCAAAACGTGTGCAACCAAACTCAGCTCAGGATCGTTTTTCGTTAGCAATGAATAATTGTTATGTACAGATATACATTAAATTTTCCCTCTTCTTTCCCAACTTCACACCTACAACAATAGCCCACCCATCATACGAAACATTTCCGTCTTTTCTTTTTCTTTTTTTTTTTACCTGAGCATCAAGAACTTTTTCGGGAATCTATTCTGTGTTATCACTTACCTGTTGTTATTAATTATTATATTATTTGTTATCATTATTATTGTTATTATTATTACGATAAATATAGTCAATGCAAACAATTAATTATACTACTAAATATCAGTCATGCATAAATGTATAATATGATAATAATAATAAAAAAAATGAATGTAAAAATACTTGTTATTTGGCACTAATAAAAAAAATCTAACGGGGGGGGATCATTCACTATATATCACCTTATAAAGGCACCCGTGCTATTGAGTAAAATTGAAAAGAAACTTTTATTATTTACAGACTTTGTGCTTCTGTTGAAATCAATGGGCCCAATGGGTTCAAATATTTACGTGTAAACCATTAACAATGTTTTATCAGTAATCTGATGATGATGCAAAGCTGTAACTAAGTAGTTACTAAATACAAATATTTTTTACAGTTCTACGTCTTAATTAAAATTTGTTTAATAATTTATTTTCTTATTATAATATTCGAGTATACAATGGGCCCATTATCTTTTCGAAGAAATAATAATACAATAAGTGATATATAATTATGTGAATATATTATTAAGCTCTTTATTTGATCCTAATAACTGCACTGATGAGGCCTTTAGCGCATCGGAAAAATCGATTTGAAATTATTGCAATTATTGGGCTGCGTGAAGTTGCCTTTGGCCCCTTAAAGGAGAAATTGATTTTACAAGGAATTGGGTAGTTTTCAATCGGATCAAATCAAAAAATTGATACTATTTGCAATGAAATCGATCGAAGGGAGAGAAGCAACATCGTGTACTCATTTTCAATTCTCAGTTCAATCCTGGTAGTAAGTATAATATACTTACCACATAAATTGTATTCAGCACAAATTTGAAAGCAAATAATATTACATTTTTAAGTATTAATTATTCGTATATAGATTCCCTAATGAATAATTTGTGTTTAGAAACATAGATTTTTTTTTTATCATCTACACAAATATTTGCTTGACCAAACCGAAGAATTCTTCCACCGAAGTACTCTCTCATTTTTTAACTCACTTTTCGCAATATAGTCTTCCCTTATCTATATGACTTTTCTTCTTTTCCTGCAACGTTTACAATCTTATCATCGGCATTTAATTTTTCGAACTTTAATATTCCGTTTAAAGTTCATTTAGGCGTTTTATACTTTGCAAAATACTTGTTCTCACCTAGTTTACTAAAGAACACACTAAATAAAACTTTTTTTTTCGGCCTTAAATACAACTTATAATGAACCTCATGTTAAACTTTCAAACATTTTTATTCTGCCAAAACATTTCATATGCATTAAATCGATTAAAAACTAAAATACTAAGTGCCTATAAATAAACCAAAAGTTATCAGAAAGATTTAAAAATTTTACCACTTTTAGAAAAGCTAGTTATATTAGTATTTGATGGAAATTTCAGGACTCTGCAATTATTTTTAATTAAGTTACAAAAAAAAAATACAAGAAAACGAAAAAATAACTTCCAAATGAATCTACTAGATCCGAAATACTACAAAAATATTCTCTGATCGTTTTTGAATTGGAACAAGATAAGTGGTAGAAAATTTGCTTACATGCAAAAAAATAAAAAATATTATATTCATTATCCATACAACACGATAATATACTCCTTGCTGCACACAGAATTTAAAAAGTTCATTTTTCTAAAGGAAAATACTGTTTATTACATAATAATTAAGTTCAAGAACCAATTGATTAAAAAAGAAAGAAAAATTAACTTTATCGCATCATTTTTGTTATCAAATTGAATTCAAGTTAATTACCTCGCAAGTCGTACCTAATATTTATTACCATTGTGCTTCTTGGTTATATAGCAAAATAATTCATTAGTTGATAATTATATTTTTTGTATGGTTAACAATATTATAATATAGGTAAGTAATTATATGTATAATCTACAATATTGACTAATTAAATCGCGATTGTAAAGTAAACGAAGAGTCCAAAATTAAATCAATTTAATTTAATTAAAAATAATACTTTTCATAAATACTTTATTCTTGTGTTTGAGTCATTTGCGTGCTCACGGGGGCAACAGTGGCAGCATATTTTGCCCCTGGACTTTCTTTGGAGCTACTGCGGCTGGCAAATATTTAATAATGGGCCTCGGTGAAATTATATTTCCACAAATAATGACCATTGTAGTTAAAAAAAATTAAAATTTTGATTGTTTCATTTACAACTTTAATTGCATGCCTATTTGATTTTTTTTTTTTTTTTGAAAAAAATAAACTTCTTCAGTTTTATACCTACAGATTCAGAGTACAATTATTTTTATAATATATATTTTATATTGTTCTTAATGTTTGTTTATTTTATTATATTATAAATAATAAATATTAACCATAAACCTGTGGAAAATTACACCTTAGTACCTTATTGTACAAATTTTTATCCAAAAAACAAATAACCAATACAATTTAATTTTGGTACTCACTAGTAAAAAAAATTTAAACTATGGGCCGATTTTAATGGTGAATTTGGAGAATGGGCCGAATTAATCTCTCTTGCTGCCCCTGAAACCGGAGTCTGCGCACGCCTATGGTTTGAGTTTGAATTACCATATACGTGTTTTACGAAACGCTTTTTGGAATTAGTTCGATATTTTCATACGGTATGATTGATTTTTTTAATCAATAATATATAACTACTTAATTATTTATACCTGAACGATATACTATAGGTTAAGTTAACTGTTAATTAAAATATCAAAACCACCTATTACGCTTACTATAATGGTGCTATGACAAGCTCAAAAGTGGTCTTAATCATGTAAAACTGGATAACGTTTTTGAGTAAATTATGCCTAGAGCTGTGCATTTTTAGAAAAGTGCATTTTGTTTCTTTAATTTAGCTGTTAAGAAAGCTACGATTTTAGCTTTCTTAACATAAAGTTTAAATCATAGAACAACAAATTCAACTGTACAATTTGTATTTTTTTCTTTTACATTTTTTAGGTCAATTCTTTCCTTTTAGTTAATTTTACTGTTACTATTATTATAATAAGCAATACGTGGAAAGAAATAGTCACTAGAACAAATGATTTTTGATTAGTCCGAGTCGATAATATATGGCTATTCGTGTTTATTAATTGCGACAAATCAGTCCTCTGTGATTGTCTAGAGGAAATAGGTAATCTATACACTATAGAAGATTTTATTATTAAGTATTTTAAACTTTATTTAAGGTTTTATAGTACATTAAATACATAGATCTAATTATGGCGTTTAAAACAAAATTACTCTGTCAGGTTTGTTCGTTAGGTCGTAAGCCGTACAAATAAATATTATAGTTTTATTTCACCACGATATTATCTGAGATCAAATTGATGTATCTTAAGTGAATTATGATGGAAACTACTCATGATCAAAAATGCATAAATGATCTTGTTTCTAATATGCTAGTTATAATATATTTTGGTAACTCATTAGATTATGATGTAAAACAGAAACGTGTTGATTAGTGATAAATAAATGGCTATCGTGTAACATGCCATAGACCTAAATGTTTATAAATGTTGATATTTATTTATTTTATAAATACGAGTATATACATGTATTCATATTATATTGAATTCATATTAATAAGCTGTATTAATTTAGTTTTATTAAGCATAACCTATAAGTTTACGAATCTATAACTCTCTATCTCCATCACAAGCCTAGCTTAAAAGAGATAGATAATTTAGAATGTTATTTGTTTAACTTATTATGAACATATTATTCTTTTCGGTCAATAAAAAAAATTAATGATTAAAAAAAAAATACCTATTTTTTTATTATTTTTTTTACCAAAGTATATTTTTTATCGAGTATAAAAAATATCCCACTACAAAGATCTAACATTTCAACAACATTTGTTTTACTCAATGGTTACATGTCAATGCATAGTTTTAAATTTTTCTTTTTATATTAATTATTGATTCTTGTATTTTATACATTTTTTTTTTAATACTGAAAAAAAGTATAACTAAAGGTTAAAAAAAAAATGTTTTACAAAATCAAAAATAGCCATATTATAAATATATTATGAAACAATATTTTGGGTGTAAAAACGTTTAGTAATAAATAATGATGAGTCATTGGTTTTCTAAATTTTTTTAATTTTACGATGGTTTAAATTGTTTTCATTTCCACTACTAAATTATATCAATCAATTTACCAATTATTCAATGAAAAATTATTTTGCAAATGATTTATATAAACTTCGAAAAGTTGTAAATAATAGATGGCTCATCATTAGTTAACATTTTTAACACTAAAATGTAGCTTAAAAATAAATGTTTAAAACGGCTATCTTGGATAGTGAAAACAATTTTTTCTTTTTTACATTAAAATTGTCTTTTTAGTTTCTAAAATTTTTAATAAAAAAAAAAAAACCGAACAAAACAAAAGTTATTGTATTTTTCAGATTTCGGCGGATAAAATGTACATCCAACGATTATAATATAATATTACTATCACGCAGAATAGCTTATTATTTCACGGTTTTAATTATTAATATTTTATGAGGCACGTACCATAAAACGTGCTTATATTACATTTATTACTTATACCTTACCTATAAAATATTGTATTATTAATATTCTCGATTATTCGTTGATATTGTATTTGTTCGAACAGGTTATCTGATTCACTTCGGCCGTTGCGACCGCGACCTGTTCCCCGAAGGCGTTCAGCTCGGTTACAGATGGAGGGCTACGACGCACGTGGGCACTGTGTTTCCCTCGGAACACCTGACCAAATACACCCTGCATGCATACTTTACCGTACAAAATTATCAAAATTTCTCTACGTTTCACGTACGTATGAAAAATAAAAATTTGGAAGTAATATAATTGTTGACTTTATATTAAAACATAATAAACATATTATTAATTAACAATATTTCACAAATCAAAAACAAACAAATTTAACTTACACATATAAAGTTTATGTATACAATAACGAATATACATACTATATAATATAGTTAAATATTTAATTTAAAAAATAATTCAAATTGGCCACGAATAGAAATATTTAGGCGTACGGGTTTCTATATTTTAAAGAATAAACATGTTTTAATGATATAAGAACTATAAGAATTGAGAATTACAAATAAATTATAAAATTAAGTTCAACTATCGACTTTTTTCTACAAAAGTATTTTAAACATCTTCTGGATTAATATTTGTTGATACCTATGTCTCTTTCTGTATGAATTATAGGTAAATTTCAAAATCTAAACCATGTTTTTATTCGCCGTATTACTGTAAATGGTCGTTTACAAAACGTTGAACTTATCGGAATTATAAACATTTCTTGTAGAGGTTTATATATATTTGGGAAAACTTTAATTTTGATAACAGATTTAATATCATCTATACTATAGTGGCGAATCGATCTTCCCCCTCGTTCACTCCCAAATTTTCTTAGCCTCATCAATATACTCTGAGCTTAATTTTCATAATAATTGTGTATTATGCACATTTTCAAAATTTGACCCCCTCCCCCCGTGTTCTTTCCTGGATCCACCCTTGTATTAATGTTAATATCATTTTTAGCAACAGAATTTTTGTATTTTCAATAGAAAGAAAAAAACTATTTTTAGAAAAAATGTTGTAAAATATTTTAAATAAACGATTATGAAGCCAAAAATCTGCATTTATTTAGATAATACATAACGAAAATCAAATCAGCCTATCCACTTTTATGTCCAACTGTCTCTTTTTCAGTTTTCTTTCTGTCTTTCCTCCAACGTTATTTCCATAACAATTCTTACTGCTTCTGATTCTTCTCTCCTTATATGACATACCCAAACCATCTCAATTTACTTTCTCTCATTTTGTCAACTATTGAAGTCACACCTAAGCTACCTCTTATATACTCATTCAGGGGCGTCATTTAAGGTATTGCAGAATATGCTCATGCATACCTAAAATTCATCAAGATTACATTTTGGTCGGATTATAATTTTTCTGCACCATGAAAAATATTTTATTTTTTTTATTTTTTTTTTAATTGGTGTTAAGCATCGTTAATTATGTAGTATGTGTGGCCATAATCTGTAATAGCTGGTTTGTTGTATCAGATGTAAACTATTTGTTTTGTGATCACCCTTTAATAAAATATATATTGGACTGCTGAAAACTTTTTTTGCCTGCCTAGTTGTTAGCATACCTATCAAAAAGTTAAAATTATGCCCTTCTACTCATTCCTTAATCCTATCTTCTTTCATCATTCCACTCATCCACCTAATCACTCTCATCTCTGCTACACTCATTCTCCATTCTATTTTATCTGTTTACGCCCAACACCCCGAACCAGACAACATAGTCGGTCTTACCACACTTTTAAAAAAACCTTACCTTTAAGTCTCATTGGAATTCTCTTGTCACATAAAAACGTGATGTTTCTCTTATCTTTATCCAATTACATTTAAACGTGTGTTCTACATCCACATCAAAAGGCCAATAGAACGATGAGTTCTATTGGAGAATCATTGGAAAATTGGAAAGTAATGATTTTATAATTTCTAGTGTATCTACAACCTAACCTAACATTTTCAAATTTTTTTCGGAAATTTTGATACCTAGTTTCTATTATAATATTTAACATTTTTATCCTCGAAGGCTGATTTTCTAAGTCTTGCCATACTTACGTTAAGGATAGTTATGGGTTGCCAAATTTTTTAAACTTTTTTTTTTTCAACTCGGCCGGACGAAAAGAGTTAGTTTTTTCTGTGCGCGATTATCAAAATAATATAAGGTACTATATATTTTTTCTCCGGATGGGTCGACAGATTAAAGAGTTCCAGACAAGCGAGAAGCAGCAGGATTTTCCGTGGATAGCATTGCCGTTCCGATGCGCTTACAAGGACGGCGAAGTGCAAAAATTCGAGAACGAGGCCGACGACGTGTTGGGCTCGCTGAACATAAAAAGGGCTCTGGCCGCCATGTTTCAGCTTAAGTTAGGATCCATCGGCATATCATCATTCGTTATCCAAGAGGTACAGTAAAACATAAACACAGGGCAACAAAAAAAAAATAACCATACACTTTTTCAGAATAATACGTGGTGTAATTTGCATTAACTTACATTTACATATAATAAATTTATAGACAATATTTCGATAAATTGTAATTTTTTTAATCGTGTCGGAAGAGTTCAACGCGATACGTCTCTTAAACAATTTTAAAATACCCTAAATCACATAAAATTATCGTTTTGGACGAATGAAAATGTAGGTATTGATAAATACGTACTTATACTTTAGAAATATAATAATGCTTCTGTAGATTTTATTTTTGGATTCGAATTTCCCGAAAAGTGTACGGTATTTTTTATTATTTTTTTTTTAAACTTAATTCCCCGAACATACAGGCGTTCAGGGTCGTATTTATCCGTGTAATATAATTTTCGTGTGTTCCATCGCGTAGACTGGAGTCTACGGAAAATGCGATGTCCAGTATCTGGTTACCAAAGACCAAAAAAACAACACCAACGTAAAGAAAATTATCAACTTTTCGGCTTGCGATAATAAGCTTGGACAACAGTGGAGTAACACGCCGGCATTCACGTGTCCATCAAACTATCAAGTAATTATACAATATTTCTTTTGGATTCTGAGTATAGCAAAAAAGTTATTACATAGTTATACTAAGATGTGTATTTTAGATTTTATGCAAAGCGAAAAATATCTAGATTTTACTATGATGTATATTTTGTGTGTATGTGTCTGTGAACAACGTTTTTTACTAGAAAACTTGATCTAATCAAACATTTTATAGAAACTTTTTTGTATCATTATTGATCTAGTAATTGCGTTAGGGATGTCATTCTTTTTGTTACCCTGGTAGTTTTCTTAATAAATAATTGATAACTGTACGATTTTTGTTGATTCAGGCAACGAAGAAAAAGTCCAATAATAATACACTACTCGAAATCGTTTATAATTGCGTACAGATATAAATATTAAAACTAATCTGTTGAGAAGTGTTTTTTTTTTTTTTTTATAACAATAATTTATTATTGCTTTCAGTATATTATAAAGTAAATTATTCTATATCCTATGTACATTTCAAGCCTATCCATTGCCCGAAGTACATTCGGCTTTTATTAAAATAGTTTTTATGCAAGTTTCAAAATAACATGATATTTATATTTTTCCTTTTTGTTTTAATCATTTTACCTTCCTTGTATAGGACGGAAGCATGAGTCATAGCGTTCGGACTTATACTCTGGACGAACATAACGTGATTCGTTACTTGAACGTTATCGGTACGATAGAATTTCAGCCGTTTCAAGCTCTGGCGGAATCACATCATATTTTCGTAAAGTATGTCCTTAAAGCTTGTACCAAGATACCGAGAAATAAAAAATAAAATAAAAATGTACCCATTTCTAATTAATACATAATATTATCATATCGTTAATAGTCAAACGTTCGAATTGGACGACATTTCGCCGATCGTCGATCCTGTCGTGCTGGTAGCAAAAACGGACAATTCGATCGAATACGATTTCAATCACTACGAGGATCCCACACTGAACCACAAGCCGACAAATAAATCACATCTTTTGACCGAAGTACTTATAAAATAATTATTATTACCTATATTCGCTTACGCGTTATCACCCCCCCCCTCCCCCCCCGATCCATTTTTGTAAATAATTATTATTGATTTCATCATTATATTAGATTCACGACATACTCGGCCAACTGACGGAGAGCCTTAGCTGGGAAATTGGAACCACTAACCTCGACAATCAGACGGCTTTCCGAGCTTTGGAACTCATGTGGTGGTTGGATACCGCTGACTGGAACACTCTGTACGATACCATTAAGATCGGCACCAGTTACTCGCAAGAAACTATACAGTTCGTACGATTTATACTCACGGAAACTATAATTATATTATTATCATAGCATAAAAATATTTCCCCGTGCCTTTTTTCTAGACACTTTTTTTGGGATCTGGTACCACAAGTTGGATCAGCGTCTTCGGTGGAATTCATCCGGGAACTGATCAAGGAACAACAAATAACGGGTTTTTTGGCCACCGGACTGTTGTTCACGTTTCCGTACCACGTCAGGTATCCTAACGAAAAGCTCCTAAAAGAAACAGAAATATTATTAGACCTCGACATTGAATCAGACAGTGAAATACAAAAAATTGCGATTTTGAGTTTCGCTTCATTGGTGCACAAAACGTGTGGCAACGGAATGTGTTCAGACGATACGCAGAACAAATACATCAAATTATTTTTAGATAGATTCAAAGGTCAGTATAAAACTTTTATAGAATAGTTTTTTTTTTTTCTGTAATATTTCCTTATAATATATTTGCTGCAACTGTGGGGTTGAAAAAAAAATAACTTGTACGAATTTCATCGCATTTCAGAATCCACAACGCACGGTTCTCAGATGGTGTACATCGAAGCGTTTGGCAATATGAAAATCGATAATATATTGGACTTTTTGGAACCGATAATCACTGACCACGACCGCTCCAGACATATTAGATTAGTGGCCATTTGGGCAGCAAAATCTGCTACCGTCCGCCATTCTAACAAAGTATATACGTACTTATAAATCAACAATACTATTTAGAACTGTAAAAAGAAAGCTGTCGTAATTTAATTTTGCAGACGACCGCCATTCGTCTGTAAAACGACAAATACAGATTTAAATTTTTAGCACCCTCCCCGACAAATTTTTATGACCGATAGTTATCGCACATACTTAGCCATAATAGTTATTATAATTAATAATTATACCGGCTCTACAGGTCGACGAAGTGTTTTGGCCGATATTGACCAACCATTCCGAACCGTTGGAAATCCGAACGTCGGCGTTAAACATGCTCATGATGTCTCAACCGTCTATATCTCGGTTTTTGACACTCTACTGGTTCATGCAAGAGGAACCAAACCAGCAGATTTACAACTTTTACTATACCACGATCAATTCTATGGTCAACTCCAAGTATCCGTGCTATTATAAATAGTAAGTGTATATACAAGTAATACAAGTTATACGGTCCGAGTTGAGTTACGTTTTATTATAATTTGCACGTGACTACAGTAAGTGACGTCGATCTGTACTTCGTAGTTTATATTCTGGGGGGAGATGGCACACAATCTACCCAACTACTTAAAAATATTTCTAATAGAAAGATTCAGAAAAAACAGACGACTTAAAACACTATAGATGATAGATCACTAGCTGATTACCAACCAATAACTGAATATTTGGTATGTGAGATCGTCGTCACTTGCTAAGGTAGTTTTTCGATTATAATAATATTATTTAGCAACAAGTTGTCATTCTCTCCGTTCATATCATTTTAATGTAATATATAATTTACACTAGTTTTAGTCATTTAGAATATAAAATGTCCAGAACATTTATTGAAAGTGTTGTATGACGTGTACCTCCTACCTACTTGCACGTTTAAACTCAACTCGGTAATTATATAACCACGTTACCCAACGATATTAAGTTTTGTTTTTCTGCTACAGTAGCAAAATAGCTACACAAATCGTGCGATTCGTGCAGCACAAATGGCATCACTGGGCCACCGGAAACTATCTACTAGACTACGAAGACTCGGTGAGAGGGTACGGCGGAATCATTCAGACGGTCCTAATGGCCAACCAGCGGACTGGGTTTCCGTCGGTGGTTCGTTTTACAGCCGAACAACATTCATTTGGTGCATCTTCCGAGTTTGAGATCCACATAAAGACCGAAGGGCTGACGGAAAACTTGAAAAAACAGATCATCAACGCAGTAGTCAGACCGTCCGACCAACCAGTCATTGAGGTTTCCAAACTGGTAGAGATCCTGGAAAAGGCCATGTTGGCCATCCAAAAGGACGAAGACTTTCACTTCGAAGTCATCATCAAGATCAACGAGCAGACTATTTATTGTCACCATTTGAACAACACAAAGTTCAATAATTTTGCGCTAGGTAACCTCCGTGGATATTAATAGACAAATATTTACTTGTGAATACAAGTATTTAAGTATACTTAATGGACAAGTATAATAACTTGATATTTAAATAAAAATAATAAAAAGAAATATAAGATAATGAGGACGGGTGCAGCCACTGGTGGGAAGTTGAGTAGGTAAGATACAGACGAGAATTCAATGTACATCTGTAAGCAACAATACACCATTGCTTACGAAAAAACGATTCTGAGCGGAATTCAATTAATAGTGATGCTTTGTCAACAATATATATATATATGTCATATTATAGTAAAATAATTAAACAGGTGCAATATATTTTCTTTAATAATATTTGTTTAATGTTGTACCGATTTCCCCGGTTTTCCTACGTTTTTTCTGGTTTCCCATGTTTTTTACTAGTTTTTCACATTTACTGAGAAAACTCCGGAGGAAATCTAAAAATGACCTCTTTAAAGAACTTCTCCAGTAAAATTTCTTTTTAAAAAAAATTCTATCATTAAAAGGTTGAGCAAAATTGCTGGTAGAAAATTTGTCCACAGAAAAAAAAAATAAAAAAAACATCTTTTGTAAAACCATAAGCTTCTTCGCTCCAATCAGAATCTAAAATTATATTCAGAATATTATTCTATATACCTACAGTTATGTATAATATAATATTATAGACCTGTCTTCTGTTAAATAAAAAGGTAGAAATTGTATAAGTTTAGTTTGCTCGACCCCTGAATTATCTCGAAATAATTATTACGATTAAATTCAAACTTTGCACTTGACTATTAAGTGTATAGGTCGAGAAGTTGTTCCGATCGGACTCTCTCGGACCTTTGCGAAGTACAGTATCCGTCGGGTATAATAATAGTTTATTACCTACCGTAATATTATATTAATGTCCCGAAATTAGCGTGTAGATATTTCAAAATTATCTGTGTATCAACTAGGTTGGTTTTTTTAAAAAAATAATTTAACGTTAAACGATACATAAACATATTTAAAATATGATATTTCACATATTTATACGAAGACTAATTAAAACGCATCGATACTGATAGTGTTACTCGTAAACCAAGCATTGTAAAACAATAGGAATGATATCACTGGCTTTTATTACTTCTTCTGAACACATCTGTTTTTAAAAATTCTCTATAATATTGTTTGAAGGTTATAACAGGGTTTTTTTTACTTCACTGATATTTTTGAAAAATATGTTTTTCGGATTAGGCGATTTTGTAATGAATCCAAAGAAGAAAAACTTGAAGAGCTTCTTGGGAGTTTGAGAGGATTTTTCGGCATTTTATTTTTTATCTCATTTCATTGTCCACATAAACAAAAATATCAGTGAAATAAAAACAATCCTACTAGTTTTCACTACAAGTAATACTATCAGTCTCAATGCTTTTTGATACTACTTCGAACTAAAAACTAAAAATCGACGTTGCATAGATTCGCTCATTCGTTTATTTTAGAAAACGGAGGGAGAGGTATAACATTTCGAAAACTGAATATAAATGGAAAATTTAATGATAACAAGATTTCAAAATAAAATTAGTCACAAATAATTGTTTACTTTTTTTGTCAGTGGTAAAACCTCATAAAATTACTTTTTCGAATAATTCGAATAATTACTGATAACCGGCTCGTGTTCGAAAAAAAAATGTCCACAATTTAATTCCTAACCTTATTTTATTCCTTCGGCTAAATTAATTATTTGTTTCAGTATTGAAGAGACTGAGTTCGCTGTATTTCCAGTTCAGTCTGAACTACCAGCGTCTCTCGTTCCCGCTCCGATTCCAGCGGACGCAATTCACAGATTTTGGGACCCCTGTTCTTCTTCAGTTCAGAACGGCTTCATTGTTATCGTTGCGGGGAAGCATCAAACAGACTGAAAGCGGCAAGTCTAGGGATGCCGAATTAGACTTTAGGTATAAATCGCTATATTGTATACTTATACTTTAAAAAAAAGTTTTACAAATTAATTGTTTTTATTAATTTCACTTAATATTAATAATAATAAAAAAATACCTGCAGTGCTCCGTTACTGGAGTCAAATTTTTCCCCAGCTGATTTGTCGCCGTAACAATATAAGTAACAATAAGTTCGTCTAAAATAGTTATAGTTACCAGAATTGTATTATATTTTAGTCCGTAGGAGTATTTAAGACAATGAAAGTAATTGGAGAGGAAGTAAAAGCTAAAACACCCAACAGGCACACCCTTGTTGTTTAAACCATGCATACGAATATACAAACTTTTATCCCATTTACTTCATTTGGTGGGTCCGGATAAAATAAAAAACCGATATACAATATTTACCAATATTATTCATGTTAATTTTTCAACCAATATATTATTAAAGTAAACGATTTTTTTCATATTGCTATATTATTATCCAAATTAGACGTTTATTGTAACGTTCCGGATTTAAAAGCAGTTTGGAAATATACAGGGGCGCCAAAAAATAGATATGAACAAATCAAACGAAAGTTAGTAATAATTCAGATTACTACAAAAATGAGTTACTAAAAGTATCAAAAAGTAGCGGGAAAAGACGTGTACCTAATAAATATAATGCAAATATACAATAGTTAATATTTTCAAGAAAATTTCGAAAAACAAAATCTTAGCAAGCCCAAAACTGACTAGTACCTACTGAAACACATACCTACACAGACACTTAATGACGTTTATTTTAATTGTATTGTTTCTTAAACAATTAAAATATTCCTCTAGCCCCTTCAAAAAAATTGAAATACCTACGTCACATAGCGTACGTCGTTCTCATTCATTTCGGGCGTTTTTTCAGATATTCCATGGACACGGTGACTAGTCTGAAAACGTTCAATCCGCTGAGCCAAACCTGGCACGGCGCTGACCGTTTCCGGTGCATCCACGCGAGAATACCGTTTTCTACGGAAATCATAACACACTTCTTCAGATCGTACGTGAAGGTGTCTGCTTACAGGTACAAAAACTTCGTTGACGGATCAAAGCTGGGCATCGTGTGGCACTCCGCGACCAAACTGTTTCCGCCGCCAGAAAACGTGCCTCCCTCGAAAGTCGAAAAATACGAATCGCTTTCTGACGTTAGTATATACACATACATATTATCATACCTACATGAATTATAAAACCCAAAAGTTTTTTTTCTTTTTTCAATTAATTGGGGGAAAAAATGTAGGAAAATTTATGGAATAACGCTTTTATTTTCTAATAGGTTTTTTTTCTATTTTGTTGGAATTATTTTTAAAACAATCGTAGAGATCTAAAATTCTCACAGAATACTAATAACGTGATAAAATTATCAAATACTCTGGCCATTTATTAGCTGTTTATAAACATTTGAAATAATCGATTATGTTTGATTTTACCTATATGGATTCAATTATTTTTTATGTCTAACAGAAATGTTTGAAAATTTAACGTGAGGTTCATTATAAATTGTTTTCTGTGTATAATAAAAATAGTCAAATGTAATAAAATAGGTTTTTTTTATAAGCGTTTCAAGTTGAAGTTTTAATGCGAAAATCGTAAAACGGCATTTCAAAACACGTTCAACCGATCTACGCTCAGAATCGTCTTTCGTTAACAATGTTATATCGTTGAGTACAGATTATAGATATAATTTAAATAACCCTAAATACTGCTACTTTCCTGACTTCTCATCTACAACAGTGGCCCATCCGTCGAACAAAGTATATATTCGTGTTTTAGATTTTGAGCGGAGCGAGGAATGTATTATTTTTACAATGATGTTGATTTTTTTATTTTATCAGTGAAAAACTTTTCTACCAGAAATTTTTCTCCGAAGATCAAAAGAAGTAATTTTTCTGAAAGGAAATCTAACTGGGGTGGTACTTTAAGGAGGTCATTTTTTTTATTTACCAGGAGTTTTCATAATAAATGGTAAGGTTTAAAACGAGAAAATTTACGAAATGTATATTATTTGCAAATCGTAAATATTATGGCCTTTCAAATCATGTATAACCGAACTCTGCTAAAAATCATTTTTCGTTAGCAATAATTAATCGCTGTGCACAGATATACATTAAATTTCCCCTCTATTTTTCCAACTTCTCACCTACAAGGCTACAACAATGACCCACCCATCATGCGAAGTATATCTGTTTTTCATAATGCGTCCAATATTATACACGTTCGCGCCACATTGACGGTATACGATAAATTGCATGTTCAATTTTTTTATACTCATTTATAATTGTATAATTTCAACGATTTAAATCGTCTTGATAATTAACTTCAATAAATATAAACCTTTGCAACGAAAAATAATTCTGAACGAAGTTTCGGGTACTGCGTGGAAGGTAAAAGCATTTTTACTAACCGAATCTAAGTACCTAATAGAATCTAAAACAAATATCACTGTAACGTTTCGCTCGAAATAAATAAAATTAAATATTTTAAACTTGGACTCTAAAATGGCCTAATGATGGGATGTAAACTCAGTTAGTCTGCTCTATAGTATTCTTGTCCTCGCTTTTTCCATATCATGCGGTGTATATGTATTGACGAAATTTTTATCGGTACACTTCTTGTACCCATATAGGACTGGGCATTCGAGTCGAGAGATTTAGGAGCAAAAATCGCCACCACCGTGTTCGACTGCCAGGACGGTGGCAAGTTTTCCAATTCTTTGATCATTATCAAAGAAGCATTTCAAATCAGCAACAAAAACTATCAGTTAGTATACTTATATGATATATCGGCTTATACATTATTTATTTAGTTTTTGGGAAACAAATAAACACACACGTTTTATTTATTTATTTTGTTCCTTCCTTTTAGGTCCATACCCGGCGGTATCGCTTTGTTGGGCGTCTACTCGCTTTCCAATTATTTCACGTTCATCCCGCCGGAAGACAGCTGCGGTCTGATACTGTCCATATCGCCCCTACAGGTTTGTGTATCGACAAACGAATAATTCGTAAAATTGGTTCGATATATTATGTATATAGTCAAAGGTTTTTAGTTTTATAACTCCCAGACCGTGAAACTTCCCGATCCCCGAATATCGACAGATAAGTATTCGCGGTATGCCGGTCCCGACGGATACACACTGTGTACACCCACTGCAGGCCAATGACTAGACGAGTAACACCGACGCGTTTGATTTGCGGACTAATAAATTTAATCAGTAAACAAAATACCCAAAACCCGTAATAAAAAAATAAAAAAAAAAATGGTTATACGTCGTTGACTTTACGAAGTTATCGAGTTTTGAATTTAAAATAGTCATTTGCCTATAATATCGGATGAGACCGGCTATGTTGTAAATTTCGAATGTTGAACTGTAGACAAAAAAATAGAAGTACATTAGAGCATTAGCGTACATTGGGTGTGAATTTAGAGGGTACTAGAATAATTTCTGATACACAGATTTAAGGGGGGCTTCGCTTCCCACACCCCCCTCCCCTCTAGTGATATAATAAACTATATTACAATAATTTCAAATGTGTATACAACCTGTATTATAAACAGAACACAATTTCGTAACTAACCGTTAAAGATATAAATATAAAGTAAGATAATATGATTGCTGTTTAATGTTTAGACGAAAACTGAAACGTACGTTCACACAATACTGTTTTAATCGTGAATCCCTGCACTTTTAACGGAAAAACAAAATTATTTTATCTAAACCAATAAAATGCAATAATTTACAGATAATTGGTGAAATACTGAAATAAATTATTCAGGGAAACTGGGGATACTAATTTGAAGCCTAGGATTGCTAAGCACCCCTACCTAGCACCCTCCCTATGTGCGCCTATGCATTAGATTATATTAGATGTAGCTTAGACGTGATTTCATTAGTGAACAAAATTAAAGAAAATAGACGAAAACGGTTGGGGTATGCCATGGGGTGAGAGGAATCTGAAGCAGTAAAAATTGTAATAAAATTAGACGTAAGAGGAAAGAAGGAGAGAGGAAGACCGAAAAAGAGGTTGTTGGATGCGATCGAGAATGATATGAGGATGACGGGTGTATGCGAGCATGATGTGGGAAATCGGGTCAAACGGAAGTTTAAGACGAAGGTGACCGACCCCGAATACAGTTGGGATGAAGGCGAAGGTGAAGAAGAAGATGAATACGTGCCTAAGTATAATACATTTTATGGTAAATAAGCAACTTTACCACATTATAACAAATTATTTGTATACATAATTCCGTAATTCGTATAATAATTTACCAACACAGTATATCCGAACGCGCCAAATTGCAACCAAAAATGTTTGGAACCGTTACCGAAGACGGCTATCTTTAATACCCGTGCACGTTTATAACGTTGGCCCCAACCGTTTCCGTAGGTCGTTCCTGTGTTCGTCAAAGAGGGCAACACCGTGCACATCACGATGAACCACTACGACCAAACGCTGTGGGGCCTGATCGCCCATTACGCCCGGCTCGCGGACGGCAACCAGGAGATATCGTTCAAGCTCAGCCATTCGAACCGGGAACGGAACATCACCATCACCAATGGTTACTGGCGGCTGTTGCGGTTCGAGGGATCGTTCATACTGCCGTCCCGCAAGTCCGGGGCCCTACACGCGCCACCGCCGCTACACGGGCAGGCCACCGTGTCCTGGGGATACCATGGTTCGGCCACCACGATGATCATGTCCATCAAACCGGAGAACGCGCGCGAGGTGTGGCCCGAACAGTGCGTCATCGACTCGCCCACCTGCTTGCAGACCGCCAGCGACATATCCACCAGCCAGATTATTTCGCTTCAGTTCGTCAACGTGAGTGTACAAAATAATAATTGGCGTCCCTGTACTTACGGTTAGACTCGACCGGTGTGACAGGCAAAAATTACCTATTTCCGGCAGTAGCATATTCCGAAGAGCAAGATTTTACTGGCCTAACAGGCGATTGTTACCCCCGTTTTTGGGATAAATGTTTTTGAAAAACCTTAATCGTAAATTTGATTTTATATTATAAGTACGTTATTAAGCTATTGTAACAATGGTGTGTGTTTAACGGCGGGATTAGATTAAGCCTCTCTGTAATAAATCATTATATCAGTTATTATAAGCCTCAGATTACAAAAATGTACAATTACACAATCATATTACTTAGGTATCAAAATTAGAGTTATTAAAGGAGGGACATTTTTTATGAAAAGCACACACCTACATGACTACATAAGTAGGCCTATATTAAATAATTTATGTTTGTTTTGAGCAACATTGATTTTATAATTTATATTTATTAGGTAATATTATCAATGGAAATCCATAAATAACATAACATTATTTAAGACCTTTATATTATCTTTACAACTTAGATAGCGATTTAAAAAAATGTAAAATCTTAAAATAGGTTTACTGTAAAATTTGATATTTTCGACAAAACTTTTTACAACTTAGTCATCAATAAGAAAATGATAATTTAAAACATTGTTATTAATATTATTATAAATGAACTCTGAAAAAAATAAAAAATTAAATGGCGTTGACAACTAGTCCTAGATCTATGATGACCAGATGTACTCTTTTTCATAAGACTTTTTTGATGCATTATCCAATATCCTAAACAATAGTATTAAGTACATGAAATTGTACTCTTTTTTTGAAAATATTATGGGCTAACCGGTTAATAGATGTTTATGATTTTGTATAATTTGATTATTAATTTCTATTTTATAGTTCAACCTTTGACCTAATGCATTTCAAACGTCAGCAAATAACTGACAACAGTAGTGACACCCGGAGAACCATTGTTTGACGAAAAAACACCTTATTAACATTAAAACTACCAATTATTATAGTTTTACCTAGTTTTTATAACTGATAATACTATAATAGAAAAAATAATACTTAATAGAGTAATCTGGTAAAAAAAAAATGTTTATAGAAGAAGATGAGCTATGAGCGAAATGGGTAGAATACTATAAACATTGGTCAATTCTTTCAAGGAATGGGAATTTTTTTATAACAAACTAAATTATAAAATGTACTTTTTTGGATTTTCATATCTGGTCACCATACCTAGATTACACTATAAAAACTAATATATTATTGTATTACCGTGTAACCTCTTTCAAAATTTTAGTTGCCCAGTTGGATGATAATCACAATGCATTCACTGTTTTCCGATTTCGTGATCGACGAGGGCAATTTGACCACAGTGAAGTTTACATTTCCAACAAAACTTCCTTGGACGACAAGAGGTTTTTTTCTTTAAAATTTATTTGAAAAAAAATTATAATAAAATATATATTTTTTCCCATAGGAATTTGTGCGGTGAATTCCGTAACAGCGTTGAGTTTGGACAATTCAACTACTCACAATTTCAAGCTAAATCAAGACTGCTACACAATAGCGTTAGCTGATTGTTCACCGTCAGCAAGTTTTATTGTAGGCATCAAAATGAACAGTGTTAATTCCACTTTGGTGAGTTAAAAGATGTTAAATGTATAGAATAACATACCAAGTTCCTAATTTTATAATTTTGAGTAGAGTGTGCGCATATTGACTCTCAACAGTGTAATGGACATGATACAAGAAAATTCAAACATAAGAATATTGATTAACGGTACAGAAATTGAAGTCACTCCGGCTGGAGTTCAATATCCTAAAGCTAAAGACGATTCATTTATTTATAGGTGTGTGTTAATTTTTTTATTTTTCCTCAGTACACAAAATCAAAACAATTAACAACTATTAATACAAAATTGCATTTTAATTTTAGAGCGAAAAAATGGCACGAAGAAATGACCGATCTTGAAATTATTTCTGGAATCACCGTTCAACACTATGGCCATACAGTGATTATGTTAGTAGAAAGTAAACTACGCGGAGTCACTTGCGGTTTATGTGGAAATTTCAACAGCGAATCTAGTGACGAATTAAACGAGACACCGAAATGTATACAATTGTAAAATAAAAAAAAATATATGGACTTATTGAAAATAATTATATTTAAAAATAATAATATATAACTTTTATATAAATAAATATATATGTACTAAATATAATATATATATATAAATATATATACACATAAAATTATTATGTAAATAAATTATTTTGATAGATTAAGAAAAAAATAACAATATTATATTATATATCACGCAATTGCATTAAGACTATTTAACCGTTGTTGTTGTACGCTTTCAACAAATTGTTTTGCCCTTAAACTCAATTGTTTAGTTGGTGATTTATAACGTATAAATGATCTAACATTCCTCTGGTACATGAAAACCGCTGCCATAAAATCCCACGCAGTGAATTCTGGCCATAACACAGGCGTAAAATAAATGTAACTATAAGAACACTATAGCACAAAAAGACAAAATATGTTAAACAACGACACGCGTATACAAAGTTTATGTTTTGTTATTTGTTCAAGAAAAATGAGAACAATATTTACCTGCCATATCATGAAATCGCTTAATCTTGTTTCACCAGATGTGCGTATTAATAAATCAGGCGGTGAGGACGGATATGTATATAGACAATTGTCGATAATTTCAACCGATAAATCTGATTCTTCCAAGTCTTTATTTTTTATACCGTTACATATGTAATTAAATGCATTAGTTAATTCATCATGTCCTAAAACAAAATAATTGTAATTATTTAATTTTAAAAATAATATAATTATGTTGAATTGCAAGTTACTTTTAATTTAGAAAAAAAGCACAAAAATAGAATTTGTTTTGAATTTATACAATAACAATATTAGAACTCGTAAAATTAATACAATTGTCTATGTGTATTAATACATTATACTAAAAGAATCTTTACACTAGAATACCAAAAAATTAAGGATACAGTGAAATATTAAAACGATGCATGTTAAATATCAAAAATAAATGTTCAAATTCAAACTATAATTAAAATAAATCAAATATCTATATATTATAATTAAAGATAGCTAGATTATCCTTATAATTAATGAATTAAGTATTTTTATAATCATATTAGTATTGTATAATCAATCTCACATGCATTAAAATTAATTTTGATGTCAAAAAAGGTAAAATCACTGATATCAACAATTTTTAAGTAGTAAACAAATTATTGTTCTTCTAACAATAACAAAGCATTATTTAAGTAAATCAAATAACAGTGTATTAATTTAAAAACAGTATTATATCATCCTACATATTCCTAAAAAATGTAATATTATTTTATCAGTGATGGATTAGGAGTAATATTAATAGTGAATTAATTCTTTAAATATGTATTTTTATATGTCATTTTTTTCAACTTTAAGTAGTAAAAAACTAAAACTAAAAAAAAAAACTATTGTAGTCATAAACCTAGTACCTTTATTTATCTATATTCTTTATCTTTATTAGAGTAATTTTTTTCATCATGTACCAGCCATTTTATCATTTAATTTGAATTGTTTAAGTACCTAACTTAAAAAAATCCAAATTATTGAAATAATTATAATACATTTTAAAAGAAAATTAAATGTTTAATATTGTAAACAGTGGTAACCTTTAATGATTGAAAACTGTGAAAAAGTAATAAAAAATGATGACTTGATCACTTTAAAATGATGAATTTTAATTGATGCCTAAACTTAATAAAATGCTAATCAATAATAAATTTCTGGTTAAATATTCAATATTTATACATCAATATTTTCAGATAACTATTATGTCTGATGATTAAAATATAACTATAAGTTGCCATAAAAAAACAAAAATAATTAAAAATAGGTATAACGAAAATAAAAAGAATACAAAGTCTTAGATAAATATAGTGTTATAATTCAATATTATGAAATTGATTTTTAAAAAATATTATAAATTCTAAAAACTGCTGAGAAAATGAAATGGCTGATTTATAAAAAAAAAAATTGTATTCTCTAAATATATGATTATGTAAAAGTTTTTTAAAAGAAGATGAAAATGTTTAGGTTTTTGAACAAACCTTAACATTTTATTTTTCTTCCCATGGCACTACTATTACCTGTATAACAAAATGCAACATTCAAAAATGCTTTATTATTATTCTTTGTAAATAGCATTGATTCGGCTATTAACTTAGCTAAATCCTCGGGGAGTTTTTGTAAGTTTCCGATAACCTTAACACGAACACCATGCTCATTCAATTTATCACTAAAACAATATTATTTGAATAAGTTGTTAATAAAACTACAATATCTAATAAACTTTACAATGATTATTGAAAAAATATTATATTACATTTCTTCCAATAGCCTTTTAAATTTTTCTCGAGCGAGATCGAACAATGCATCCACTTCTTCTTGTGTTCTCTTAAAATTATCCAGACTAAATGCATATACAGTAACTTCTGTAATTCCTACATTTAAACACCATTGTAACGTTTCGGCTAATTTGTCAAACCTAAAAAAAAAAAAATGCAAAAAAAGTGTTAATTAAATAAAAAAAAAAAAAAATGGATAACTAAATAATTTTACCTACTACAAATTTGAGTTATTGTTTGATATCAAACAATTGGGTGATCAAACAATAGGGAAACTAATAAAAATAGAATAAACTGCATATGAGTTTTGCCAATTTTAATAAATACAACAAATATAAACTTATACATAAAGGTTGTTTTAAAATAAACACACTATTGAGCAATTTATTTTAGTTCAGTAATTTAGTTTTTATTTCTTACACTTAGGTATCTTAACATATTTTATACCTACCTAATGTTATTAGAAAGTAACAGAATGAATAGATACATAACTGTTAATACTCATAAAGTATAACTTTCAAGTTATTTACTTTAAAGTAGTTTAAACAGTATTATAGTATTTTAAGTAAATTTTATTAAGAAGAAAACACTGTTGGTTATAAGAAAAGAATTGACTAAAATTTTAGGAAAATTTGTATACTTAAAATATTTGTAATTCGTATCATTAATTTTAAAAACATTGATTTCTAAATGTGTTAAGTCAAACGTGATTTCACAATCTCATTGGGCAGAGAAGATAAAAAAAAAAATGAATTAAGACAGTAGATCAAATGGATGCGATCATTCGTCAATTATTATTATTATAACCTTGGGAATCAAGAATCAATCTAAACCGCAGTAAGAGATAGCTATTTTATCTTAAAACCCAATCCTACTTCTTTTTTTAGGAATAAAGATTAATAACGAAATGGAATACAGACTAATGGACAAACAATAATTTTAACTTACCCTCGTAGGTGGCCTGTTTGCTTTTCAACGTTATTTTTCTTGGCAAAACGTCTGTTACCGTCCATAATAAACGCTACGTGTTTCGGTACCTCCCCGTACGTTAGTACGTGGGCGCAAAAACGTTGCGACCATGTCATCGAGTTGTCGCGTATCCAAGACATGTCCGGATGTATGAAACACAGAACATCTAAACCATCAAACAAAAAACGCGTTTAACAGGAATGGACACAATGCCACAGTCGACTTTTGAGCAATTTGTTTTTTTTTTTTTTTTTTGCCGGTGTTTATTTAAAAAACAAAAGTACTGTGCGTGAAATATTAAAACATTTAAATACAGTCAACCGCTACAGCAGAATGGATTTACTACGAGACACCAGATAGTATACAGAGGAACAATACTAATGAAACCAATATTTATATGAATCCTCAGGTGAGGCAAAACATGTTAAGTTTGCGAGAAAAATTACGTTTAAACAGCGATAGTTGACTCGTTTAGTTTTATGTAGAATTATGTTCAGGAAGCGCACATTTTTTAGGACGTTAGGTCAAAAAATATAATCATAATATTATGATTTATGAATTATTCGTGATAACAATCCAAACGAAAATTGATAAAACGGCGGAAAAACTGCAACCGTCGGTGATATGAACCCAACCTCGAAACGTTACATTTATACTACGTGTTTCGAGTCGGATGGATAAGGCGAACGTGATACTGGACGCACTGTCGGTGTTTGTCGGTTGGCCGCCGATTCTTGTGGCCCACATCAGAAATCAATAATAACGAAATATTAACTGTTATTATTAATATTTGCATAGGAGAGATTATTGTTTGACAATCACAGATAAATGAAGATCTCCACATTTGTCGAGACCATAACTATAGGGGGGGGGGAGGAGGTTTCGGGTTTAACCTCCCCGAATCCCTAAATTTTTTTTCAAAATTAGTAATTACCAATTATTTATTATTTTCGAAGATGAATACTAATTATTAAGATAATAACAAAAATAATAAATTATCAAGTTAAATTTGATATTGTTTTTACCTACCTACCTACATATAGAAATTAATAAATTATGGACTACAGCTAGCTTTAGGTTTTAATGTAACTTTTGTTCAGTTTATTTTTCGGTCCAAATTGAGTAAGTGCTGTAATGATATGTTTTAAAAATTATTCTGTTCCATTTATTATGTAATGTACTAATATTAATTAGTACCTACAAGTGAATGTATTTTCACTGGCTTTTACTGGCTCTTCGTAAAATTCTATGACTAAACCCCGGTCCGGTGACATTTTTTTTAAGCCCGGTCTGATCCAGTCCAAAAAGTTTTATGTTAAAAAAGCCCATGCCCGTCCCTTAATAAAATTCCATGACTTTAATAAGCTCGGTACACCCCGAGGTCATTTTTTTTTTAAGTCCAGTCCGATTCGATCCAAAAAACTGAACAAAAAAAAGTCCAGGTTTTATGTTTCTAAGTCCCTGGCCCGGTACAATTTATTACGCGACGGGCTTTTAGAGGATCGGACCGGGTCGGCCCGGCCCTTGCAGGTCTTTAGTATGTACCTACTTTATTGAATAAACTACATTTACATTATAATAGATCAAACATATTTATTTATTTGACTATCTATAATAGATACTGTAGTTATACAATAAAATGAATTGATTATTTTTAAAGTATAGAGCTTAACAAATCTAAGTCCTAATAACGTCATCAAAAATAGCGTCAATTCCTAGTAATAGTTCTATTGCACAATAATGAATAATTGCATTATTTTTTAAATGTCAATAAGTAGGTAAGTAAGTATCTACTATTTATAAACAAGTACTTAATCAAATCTTATTCGTTTGCAGATTAGTGTAAAGTCTATACTACCTACATATAGGTATCCATCGTAATTTTAAACCCAAATAATCTTATAATTTGAAGACAGATTTGAAAAAAAAAATGATTATTCAAGTATTCTACGAACATTTTAATTTCCTACTATTATTTTTCACCGTATTTCAAAAAAAAAAAATAAAATAAAATTTGAGAAGGTAGGTTACCTCCATAAAGTTATATAATTTATATCTGGGCGCAACGATAAAACGGCGTTAACGAAATATATTCTATGCGAAGTTCGGTTGCACATGAATTGAAATGTCGTAATTTTTACGATTTTTGTCGAAATTTTAATTTGAAAAAAGGTAGGTGAGTTATACCTAGTGGCTAGTGTCCCACGATAATCTGCCACTTGAAATAACTTTTGATCTTTTCAATATTTTTAATGTATATTTTTTTTAAATAATTACTGTGTCTCTACACTACAGTATACAATACAAAATATTATGTGGGGAGGAAGAACTTAAAAAAAAATTCAAAGGTGGCATTTTGTAAAGTAGATTTTTAAAAAATTATTTGTTTATTGAAATTTTTGTTTAGGTATGGTCTTTTATTTCTTACATTTCTTACAAGTTTTTGCAAATAAAAATATTATAGGGTTAAGTTCCCTCACAGGGAATTTTTTTTTTAAATAAATTAACTGCAGCGCGTTGATATAGTAATTATTTAAAATATATATATATATATATTAAAAATATTGAACAGAATAAAATAATAGGTATTTAATTATGAAATAAAATAAAATAAAATTGCAATAATTCAAAAATTTAATTTATTTTAATTAAAATGATTTATATCGGTAATAATTATCTCTATTAATAATGATCATATTATTGATTTATTTAATGATTTAAATCGTCTTAATTATATAAATCAATAAATTATAATCTATACATATATTAATAAAATAAATGTGTTTATTGAGTTTGTATGTTTGTCTGTGCGCAATCCACAGCTAAATTTTTCGCGTCTAAAGGTCAGAAAATTAACATACAAAAGCGTTATCTATATAATATACATACGTACACAAGCTCATATCGTGTGTACAGCTAGTCTAGAATCCGAAATTCAAATTTCAGAAGAAAGCTTTTTCCCAATTATTTTAAAAAAATACTTTAAATGTCAAAATACCACTTTCTATATCAATGGCTATATGTTAAAAGAAACAAAATCAATATCTTGTAATTTTTCGATTGGAGTAATATTTCTGGTAGAAAACATACTTGGCAAAAATTAAAAACAATGAAAACGGTAACTCCGCAACGCGTCGTAAATATTTGCCGTTTTAGCTATAATTTTCTTGTTGGTTTTTCCACCAAGAGAAAATCAAAAAATGACCTTTCTACCTTTTTGGTAGAAAAGTTGTGCTTACAGAAAAAAAATCCCGTTGAATTAAACATCTTTTCCTATCGACTTAAATTTTGAAAGGATTTTTGTAAAATTATACTTCAAAACCATAAAGAAAAAAGACAATTAAATTAAGAGATTAATAAAATATTAATTATTTATTAACAAATTTAAGAGTATCAAAATTTAAGATGTCATGGAAACCACGTAATGAAGTTATAGGTAAGCGATGTATTCAAATCAACAATGTTCAGTTTTATACTATTACCAATAACTACAGAAACATGTTTATTAATTTTGGAAACAGGATTTTAGCTTAATATTGTGGAAACAGATCTTCCACTGCTCTTGGCGTAAACTGTAAACATGGAAAAAAAGGTATCATTAATTTATCAAATTATTACCTATATTATCTATTCATTTTCAAAGTGGAATAATGATATAGGTGATTAATATAATTTAAACATGGGTAATTTTGTTTTTTCTTATAATACCTTATATTTTTTTGGAATGGTATATTTGTTTAATCGAAAATAATTCTTTATAAAGCTCTAGTAAGACCAGTAGCCTTATATGCATGTGGTGCGTGACCACAACAAAATCAGACAAACTCAAATTAGCTATTTTTGAACGAAAGACACTAAGAAGAATCTTTGGACCCAAAACCAGCAACGAAGGAGAATATTAGATAAGGACGAGCTAGAAGATCCAAGACCAGCACGGAGAAGCGACGATCAATGGAGTTTTAAAAAGTAGTAGATTGAGCTGGTCGGGTCACGTGTGGAGGTCAGAGAGAATGATTGGTCATATTACAAAATGGATACCAAGCACAAAAAATCCAAGAGGATGTTCTAGACAAAAATGAATGGATAAAGTAGCCTAGAAGAATTTGGATTTGAGAACGGAGTAGAACTGGCTAACGAGAGAGATCGGTGGAGACAAATGATGGTTATTACCCATGGCAATGGACCTAAATAGTTTTTAAAACCTCGAAGAAAAAGAAGATTACTTACTGATATTAACAAAATAACAAGTTTTCTTACTTTTTACCATATTATCCCAACTCCACGTTTTCGTTGGAATAATTTCCATCTTGTGGTCTCATATAATAATGTTTTAAAACTATAATACAATATTATAGTTTTTATATCTCTAATAAAAACGGAACGATTGACATATTTCAAATTTAAATCATAAAGGAAAAACAATACTTACATTTCATTAAAATTGTAAATCTCTATGAACATTTTATAATAACTCAACGTTATTATAAGCGCGTGTATATCGAAATTGTGAACTTTTTTTCTTTAACCTACTTACTTACAATATTTTGTATACCTATTGCAATATGCATAATCTACAACGTAATCAGCTAAAGTCAATTCTAAATTTGTATTCAACATCACGATCTGTACAGTATACGTGATTCATTATTTTCTCATATTTCACCATTACACGTATATAGGTAAATATTTATTATAATATACTATATTATAGGTACCTACACTGCATTATTTTAGTGTCATCAATAATAGTTAGAATATTATGACGTCATAATTCATAATATCTAAGACTCTATATACCTATATATATTTATTTATATATTTTTATTTGTAACAGAACAAAAGTGTTGTAATTTTAATCATATTAAAACCACTGTTATACAAACAATACTTATGAGTTATTAATAATTAAAACGTACCTTCCTACCTAGCATATAGGGTAGAACAATTCCCCTCTTTCACCGTGGAAAACAGATCTATTGCATATAATATTTTAACAAAAACCTTAAAACAATGGACGAAACTGTTAAACATACCTATTGACCATATTATTATAAGTAGGTGATAAAATAGTGTATATTTTTATATACGAGGCTCGTAGTACCAAAAATAAGGTCTACCTACAAACGCCTACCGACGATCAGCTCCCATTTGGCCTAATTATATTTTAAGTAATTTAATATAAATTACTAAAAGTGGACCAGTTAATGAAAATAACTGTTGCAAGTTAAGTAGAATTCATTTAAATTGCCTTCAGTTATAAGTGAACAAAGAAATATTTTAACTCGATAAGTTTAAAGTTAAGATGATAAATAAAATTAACTAGGTATACTCAGTTAGAAAAAAGATATTTTTTTTTCAAGCCTTAAAATGTCCTAGCATTTTGATTTTCTCAATTATAATAGACACGTAGATATTACCTACCAACAATGCTGTTGTTTCGATATTTATTTCGATTATATTATTATCTAGTGCAATACGTTTATTGTGTCTAATGATTTATTAATCACAAATTCACAATAACTAAGTTTTAAAACAAACACAATTTAAGAATTATGTGGTGAAACGGTATACGACCCTAACGACCGAGCTAGGGAATTTTTATTTCTCGAAATTAGTGCCTACTCAGACCCAACGAGAAGAGAGGAGGGGTCGCAGGTGAATCACTCTGGGCCCGGGATTTTCATGGGAGCTCGGTATGTGATCAAAATAAAAAAGGGTACGGAATTTTGAAGAATCCGGGACCCCATGAGCATCCCATAAAACTCTAATGAAAAACAAATAAATAAAAGTCACAACCCTCAAGCCCCAATTTTCTCTCCGTGGCTTTGTACCTATATTGTATTTCGTGTAGTTAGATTTTAAATTTGCTTCAAGTTCTTGAACCGTCAATCGTCAATTTTTTAAAACCGTCGTGATATTTCATTTCAAAACTGAACGATATTTAACCAGTGGCCGAAGTGGGGGGGAGGGATACAGAAAGATGCAATCCCTCTACTTTTTTAAATTTAAAATTTTCATATCTCTACATATTTTATCCAGAATGACGCACCCGCCTAAGACTTGTACCTATTTTAAAATATATAGGTACTTATAGGTATATTATTAAATAGGTTATTTTTTAAAAATTGATACCTATTGTTATTATAATTACTAATATATAATAATGAACATTGTTATTATATAATTACTTAATTGATAGTAATTCTTTGATTACCTGCCTAATTGTCTATTTTCCCCTTACCGATTTATTTTCCTGTTTAATATCTTTATTTTCTTTTATTAATGGCATTTGTATATTATTTTCCCCCTCTTTTGTACAGTAACTATCATTGATTATTATTTATAAGTTAATGGACAATGGTAGAAATAACCGCCCTGTAGAGTAGTCACTATAATACTAGTCACTCTATTAAAACTCGATTCCATTATTTCTTATTAGTGATACCAATTTGATGGTATTAAAAACACTGCACCTGGACAATATAATATACAAGATGTCCCACAATGACCTGCCACTTGAAATAACTTTTGTTTTATTCAATATTTTTCTTTTTAAATAATTAATATGCTTCTGTGCTACAGTTTATATATGAACATTTTTTTTTTAGAGGAAGGGGACTTAAAATAAAAAATTTCAAATTTTACTATAATTTTTACATACATTTTAAGTTAATAATAAAAAAACAAATTACATTTATGATTGAAGAAAATTATCCAGACTCGCTTCTAAAAATCTTAAAGCTTGTGAATTGGGGATCTATGGATTTCATATTAGTTAAGTAGATTAAAAATAATAATAAATAACATTATCTTTATTCATATATAATACAAAATATACTTGATAGTATATATTAATTAAAATAACGATTATAAATTCTCAAAATGAATGTGTTTTAAACAACATTTTAAAGAATAAATATTTTTTTTAAATTGAAGATATTCTAATTTAACCTGAGCCATAAAAAAAAATAAAACTTTTGATTTGAGATTAAGTGCTTATATAAAATTAATATTAAAGATTTATCATATAACAGTATATATTATAGACACCACCTCAAATGGGGAATCCATAGTAAATTAAAGATTGAATGAAAGAAACATTAAATATTTAAAATGAAATAACAGTTGCAAAATAAATGTATTATGGTAACAATGAATAAAAAATGTATTGATATAAAAATACTATTTTAAATTTTTAGAACAATTATCAGATTGATACTTTAATTGATTTATTTTTAGAATAGGTAAACACATTATATTTTACAATCAAAGGAATGTGGACCCCTGTTGATTATATGATAGTATTGGCTGTTAAAAACTAAATAATAAATTGAATTAATACTTGATACTAAAAATTGACGTTCACAATCAAAATTTTTTTTGATATTTTAGAATTTTTTCGTTACCATATCATTGGAAGGAAAAAATGAGGTTGAAGATACTATAAAACCAATTCCAGTAACTGGACACCTATACCAACCACTAAGTACACATATTCTTGGGAGTCATTTTATAAGAAATATCTTGGGAAAAATCCGGGTGCAGGTACATCCTTCCTACCTATCAACAGACACAACGAATATTGCAAAATTAACCAGTAAACAAATGGAAGTCTCAATTTACTCTCTTGAAACATCAGGTAAGATTATTGACAACCAAGAAAAATAATTTGCCACCCATAACAAACAATCCAATAAACAACAGAGTAGAAGCTGTTAAAATGATAAAACTGATATTTGATGACTTAGCAATGAGTTCATCTCTCATAGCGGAGAAAATAACCAACTGTCACTACACCCATGATTGTTACCATAAACGGAACAGGTGTATTTATTAGTATAGAAAACTACTGTTAAGAAAACACTGAGTACACTACAAAGAGTAGTTGTGTCTTAGATTTATGCAGATTTTATTCTACAATTTAAGTTTACAATGAATTTCCAAACACATGAATGTAATGGGAAAAAAATAAATGACTCATTTTTATCCAAAGAAAGTACAATAGTAAGAGATTATCAAATTAAATTATCTTAATATTCAAAATCATTAAATGAGTTAAATAATGAATTGTATGAAAATCCTAATAGACACCACAGAATATTCATAATATTATATGTACCCTAAATAATAATAATAACAACCATTAGTGTAAGCGCTGATATAGTGTAAGTATATATTAGAATTAAGAATATTAGTTTAAGTTACAATAAATTAAGAATAATCGGAAAAGAAGATACTCCTAAAACTTATGAAGAAATAAATTTAGGAGAAACACTAAAGTTTCTGGCTTAGGAAAATAATTGCCCAGAATTATGTAATGGACAATAATCTTCAATTTAACCTGAAGGGGGGGGGGGTGTTATGAACCTCTGGCTAGTTATAATATATTAACGCTGACTAGCATATTGTAAATGTCAAACTCTGTCGCTGGCTGACGTCGACTTAGTCAGTCAAGTTCCGTATGACATATTAAAAAAAAACGTGTCTCTAGAAATCTTTTTGTGTAACTTCTCTAATGAATACAAAATTAAATCATTTAAAACAGTAATTTCCAACCTATATTCTACGCCTCTTTTGTAGATTTTCAAAAATCTCGCCCTCCCCCCCCCCTCCTATAAAATGAAAAATTATATCACCTTTTTTTATGTACTTTACAAATAAACTATTCAATATTCGGAATGACTACTTTTTATTTAAATTATAATAATTATAAAATATAAATAATAGTAAATGATAAAATAAAACAATCAATTAAGGTGAAATATTATAGTAATAAATTAGTATAAAATATTAATAATGAAATTAATAATTAATGTTAATTGATGCTAATGCTGACAACACTTTTCTTTTGTCAGTTATTTATGTTTGGCTCAATATTTGATAGAGAATACCTATAGTCAGATGCGATATCCAAACAATTTTTATGTTTATTTTTTATAACTGCTATGCTAGAGAATCCCGATTCACATAAATCAGTAGATGATAATTGTACAAGAAATTTTAAAGCTTCATTTGAAATTTCACGATAAATGGATTGGTATCCATTAATTATACCTAATAACGGATAAAGAAAACCGGAAAATTAATTTTTTTTTCTCTACGTTTTAAAATAAAAATTGTATTTCGTAATAACTGCTTATGCCTCCCCAGCAATGTGTATACACCCCACAGTTTGGAAACCAGTAATTTAAAAGAACAATAGGACTAATGTCGACCAAGAAAAACAATTTGTCATTGGTAACAAATAATCTAATAAACAAGAGAGTAGAAGTTGTTAAAATTGATATTTGATGACTTTGGATTGAGATTGAGTTCATCTCTCATAGTAGAAAAAATGTATACTTAAAAAATTTAAAAAACAGTAGGTTGAATAAAAGGTACTTGCAAATGCTGTTAAACAAATAGAGAAAGCTTCTATTATGTACACCCTGTATTACGGCATTATGTGTTTAACACATACATATCTATGTTAATTATGAATAATAAGCTTAATAATGGTATTAAAAATCGTCAAAGCAATGCAACATTCAAATTGTGGTTCAAAACAGTTAAAATATATATCTAACACGGTGATAGCAGGTTTTTGAGATTGATCAGAAGATATACTTAATATTCATAATCAGATGACACAAAATAAGGAAAATGAAGAGTACAAAAGTGTTCGATTATAATTATTAATCAACTGACGAGTAATGAAGAGAGCTTGGATGAACTGCATGAATTCGTATGAGAGTCTAGACCTCAATTTAAGTCCATTAAATATGTTACATACAGAGGATAATACAAATTAATCCGTGTCAACAACTAACAGTTTTCAATCTCCCTAACAACCGAACTGCAAAGTTGGAAAATCATTAGAGGAATGGCCTTCTTAAAGATTTTTTAACGTACTACAAATTATGAAAGCGGAACTAAAAACAATAATACTAATTATTTAGTTGGAACATACGATTCATATGCAACGACCACTATTCAAATATTTTGGTAGACTTGGATATTTTGTTTAACAGATTATCAGAAAAAAATTGGTCAATTACTTTGTTATAGATATTTGTTTGGCGACATGTTAGATAACCTGGTATAATAAACACAACTCATATTTTAACACAGAACACAGTGAGATTGTTAATGAACAAAAAAGCAGTTGGAAAACTGTTTTTAAAAAAAATTACTATTAAGCAGATCAATATTATTATTGCACCACTGCTAATTGGTAAGAATCATTGGACTATTGCTTATATAAATTTATATAGGAAGGAGGGTAACATAATAAACCCCTATAATTCATATGACAACGAAAGTTGCACAAATCATCAAAAAATACTTTCCAATTACTATGGAGACAAATTTAATTAAATTTTAATTACAAACAGATTTTTATCAATAAAATATATTCATTGTCTATTATAAAGGTTCCAAAATAAACAGATTCATATAACTGTGGGGTTTTCATAATAAACTAAGCGTTTAGAACTATGAACAAATCACATTCCAATACAGAATTCAACCCAGATGAATACAGATATCCTAAAAAGACATTTCTTAGAGAACTCTAAAGACATGGTAGGTATGTTTCTATTGTGATAGGTGTTTTGATAAGCACGGGCCTCAGATAAACAAGTGTTCTGTGGATGGCATGTTCATCATGTTGTCTTTGGATGGTGCTGAACTGGATCCCTGGAGAACAGAATCAGAGAGAATAGATGATTATAACAACAATGTCTATTTCTGTTTTTTTGTGTAGTAAGTAAATGTGATTTTTTAAAATTATTAAACTAAGTATTTCTAATATTAATAACATAACAAATATTTAAAATAAAAATTAAATGTTGATTAATAATAAATTTAACGTTATCACTGGATAATTTTGAATAAGCAAAAATAATATTTCTAAATATATTTTACATTAATAAGATATTTGCAGGTTTCAGTGGGGTGTTTATAGAGGGGGTTCACTAGTTGTGACTGGCCTAAAAAAATTACAGCAGTTTTTTGTGCTATTCATAATTTTAATTTTGTATAAGAAAAACTAAATAGTCTGGTGTTTTTTTTATCTGTTCACAGGCATATACATGTTGATAGGAAGAAATAATAAAAAAAACAAAGACATATTGTTCTAGAAATTTAATTTTCTTACATAAAGTTTAAATGTTTTTTTTTTTTTTATTATTTGCTTTAAATTTGTTAATGAAATATGGTTTAAAGGTATGTTTGGATATTTATATAACTATAGATCCTACAAGACTCTAGTGATAAATATAAAAACCAATTTTGCAATAATTTTAGATTAATTGAGGTTTTATGTCATAAAATAAGGCAGGGGCTGATTTATACTGTAAAAAATTATCTCAACCCCCTCACATATTGACAATTTCTAAATACCCCACTGGCAGGTTTATAATTTATTTTGCATAATCCGGTCTATAAATAAATAATTTAGTTAACCTATTATGCTAATTATAAACAATTTTTAACCATACCAGTTTAACATGGAAATGTTTACTGACAGTCCGAAGTCTATGTAAAATGTGAAAGAATTTTGTGTTTTAGATTTTTATTTATTCAATTTAGCAGAATAATGTACTACCAAATTTTTAATTTGTGCTTATCCTTAAATTTGACTTGTTAAAAAATATTATGTATTATTCCTTATACCATAATTATTATTATATTTTTTTATATGTAACTAACTAAACATAAATCCTAAATGGGAATGAATTTTTTTTTAAGTATCAATGGGTAAATAAATCAAACCTTATTTATTATAAACAGAAATATGTAGTCATGAACTTTGATTATTACAACAGATAAGTATTAGGGTTATTTATTTAAAAAAATAACAATAATAATATTAAATAACATTTAAATAGACGACTGATTTTAGATTCTAAGTGGAATAAAGAAGCTTATGGTTTTACAAAAATGTTTTGTTTTTTCTGTGCACAACTTTTCTACCAGAATAATTCCTCAAATTGCTAAATGTAGCACCTTTTTTGAAGGAAATTGGTGTGGGAAGGTACATAGGGGAGATCATTTTTCAATTTTCCCATTAGTTTTCTCATCAAATTTGAAAAACTGAAAAAAAAAATGGGAAAATATTAGAAATGTAGGTATAAGTTTATAGCACAGCCTTCGTTTAATCTGTGCACAACTTTTCTACCAGCAATTTTGCTCCAACTTATAATGATAGCAGTGTTTCTAAAAAGAAATTTCACTAGGGAAATACTTTAAAGAGGTCATTTTTCGATTTTCTCAGCCGTTTTCTCATCAAATTTGAAAAACCCAGATAAAACATGGGAAAACAAGGAAAAACTTAAGAAAACTGGGAAAATTGGTAAAACATCAAAAAAATAATATTGAAGAAAATATATAAAGCCTATTTAATTATTTTACTATAAAACAATATATATATATTGTTTACAAAGCATTACTACTATCAACTGAATTCCGCTCAAAATCATTTTTTCATAAGTAATGGTTTATCGTTGCTTACAGATATACATTCAATTATCTATAACAGTCGCTGCACCCGTACCTATTATCCTAGGACGTCTTTTTTAGTTAATTTTTTTTTACATTTTTATTTCAACATAGTTCAAACATAAAATTCATTAGGTAATTAGTAAAATGCATAGTTAGACCAATTGTTAAATGATCAAAAACATTCTGATTCAGCCTATATTTGTTCAATATTACTGAAGGAACTTTTTTTTTGATCCAGGCAATAATATCTTGAAATGAGCATTGTGTACTTGACAAACTACAATTAATTTATAATTTTATTATTATTATATTTATTTATATATTTTAAGATAGATTATAACTAAGGTAATAATTTTAAGACGCCAAACACACATCTCCTAGTTAAAATGAGCTGCCTAAATTTAATTAATGGTTGACAGAGCAAAATTACATTATTTAAAATGTAGATTATGGAGTTTAGTTTGAAATTAAATTTTGAACAAAATTTTATGAGGGTAATATTATGAGGGCTATACGTTACTTTTTTGTAAATAAAGAACTATTAGCTATTTAAAGAAAAAAAATTAACATTACTTTTTTTTATTTACATTTTTTTCAAAAGAAAAGAAACATAAGTCTACATTTGTATTCTTCTAGTTAAATTGTATTACTTGTGTTTAAACTCCAATTTCTTAAACCTTAACCCTACAATTTATGTTCTAAGTAATGTAATTTGCTATGTTGCTTGTTAGTTAAAAAAACAAAAATACATACTATAATATATCTAAGAGGGTCTCAATCAGCTACTAATAATAATAATAATATTCAAACTGATATTATTATCATTTTCGGTTTATGAGTCTTCTTCCATCATTTTGAATATCTCCTTGAATTTTAGGAACAAGTTCACACAGTGCCCACAGCACTTTTGATAATACAGCACCAATGTTTGGTATCTCTAGAGCATTTCTAAATATTTCACACCTTTAACAAAAATTTATTTTATGTAACATAAGCATTTCAGGAAAATAACTAAATAATATTATAATATATACTAATACCTTCTAAAAATTTCTCTCATAGTAATAATTTACATTATTATAATATGTAAAACACCCAATTTAATAAATTTATTAACAGAGTTCCAATGACAGGGGTCTTTAATCTTCATGAACATGATTGTCTTGCTCAGTAATTATTTTTTAAGTAATTCATAAACAACTGAAAGCATTTTAAACATATTAATATAATACAAAACATCAAATTATTTCTTTATTAAAATCAATTATTAACACAGTTACACTACCTATCCATAAGACACAAATCAGATTCTATTACATACAAATATTATACACCTGAGTAGCGTACATTCAATCTTGATCTGGCAGGAAGGGGTTTAAAAAAATGCACAAAAAATTCCCTTTTATAACTATAATTTTTTCTAATAATAAACACATAAAGTAAAAATAGTTAATATAAAAAACAAATACAAATCTTTATAAAGCTTATCACAATTAATTATTTTTAAATATGGAAATAGTATAAGTAGACAAAAAGTTTATAATAAATATCCAAGTCCTGTTTTTATTAGATAGAAAGAAAGAATGAAAAATATTTTAAACATACCTAGTGATAAACTATTTCATTTATTTTTATGTTAAAAATTAATATTATAATCCAAAGGTTATCGGAAAGCAATAATAATAATATGAATAGTACAGATTATAAAGTAAAATGAGTATGTATATGGGTACTCATGAGAATTCCGAAATTTTTATTTTTAATGTACTACATATGTACACATATTTTTACGACCAGAATAGATATGAATTAGAGCATTTCACAGTTAACAGAACTGTACAATACATTTAATAATTATTAAATAATAATTTATTACACAAAACTATTAATTAATACTTTAAATTTAAACTATTAAACTTACCTCAATCAACTATGATGAATTTATAAGATGGCATTTGTAACGGAGATTATTTTGTATGTTCGGATTTCTTGTACATTGGAAAACACGAACAGGTAAGCATCTAGTAACATGACAAAATACATATTCGTCATGCATAGTACCCAAGAAGAAGACATATTCTGTATATCATTGCCAGGGACAAAGTAGGCAGCGGGTAGACGTAGATTAACGTCTTTGATAACAGAATTTTGCTAATTTGGCCGGTGCTCAAAAGGTAACGGGAAATCGTTATCATCACTTGGTATCAGTTTATTTTTCAAAAGCATTTTTTTCTTTTTTTGAAATGTTAATCGTATCTCTCATTAACTTTTAAATTAAATAATCAATTACTAATACTAATAATCATTATGGAGGACAATAGTTTTTTCTGTTTTAAGTACCAACAATGAAACGTATGCATTACCATATCAATAATTAAATATGCCTGATAACTGTTACTGTTAAAAAATCATTGTTAGCCACGATTAAAGATATTCAAAGATATTTTAGTTAGTTTTGTAATTGAAAATGCTAAGTTGTACAGTTATTAGAAGGTACCTATTCTTATTTACTTAAATTTCCGAATTGTCATATTATCGTACACATTATTGTCACATAACTTTTGTCCACTTGATAGACAATGGTAAACATACACCTATTCCGCTTCACTTTTTTCAAAAAGCAGCCTCTATATTTATATTAAAACCATTATAACCATTATAACCAATATAACCATTTGGTTTTATATAATCTGTGGTTATTATTAGTTCAATAGTCCGACGTGATGGGTGGCTCCGTAACCATGTTATCATACACCACGGTTTTAATTCATTGAGAAATAATGAAAATTCCGTTCGATTTTGAATTGAAGTAAAAGAGTTCTACTTCCAGTATTGCCAGATAACAAAGAACAAAACTATTGTTTAAAAAATTAAATTAAATTAATTTTGTCTTTTACAAAATAACATACTGAGGTACAAGGTACTTGTTGAATATATTTTGTAAATTTATGATTTAATAAAAAAAAAATTGCATTTATACCTACCAAGATTTACTATTACGCATTACCTCACGAACACCATAGACGAAAGATAAGGAAGCGCAATCCATTTATTAATGTGTCTACGGTTCTTCCACAAACAATACAACTCGACATTATTATTTTAATTTATTTAATTAATAATTAATAATTATGGATGTTCCACTGGCAAAATTAAGTTATTACTCTTATTAAGTTGATAATTAATTTATTGTTTACAGTTTTACTCTATAAAAAAAATTAGTATACCACTTGTTTTATCAATCAAGCGTAAGTCCTAATAACACCATTTAGTAGAGACCTGGATCGTAAAGTGACACACAATTGGGGTGAATGACCTAACATTTGTCTTCACAACAGCTGTATTGTCGATATACAATACGGCATCTCTGTATTACTCAATGTTTCCATCACGGATATAGATACTATACTCTGTCCCACGAGAGAACATGCCAGGCGATACTAAAATTGGTCAACTCTAAGCATACCAATTGTTGTCGGCGATGAAATTTAAACGTATGGAGGGGATACGATGGCCCGATCGGTCAACCAACGATGCGCAAATCCGGCATGCTCTTTTGTGGAACAGAGTATAGTATCCGTGGTTTCCATGAAAATATTTTTGAATTTTGTATAGATTACCGCTACGGCCTATAATCGTTTCTTCCATGTAGTCGCGTCACGCAAATTCTCCTCCATAGGTTGATATATAGGAGCTCACTGATTTCCCGACCACGACGCGCCCCACTTAACCATTCCGCGACCGTACCGTTGGTACCATTTCGTACGGTCGTTGCCGAGAGTGAGACATCAAGTTGTTATTTTCCGATTGTCGTACGCATCTTACAGTGCAATTACGCCGGTCAACCGTCATTCGATTAGTTTGTTCATTTAATCTTTCGATTATTATAACCGATTTCACCTCGCAAACATTAATAGTTACAACTGAACATACGCGACCAATTCGACGTCCATTCAACTACACGTTCTCGCAGCACTTGCATTCTAGCAAATCTTAGTGGCATCTTACCCTAAAATGACGAACCAACAGTAAGTTAACCGGCGACGTGTTTTGTATCGCGGCCATTTTGCAGGACTCAGCACGCGCCGCCAACCGAGAGACGCGTTTCTCGGGACAATTATTGTGGCCTTTTTATAACTCGTACACACACGTTCACGTGTAGCGTCATGTCGATGAATATTCCCTACCCTCCCTATCGTCCCCCTCACTGTCTGTTGCCCCGGTTTTCGAAACCAATAACTGCGTGCAATCTATCACAGAATTTTAAATATTTTTGCTGCTTTTTGCTCGTCACTGGTTCTTCCGAGAACCCGCGCTCCATCGTCTTGCCATTGCCTGCCCGCACGTTGATGCACCTCATGCCGCCAACGTGATTCTCTGTTTTTGTTTTATTGTACCTCTGCATGCGAATTCATCGATCCAACCGTGTGCCTGCTTCTTCCCCGCCCGTCATCCACTCACCACGACAACAAAGGAACGACGCGCCTGTTCGTTTCCAGTAATATCCCAAATTCTGTTCCTACTGGAATCGTGTATACGTGACTCGCGTTCTTTCCGATATTAGGTATATGAATTACACCCATTAGAGCCGTTTATCACAAGATTGGAACTTCGATTAGAAATTCAACGTACATATTTACCCAACTGAAGTCAAATTGTTTTCAAATTTAGTTTTTACTTTCCTAGGTTGTTTGACCAGTGCCAGTTGTTATCCGCTCAATAAAGGTTGAGGTGTATAATAATTTAATTAAGTACATTTTTTACAAATATAAAATAATGCGTTGTTTTACGCATTATGAGTATATTTAGATATACTTAAAACCCAAATTTTGTGTTTTAATGGTCAAATTATGTTCCAAACTCTCAATAAAAATCCTATTGGTTTGTCATAAACGACTCACCACGACTTCTCATGTTCGGACATTGAATAAACTTTCAATTTGCACCTATAAAAAAATTATTATATTTTGGTTTAAAAATAAAATATTTTATTATATTGGATACCTATTTAAATCAAACTAATTGTTACATAATTTTAGACATTTTATCTTCACAAAATTTAAATCTTTAGTATCAAATTTATTATAAATAATCATAAATTATTCTTGAGGATACTTTTATGAATTCTTTCTAGACTACATAAAATAGTGAGCCTCTGCCACATTACCACTTCCTCTCAATTTCATACAAAATTTAAATTTTAAAAAGTGTAGTGTGTATGTTAGTTTTGAAACTTTTGGTTCGGTTAGATAGCATTAATAACTTTTATCCAACCCTACATTTTTATATGTATCAATATTTTCATACAAACGTATATTAAAGTATATATAGTAATTTAATTTATATTTGTACTCAATAAAAATCATTGCTCATAAAAAACAATTCAGTGCAGAGTTTGAGCAAAAATATTTTGAATTGTTTCAAGATTTCTACCCAAAGTTGAACTTTAAACTGATGCATATAAGCTATTACTTTCAGCTTATTTTTTTTACCTCAAGTGCAACTTATAGTGAATTTTGTAATCAAATTTTTCAGCATATTGCAGGATCAAAAAATTAATAATAAAATATTAGGTTAAAATATATACTTTTGGCAACCTATTTTTTATCTTCTCTAATTATTTACCCTAGGTACTAATTTAGTCAATTTACATCTCGATTGAAATATTTATATTTTTTTTATTTTTTAGATAGAATCGTATATTCAACTATTATCTAGTTATTGTGTATTGTTAATTTTTAATTATCAATTGGTTTTTTTTTTTTTTTCAAGAGCGTTAATACCGCCAGTTATTTGGGCACAGCGTAACACAGTTGTATTTGTTACTATTTGCGTGGAAGATTGCAAAACACCCAATATTAAAATTGAACCTGAACAAATAGTTTTCCACGGTGTTGCAGGTTTGCAACAAAAAGTATATGAATTAACCATACCATTGTATGCAGCAGTTGAACCTGAAGTAAGTTAACTAAATAAATTAAAAAGTATATCATTTGATAACATTATTGTTTTGTTTTTATTTTTTTAATTTTAAAGAATAGCAAAACATCAATTGGTGGTCGATACATTGAAATCGTTTTACAAAAACCGCCAAGTGATACTAAGTACTGGCCATATTTAACTAAAGAAAAAAAGAAATACCACTGGTTAAAAGTTGATTTTAAAAAATGGAAGGATGAGGATGATTCTGAAGATGAGAGTGCTGCCGCAGGCTCAGTTCTCGGAGGAGATGGTAACATTGATGATGTATGAAAAAAATTCATATTTAAAAATAAGTCTTGTTGTTTCAAAATTTATGTTACAGTAATTTTATTATATATTTAGTTATAGTTGCTTGTATTAATATTAAATTAAGGTCATTCTCAAATGTTTGAATAAAAATTAATGTTATTCAATCACTTAAATGTATTTAAAAATATTAAGATAATTTATATTTTCAAAAAAAGCATAGGTTCCATTTAAATTTCAATAGTTAACCCCCCAAAATCCTTTCTTAAACTAAACAAATATATAAATCAAAAAACTTTTGTATTATTAATTTTTCTCTATTTTGAATATTTATAAAATAAAATAACTGTAACATAGATGTTGTATCATCCTGTATGTACAAGAAGTTATATTTAAATTTAAATATACAATAATATGTCTATGTCTTTTGTATTAGATGCTCAGTTTGATGGAAGGAGGAGGAGGAGGTAGCACTGGATCTAAGATTCCAAACTTTGGACGTGATTACAATGTACCTTCTGATGAAGATTCTGACGATGAAGAAATGCCTGATCTAGATGACATTGAAAGTGATACAGCGGTAAATGATTAACACTATTTTTTTAAAACTAGCTTGTGTCTTAACTATTGTATATATATTAGTGATATGACAATGTATTTTGGATGAAACGTTTGATATTTAAATTTAAACCATAATTTATTATAAAATTGATTAAATTATATTTAACCAACAACTTCTTTTTTGGGTTCCTAAACAATGGATGAAGATTGTCATATCACTAAATTAAAATTACTTAACTTTTGTCTAATTTTGTTGTGTTCATTATTATACAGGGCAAAGGTAAAGAGAAGAGTGATGACGATGTGCCTATTCTAGAAGATGTAAAACCAGCAAAAACTGCCTAATCCTTACTATTGTCATTATCTCATACTTCCGAATTTTTGTTCACATAATAATATGGTTTAATTTAAATGATTTTGTATGTGTAATTTTTACATCAATTGAACTTTAATCGAACATAATTCATACTCCAGTATATTAATGCATTAATTTACTCGTTCAGTTTAATTGCCTTTTTTGATTCACGTCGCCTGTTTTATTTGCGAAAATTTTAATTTTCTTCCTCCCATTCCTCCTTGCACCACGGAAATACTTTTTCTGATTTTTTCACTATGTTTAATAATATTTGAAAAGTTTCTATTGTGAATGTATTTATAAAATGACATATTGAATATGTTAGCATATTAAAAATGTTAAAACTATTACAGTTATATTACAATTTCATGTAGTTTCGTGTTAAGTATATTAAAAATAACTTAGTGATGTATTTCTTGGTACAATCTTCAAATCAAACTTCAATCAGTTTTAATTATACTGGCTTTCATATTATAATACTAATCATGCAACATATGTATATATATATATATATATATATATATATATTATATTTATATATATATATATTTATATTACGGATTAAATGTATACCTTGAGTATTTAAAATATTTTTATGGTTTATTTTCTTAAATTGTAAAAATAAAATATGGAATAACTAGTAAAATCTGCTCAATTTTCATAGGCAATTTTTAATGAACAAATATAGACTGAATGTAAGTAGTAAAATGTATTTAATGTTGAGTATTTTACTACATATGCTTTATTAAAAAAAAAAAAAAAACCGAATGATGGAATAGTCAGTTAACAAGCCCAGTTGTAATTTAACAGATCTGAAGCTTTTTAAATATTTGGCGTGTCTAACTGGAGAAAATTGACAATTTGAGTCTTTATTATTATAATATTAAATTTGATTGGTAGTCTTTTTTTTTAGATCAAAATACATTTTACAAACTGATACAGTTGAGTGAAATCGTCTGAATATTGAATATCTAATTTACTAATTAATACATTCTGAGAATTGATTTTAATTTGTAAATCTCCATTTCATTATAATTACTCTTAAGGAATTGGTCATAAAACAATTTTTCAAAAGATATGTACTAGCTTCCTAGCATCGTGACTACTTATAATTAAATACTAATTTTAACTTTAACAAACTGATGAAATGCATTATCTCAAAAACTTAATGTGTTGAATTAATGAATCAAATATGGTACATTCAAATGCAATAAGTTACATTATAATACTTAAAAATATTTTTAACATTTATTATCTTAAATAATTATGAATAGAGCAGGAATTTATATGCAATAATCAGTATTAAAATGAGAAAAATTGTAATTTAAAGTATTCTGGTCAAAAAAAAAAAAAAACGTAAAAGCTAGTCTAAGAAAACTGGGAAGCGTGTGGGCACTGTTACAGGAAATTAAATGTATTGTATACCACAAACCATTGCTAATGAAAAACGATTCTGAGTCACATTATTGTCAAATAATTAAATAAGCACTATATATTTTGTAAAATGTACCTTTGTACTTGGTTATTCACATTTGCTAGGGGAAAAAAAATGCTTTCATTGTAAATTTAAGCAAAATTACTTGTGGATTAGTTATTCAGAGGAATATTTTTTACCAATACTTACCTATATTTCATAAATTTTCCCCTTTTAAGAGCATTACTGATTAAAACTGTCGATTTTATTGAATACAGTAATATTTTTTTTTTTTTTTTTCAAAAAATCTACAAGATTAACCCAATAAAAACGTTTTACAATTAAAATGTTGGGCTGTATTCTTAATAATTTTTGCACAATCTGATACTTTGTCATGTTGACAGTGTTACCAAATGAAATATTGAAATATATTATTAATTAAATGTTATTGCACATAGAACTACAACTGAAATGATTGGTCCCTCGATTTTTTATCGGGAAAAAAAAACAATTTTCATCTCTAATTAAATACCTACAGAATTTTTACTTCTTTGTAAATCATGTCTGAAATTAAACTAGACTGATGACTAAAATTGTTTTGTTGTGGAACACAATATTTTCATTAAAATATGCAATAAACATTTAACTAAGGGTCAAATATGTAAAAATATGTATTTATGACTTAATATGCAAAGATGTAATTATGATTGAATATACAAAAACCATTGTAATGTAATTTATAATTACTATGATTCATAAAGATTAATAACAAAAAAGACGTACTTCGTACGATAGGTGGGAACTGTTGTAGGTGAGAAGTTGGGAAGGTGAGGAAATGTTATTTGTACGCATTTATTAACTAATGCTTATGAAAAACGATTCTGAGCAGAATACGGTTATTAGTGTTGCTTTGTCAATAATAGATGTCATATTATTTTAAAATAATTTCATATGCATTATATATTTTCTTATAAATTATTGTACCCATTTTCCCGTTTTTCCATTTATTAGAAAAATTCCCCTTTCAGAAAAATGGCTTTTATTTAAAATCCGAGCAAAATTTCTAGAAAAAAATTTGTCCAAAGAAAAAATAATAAACACACTAAAACCAATACATCCCTTGCTCGGCTCAGGATCTAAAAATTCAAAATATATAAATTAGCTCTTTAGTTATGAACAATGTTCTCTAATTATTTATACTCTTAAATGTTACATACTAGTATACATTTCAGAAATAATTGGTACTTACTTGAAATTAATTATTTGGTAAGTGCAATAAAGTTACTACAACAACTAGGATAATTAACAACTTGAATAATAGATCAAATTTCAAATATTTTACAAATTACTTTTTAATTAACTTAAAATTGATAATACTTGTAAACAACTGTTACAATATTCACAACTGAAATAAAAAATTACATATAATGTCGTGAGATAAGATTATTACGATATTCAAATAATTACACTAATTAAACGGACTGACAAATCAAACAGTTCTTAAAAAATAATAGATGTCGAAAACTATTCATACCATGAATAAGAAAAATATGGTAAAAAAAGGACACATAAAAGATGTATATTTGCCCCTCTCCATTACTTCACCAGTCAACAGAATGTAAATTATAGTTATAAAAGTAGATAAATGAACGATGTATTATAATATTTATCCCTAAACTTGATACTTTTCATAAATCAACACTTATATAATTGTTTATTCATTAATTAGAAATTAAAAAACTATAGGTATAAACTACAGAATAGATATCAAATACATAAACAATTTAATAATAATTATTTTATTGTTATCATTGTTTAGCAACTTTGTGAAATATAGTAACATGTAGTTCATCTGTTAATAGTTTAATTTGCATAGTGAATATTAAACATTTAGGAACAACTTATTTTGAAATCTGAATTCATAATATTTATTTTATTAATATAGGTAATACGTAATTTGAAATTACGTTAGTATCAAAATATTCGAAATAGTATTATATAATAGTATTGTAGTACTAATATATTATTGTTACACTCAAAGGAGATAGCTTTATAGTTTATACTTTTATCATAGTATAATTGCAGTTGATAGTCATAGTGATTGTATATGTGACAGTATAATAAAATATCTGAATAATATTATATGGTGGCAGTCAATATTCATATTAGTGGTTTACCCTGATATAATGAATAATACAAAGTAAATTGACTATGAGTTCATATTCATACAATAATTATTAATTTTTGAGTTCAATTCATATTAAAACGTCTGGGCATGAGTAAGAATAAAATTCAATTCAACCTTTTTACTATTGTGATCCCCTAAATGAATATTCAATTTTTTAGCGACCTTTAAATATATATTTTATACACATCAATCCAATATTTAATATTTTTAGCGACCCTAAATAATTATGAGTGTCTCCCGGTTGAGAAACATTGATTTAGCACATACGTATAAAATTGAATACGTAAAGCAATTTAGAGAAGACAAAACATTCTTCATGCATTTATACATTTTGAAACATTAGGAATGTTAGTCTGCTATGATGTAAATTTATTTTTTTAACAGTAAACAACTTCACAACTAGAAGACTTGCTCCAATCATTAACTTCAGAAATATTATTGTTTTCTGTTTTGGTTTAATGATAGTAAAATTGTTTAGGCTTTATATAAATACTTACAAATTTAATAAAAGGTTCCTCATTCTTATGATATTAAAAAAGATAATAAATCTGTAGTAAGTATTTTTTTTTTTTTATATGAGTTTGACGTTCAGATTTTGATACAAATCATAACAGACACTTTCAATACAATTTATTGATAAAGATAAACTTATCTTTTTAGGCCTATACAAATTATCAAACATTTAATAGTGTCGTAAATGGTGAACTACTGGTTGAAAAAAATTACAGGATTATAATACAGTTAAAAATGTAAAAAATATGATTATTTTTTTTATTTCTCCACCAATAAGAAATTTGAAGATTTTAAATTATGCATTCAATGGTATACATAATTTTTTTTGTAAAGTGTTTTGAACAAAATTATAATTTATTAGAATAGAAAATAATTATGTATTACTGAATATTTAAAAAAATTAAATTAAGCTTATGCCATAGCATTATCTCCTCCAGATATATCTGGTTTTTGCACCAAGACATTATCATAAAACTTAGGCAATTTATCTCCCAAGAACAACTTTCTTTGAATAGAACCTGTATGGTTTATTACTCCCATACGAACGACACCTCCGCTTGAACCGTCACGTTTAATAGCCAATGTAATTGCTAAACAAAAATATATAGATTTTTTAAATACATAAGAATAATTTGATTAGAACAAATGTTTAGATTACCATTAAGTACAAGATTTTCGCATTCTTCTTGAGTCATTCCATCTTTGTATTGTGAATCCATAAAACCATACAAATATGAACTACCAGAGCCACCAATGGAAATGTTTTGCTGAACAATGGTACCACTCACTGTTATTGAATACACCTGTAGTAAATATATTTTCATTTTTAAACTAATGACTAGATACACTAATAATAAATATAGGTATTACACAAATATTGTATACATAGATACAGTTTTGAGTTTATATTTCAATAGTTATCGGTTCTTGTGATTATACTACTAAAAACCAAAAACAGCAGAAAATGAATACAAACATCCAAATGAAATCATGGCACGATTATAGTCACTATTGTGGTGACCGCGTAAAATACTAAATCTATACTTGTACCAAAAAATAATGCACTATGTGATAATACAAGATGCAGTTGAAATAAGGTCAATAGAAAAATCAATGATAGTTTCGATAACCGAAAAGTACCTATATATTTGTACTATTATACATTTATAATAATTTATACAATTATTAATAATCAATTAAAATGTGAACAACATTTTAATAAAACTATTGGAATTGTTTTTTTCAAAAAGTTTACATTTAACTTACAAAATGTGAAAAGGTCCCAAAATGAAAAATAAATATAATCAAGATCAATAATATTATCAATAGTAGAGCTATAAAATTATTTAAGTTATTTTATCAACTGTTTCATAGACTGATGTTCAATATACTGAAGACCTCAGATACTTATGAAATGCCATATTTTTCTCAACTATTCCAATTTAATGCTTAACTAGACACAAATTTGATTTATATTCTACTATGAAACCATTTTTATCTTAAAATACTAATATTATACTTATGTTTTGTATATGTATATTTTGTTGTTTATTCCATTTTTTTTTTTTTTAAATATTTTATATGATAGTGTAATCAGAATTTTCTTGTAAAAATGTAAAATGTCATGCTTATATTATAAGTGGGTACAACTTATGCCGTATATATAAACATTATAAACACTATACATGGATAAGTATAATCAGTTAAATTTATAAACAAGGAATTTTTTTTTAACATTTATTTTGTTTTTGCTTTTTAGATGAAAGCATTCTTACAACTTTTAAATTATTTTTAGTAATTTTTTGTGCATGAGCGTAAACCTATTTAAGTCATCTTATGATTATAAACATTGGAATTTTACTTATAATAAATAAATACCAAGGTTCACATATTAGTATATTATTTGTTTTTAATTACTTGTCCGCCGAATCGTTTGTCCCAACCTGCAACTATGACACCAGCGGTCAACTGGTGTCTATTTTCATAGATCAGATTTCTGAACACACTGGCAGCAGCCTTCACAAGCGGTGGCTCGCCCATTTGAATACTATGGAAATAATGCAATTGTGAGCTGTTAAGTAATAAAATATCAGTAAATTAATTACCTTGTTAAATCCATATAGTAAGCAACAATATCAGTGATAGCTTGAGTATCAGCAGCTGAACCAGATCGACAACAATATATATTGTCACACACTTTTGTCAATTTATCGGTAACTCTATTAGCGATGTAGGCTCTACAATATAATAAATGATTAATAATATATTTAATATAAATAATATGATAGAACATAAGTGCCAAAATATTAATAATTTGTAACAAAATATTTCATTTACCCAGTTGTTGTACGAGAGTCAGCTCCAATAACAACACCACCATCATAAGAAGCTGCTATAATAGTTGTCTGAAAGCAACACACCAAACGAAATTTTTAAACTAACACATACAACAAGATTAATAAAATAAAATGTATTGGTTAGGTTTACAATTTATTGTCAAAAACTAAATAAATTTAGTAAAATGTGTAATATATGTCATATAACTTACGCCAGTGGATACTTCATCTTTCTTGAGATCGTAATCGACATTACCAAGTCCACAGTGACTAAGAAGAGACATTTCAACTTTATACAATTATTTTAAACTTTAAGTATAATTTAATAATTGAATATTACAAAAATTAAGAGTACTGGACGAGTAATTCTCTAACAATACCACAAATGTAATAACAATATTCAATTTTGCTGATAATACTAATGGTTTTTATACATAACCTTAAAATAAAATCGCATAATCATAGCTGGTAATAACAAAACGTAGATACCATTTCGTTAATTCGTGGTAGATACCAAGGTTGTAAATACAACGGTTTTGTCACTATCAATTATATTAAAAACATAATTAACATAGATTATATTTTATTATCAATGGAAATAAACACAGATATCTATATTATACAATACTATATTAAATCTAAATTAGTAAAATAATATAGATATCTGTGGAAATAAATGAGTAGTATTATCACAAAATAGATAAAATTATGACACATTAGTTATATAATTGTCCACTAGGTGGCATTAGGAAGGCCGATTTTTTCCAATACCGCCATTCACAATACAATAATTCGGATATAAGATTGTGGAATCTGAATTATAATAATTATCTGTGCATATCAGTACATCATAATAATAATAATATACAAGAATATTGTTTTACATTGTTGAATACAATTGTGTTGAATTGAAATGTTACAATTTTCATAGAATAATTTGTGTGAAGTAGGTATATAGGTATATTACTATTTATAAAATGGTAATAATAATTTGAAATCATAATTTACAGGCACTAACATTTTATTCAAATTAAGCATTTTATTATACAAACTAGTATACCTACTATGCAAATAATAATATAACTACAGATTAATAAAGTATAACTTAGTAAATTAGCAAAAATTAGTTATACGTGTATTTATATATTTTATTTTATTAAATACGGGCCAAGCCCAAAGTACAGTGGTAGGTAAATGCATATCTAAGATAGCTATTCAGTAAAAGCGAGACGGAACTAGGTAGCTTTTATATTTTTTGTTTGATAATAAATAAAACAAACAAAAAAGACCTGTTGAGTGACACTTTTATAAGTGGGAAGTTGGAAAGGTAAAATACCTATATAAAGTTATTTAATTTATATCCGTAAGTAAAGATAAACACTGCTAACGAAAAACGACTCGAATTGAAGTTCGGTTAAAAATGCTTTGTAAGGCCATAATATTTTCGATTTTCGTCAACATTTGATGTTAAAACTCGTATAAAAAATTAATATAATATTACACTTAATTCAGACCACTAAGTACGACTTATAATGAATCTCCTGTTAAATATTCAAGCATTTCTGTTTAGTCTAAACATTTTATTAACAGAGTACCTTTCAAATAAAAATTACGCAAAGAAAGCGCCAAATTAAAATGTCTATGAATAGCTCAAAAATGGCTCAAATGTTTTTAAAATTGTATTACATTTAGAAAAATGTCAAGTCTATAAAAATTTTTACACTGAATTATAATAAAAAAAATTAAATATTTCCGTTCTTTCTTTCGTTTTTTTTCGGTTTTGTTCAGTTATTAAAAAAAATAAACTAAAAACTATAACCATACCATAACTATAAAAACTAAACCGTAATCTGTTTATAGAATTTTAAATAAATCAACAGTGAAAATCAAGAGATAGATCAAAAGTGGGAAACGGTTTTACCCCCAAAAATTAGGGTTATAAAAATAACGGTTGTATACAATTTTAGAGCTACTTATTTCATCAGTGTTCATGGAAAAATATTCCGAAAAATCTAAATAAGTACTATACTAAACCGTCTAAACTGATACAAATCGATGTATACCGAAGTAGTAATGTCCTTATATATGAATGAACGACTCCTTTTTGTATGTACATTATAACTGTTGTTTAATTTTAAATTGGTTTTAATTAATATATCAGATATCTGATATGGTATTATAGGGTGTTAGTATATGTCCCTGTTTTTATTTTATTTTTAGATGGCTAAAATTGATTTAAATATTGGAAAAAAATAATCAAGAACTAATGTTTTTTACAAATTTCCCATTTATACGTTTTTATAGAAATACTGAATTACTAATAATATTATGTTGTGATGAACATTTTTTTAGCCATAGTTTTCAGCTTTTCTACATACTTAAAAATTTTACTAAACAATTATTTTAATATAAATGAATAGTACAAAATGCAACAGCATTCCAGCAGTTTTTTTGTACATCGATTTGGCTGAAAACCAATAGAGACCTGTTTAGAGCAAGACAAATCATTTAGTGAAAATTTCATTCCGAAATTCGCAATCGTTTTACAGATAGAGTGCATACAGACAAACGGACTGACAGAAAGGACAGACACGTACAAAATCATAAAGCAGCTTTCGGTACTAACAATAAGCTTTAGTTGGTACAGTTAATTCGCATAAAAACAGAACGATAAAAAAAGAATATCGGGTCTGTCGATTGAGTCCTATACAGAAAATATTTAAGTAGGAATTTTAAATATACGAATAATGAAAAATGGGTTTAGATTTTTTTTTTGAATCGCGATAGTGGAGTCGAATGTGAAAAACGTCTGTTTTTTAATCCCTTTATTTATGTTCAAATCATGTCACTACAACTCGCCGTAGAGTTTAAGAGCATAATAGCTGGGTTTACCGGGCGTCTTTTGTTTATTGAAAGTCTTATAAATATCTAGGCATAAATCTAGTTTATTAGGACTGAAGTCTTAAATTAATGTTTTCCTTTTTTTCAGAACCTTTTACCTACGTCCTACCTATTTATAATAATATATCTTTAAAAATTGATACGACGACGGCGGAAAGTTAAAAAGTGGATAACGCGTTCCATTATGCTATTATGATCACTCTTTCAAAATAAAAATCAACGTGATCGTTTCTGAACACGAAAACGAATCTCGAAAAATTGGTTCATCTTGAAATTAGTATGAAACTGATACAATAATCGGGTGATAAATCGCTGTTTTTGGTGGAAAGTTGCAAAGGTATAGGATACATAAAGTTAATTAATTTATATCTGTATACGTAACGATAAACCATTATTAACGAAATACGATTCTGAGGGAAATACGGTTATCGGGTTATACATTTATTTAAATTTCGTAATTTGTACGATTTTAGTCAAAATTTGAATCTTAAAACGTTTATATAAAATAAAAACTTTTACATAACATTCAATTTTTTTGTTTACCACTAAATAAGCAAAACTTCGTCAACGAACGTCTGCGTCACTTAAGTTCGACGTTCGATCCAAAAACAGCAAAGACGTTAGGATTTCCTTGACCGAAGAGCTTACCTACAAGCAAAAAACAGCAGCGTCCGGAAACTAACATGTATGCAATATCCGGTCGAACCTTTATAATTGGTCGGTAGTCGGTGACCACTGTCCTTTTCCTTTTTGACCATATACATATGATTCGTTTAAACCAGTTATTATTGAAATAAATTAGCATTGATTTTAATTTTAAATATTGTGCTGTGTAATTTGTGTTTTCGTCGTTTTACGCTAGAAAATTGATGGAATAGTTGTGCATACAGTGGTAAACAAAGAACAAATTGAGCGTAATGTAGGTATCTCAATGGCAAATTTAAGATTTTACCTAATACTATCATTGAAATCAAATAATTACCTACTTATAGGCAAGTAATATTATTAATTAATTAATTTACTAACTATTCAATAGGTAAAATAATTTAATTTTCGTTATATTATAGTGATTTAGGTAGGTTTCATTTTCAACAAGAAAATGCATGCGTTTAGGATTTTTTTTTTAAACTATAATTAACTAGTAAAGGTATCATAGTTGATTTTTTTGACTAAACAGTAAGGATATTTGAATTGAAAAATAGAAAGTCATAATATGAATAATATATGTTGAAAAAAGACCAAAGAGGGAGATATAATGTCTCCCTCCGTAAATACGTCACTGGGTATCTAGTAGGTTTTTTTTAAAATGGAAATCGTAAAAATCACAGTATTTCAAAGCATGTTTATAACCGTACTTCGCTCAGAATCGTTTTTCTTTAGCAAGATTAGCTTTTTCGATATATACGAATATGAATTAAATTGGATGCGATCGAAAACGATATGAGGACGGTGGGTGTATGCGAGGACGATGTGGGGGATCGGGTCAAGTGGAAGTTTAGAACAGTGGTACGCCAATAGTTTAAAGTAGGTATACATATCCGTTTTTCTTGTTTCGACTATCTTAAAATCATAATACATCGGGTAGATAAAATATTATTAATTAATACATTAACATTTATCTAATTTTCGAGGGTATAGTTGGTAATTGGTATAGTGGCTACCTGCTATATCAATAGTTATTAGCTTCTCTGCTACATTTATTAAAATGTTATGAGCCGCATTTTTGTTCAAAATAGTATACCCTAATGTGGTTAGATTAACTCATAGTTTACTAGCTTGCAGCGAACTTTGCAGCTATAATATAATAGTGAAAATTCATAACTATTTTGTTATAATATCTATATGCATTATACATTTATTATATTATCTACTATTAACTTCTACTAAACTATCTAATTTTCTTCAACAAAAATGATTACTTTCAAGATTATATTTAGATTCTAAGTGTAGTGAATTGGTTTTATTGTATGATATGTGTGCTTATTTTGTTTTCTGTCTGTAAACAACTTTTCCAAAAGAAAAATTTCTCCAATCAAAAAATTACAAGAGAACTTTTTTGTTGCATTTTGAAACTATATTTGGTGATTAAGTAAGTCATTTGTTTGATTTTCCAAGTAGTTTTTCATAATAATTGGGTAACCCGAAAAAAGTCATAAAATAAAAACGAACGAATTTACGACGTTACGATTTATGTTTTATATCAGACATAGTATTCCAAATTTTACAAATAGCACCCTAAAAACTTTTTAAAAGACGCTACACTTGATACGTTGGATCAAGATTTCTGGTAGAAAAGTTCGATGAATTAAAAAAATATACAAAACAAAACATCATTGTAAATCTAATCCAATACATTCCTCGTCACACTCTGAATCTAAAAATAACATTAATATAACATTTTATTGCTGCTTGTTTATTAAATTGTTCTTAAAAAAAAATCCCAAAAAAAGTTAATACTCTCTGAGATAATTAGTGTTTTATCAAAGGTC